CCTTCTGGGCTGTCAGGGGAGCAATCCGTTGGCCTCCGTAGCTGGTGGCTCCACTCGCCGCCTGTCGGACACAATAAATATTGGATTCCTTGCGGAATACTCTCAAATGCGGGTGAGTAACACAGATGATCCCCCTGCCACTGAATGGGCTTTTGAGGAACCCACGCAAATTATAGAAATCTAGCGTTAATAATTGTAAAATGCGTGCTGTATTAATTGTATATGTATGTGCATGCATAAAACATCGGCCTGCCACATTTGCAATTCAAATGGCAGCCTCATTTGGGCCACAAGTTAAGCACAAGCATGTTGTCCCAAAAATATCATGGAATTTATAGCTCAGCCTGTAGGACAGCCAAATGATTTGGGAATGATTGCGCAGCCCCCCGTCAAAACACATCCTTTGCTGGTCGTCCCTTGAGGCATTTTATCGAATACCCTACAAATTGTGTATATTTGTTTATGTTTACACAGACATTGTACAAAATACATAAAAATTAAATTTTTATACCACTAGCAGATTTGCCACAGTAATTGCTATTTAAAATCAACTTAAAATATTTAATTTTAGGTATTTTATGGCAGGCATTTGAACACCAATTCATTGATTTGAAAAATTTTACAAATTAAGGATATCAACAGAAATCTGTATATAAAATTATCTTTAAAAGGTTTTGAACAAAATATTTTATTGTTAATGTTGTTGAGCACACTTTGTAAGGTAATTTTTTAAATCCACAGCTTTTCTGTTTCAACTTTATTTATTTTATACGTCCTAAAGTTTAAACAAAAGAGCATAACTAAGAGTATACCGAATTCACTTTAGTTTCCAAAAAGCCCTTTCTCATCATGTTTTGATTTTCTTGACATTTTGTGATTTGGATTGACAGCGGTCATGTGGTCTGTGCTGAAAAATAAAGAATAATAGAGATAACTACGGATTTTATTGAACCCATTGATAGCTAAGTAAGCTGTTCGAATCTCTTGCCTTCACCCTCCTATATATATATTTATAGAATCCGATTTAATTGGAACCAAAACAACAACAAGAGGTTTAAGAGGTAGTATATTTCAGTAGGAAAACGTACAATTTTTCTCACTTAACAGTCTGACTGGCTAACCAAATAAAAAGCTCAACAGCAAATCCATCAGAAGTCCTGTGCGGCCTCATCAATTGGACAAAAGCCGTAGCCAATGTCCTTGCCGTTCTGCGGAATATAAATGGCGAAAAAGTGTAGATCAGGAAATATATTCAGAGAAACATATGTGAATGTGTGTTTATTGACAAGGGTTCGTGAGGGATTTTTGTGCAGAAGAAGATATGTTTTTATTGAGTGATATCAATATATTGAATTAAGTCAGGCTTATTGCATTGTTGACCAAACAACCAAAAAAAATATGGACTGACTTCTGCACAGAATATAAAATTGCCTTTAATGCACATTTATTTATCAAGATGAATGGGCAGTAAGCCAGGCTATCCTCGCATATTTTCCTTCCTTTGTGATTTTAATTTATATTTTCCCCATTTTGTCATATCATCTCTGCTTAAATTACCCTTAAGGGAATAACGAAAACAAATAAAAGGCTGCAATGCATTAATCTATACTCTGCCAAAGTCATTCTCTTAATTAAAATCATTCTTGGTTTTATTTCAATTGTTAAATTAAAATAAACCAAAACTAATTACACAAAGCAATTGCTGTCTATTTATAGCAATTAGCTATAATTTAGCAAAGCTTTCAATTTATTTTTGCTGCCACAAAAACATTTTTTAATTGTGGTCATAAAAACACCATTGAAAATGGCAAATAAATCAAAACAAAGCTGGAGAAGCCTTTGTTTCTATGTCCAGCAGTCAGTGCCAGGCAAACCTTTTTTCTTTTTTATGAAGACCCCCCGAATGGTAAAAAATTATAATTGGTTTAACACCCCACGGAAATCAATTGTGCCCTCCGTTTAATTTTCGGTATTCCGCACTCATGGAATTTTAATTATGCTTTTATTGATAAGAGCCATTGACTTTTAAGGAATCGCATGAACAAGTTTAATCTACATTTTGTTAAATTAAATGTATTTGTAGTGCAAATTAATCCTAAGACTTCTGAGAATCCTTAAGAATAAGGAATCCTTAAGAATAAGTGCAAAATAATCCTAAGACTTCTGAGAATCCTTAAGAATAAGGAAAGCCTTATATTTATTTTAAGCCATTTCCTATCTTAAAGCACAGGTAGAAGGTTTTTCCTATTAAGTACTAATTAAGTACTTAACTTCATTGATGTTCTATCGTTTGCTTTTACCCGAATCCTGAAGCACTTATGTATATAATTATCAGAATTAAAATACGCTGTGCTTACTCATAAGGAAATAGATACCTCTTTGCTGCTACTCAAGGTTTTTCGCCGACTTTTCTCCCAAATGTATTTACTTCATCTGGAAAATTCTTTTAAATTTTCAGTGGATATCCGTGTTCCTTTGATATTAAAAAAAATGTTCAGAGCCTTGGTTTTTCCTTCTTATCTCCGGAATCACATCTTCAAATTCTTTAAAGGTCTACTTTTCACTGTTGCTATGACAGCTGCTCCCCTGGTTCACCAACAGACACATGAACATTTAACTTTTTCTTCATAAATTAAAGTAAGGGAAGGCAGCATTCTTATTGGACAACTTGACGAGAGGGAATCTCATCAGGCTCAAGCAAGAGAAACTACCAACCAAGCGGGCTAATTGTAAATTAGCTGCCAACTTAATGAAAATATTTTATGCATTTTATGAAAATGAAAGAGTAAGAGTATCCTGAAGTATTTTCAATAAACTCCTAGCTTTCGGCTTGAGGAAATTGCGTTTAAAATATTGTTTTTTCAAGCTGAATGAACCGGCAGTGTACATAAATACACAAAGCTGAAAACTTTATAAGCACAAAGTTTGTAAAGTAAAGAAAAGGCAAATCAAAGCCATCGATTACACATCCTGTTGGTCTTTTATTCTGTTAAATGTCAAGTGCACATGACAGAATTATTATAGAGAAAGGGAAACAAGTTGAGGAACAAGTAAAATGTTTAGTTAACGACAGGCAAAAGAGGTTAAATATGTACAATGTTTGCTGTAGTTTGAAAAAACTAATAAATTTAATATGTTTCAATCTTAAATAAAAATAACCTAATACCAGAAATTCTTTTGATAGAATTACCAACACATCTGACCCATGTGTCTACAACATTTCCTGCCCCTGCCGATTTCCGCAGTATTCATTTCTAATTTGCAGCAGCTTAGTAGCCAACCAAACGTGATAATTGCTATTTTGAATTTAATTTCAATTTTGGCTAAAAATCTAAAACCGTAAATCCAATTTAAAAGGTTTATAACTGAATTTAAGGTTTATAATTTAATACATTCAAATGTAGGCTCTTAATAAGTTAATTTCTTTAATGAATTACCCTCCTTTACAGTTTGCTGATTCAGGCTTATGGAATCTCAGGGAATTATTCCTGAGCACCAGTTTGGGTTCCGAGCTGGCCACTGTACTGTTGAACAACTACATCGCGTCGTCGAGCAAATACTGGTTGCTTTCAATAGGAAGGAGTACTGCAACGCCATTTTCCTGGACATTAGAGAGGCATTTGATCGAGTCTGGCACATTGGACTGCTGGCAAAAATTAAGGGCACATTGCCGGCGCCATACTATTGCCTGCTGCGATCCTACTTGGAGAGAAGACGATTCGCAGTGCGTTTTCACTCTGCACTCTCCACGGAGAAAGTCGCGGTTGCAGGTGTTCCTCAGGGTAGTGTCCTGGGGCCCCTGCTCTACAACTTGTTCAGCCACGATTTACCGCAGCCGGATGCCAGCCTTCATGGGACATCAATGCTAGCTACTTTTGCTGATGACGTCTGCGTGACATACAGATCCGTTTGCGAGTACGACGCTGCTGACGGCATCATGGACTACGCAAGTAGGTTCGCTGAGTGGGCGAGACGCTGGAACATTGGCATCAACAACGCCAAGTCCGTCAATGTGTGCTTTACATTGCGCAGAAAAACGACGCCAGCAGTTTACATCGAGGAGGCCCCTGTACCGCAAAGGAATGAAGCCAAGTATCTTGGAGTGATCTTAGATAGGAGGCTAACCTTTGCGAAACATGTCTCAGCGATTAGAACCCGCATTCGTGCAGCAGTTTCGAAGCACTACTGGCTACTCTGTTCGCGTAGCAAATTGTCACTCGCCAACAAACTTACAATTTATAAGCAGATTATAGCGCCAATCTGGAGATACGGTTGCCAGATCTGGGGGCTGACATGCGATAGTCAGATCCGGAGAATCCAGACTGCTCAGAACAGAGTAGCCAGAATTATCACTGGCTGCGAGTGGTACGTCCGCAACTCCACCCTGCGCAAGGACTTGAAGCTTCCCCTGGTGATGGAAGAAATCAGCATGCACTCAAGTCGCTACCATGACAGACTGGCGCAGCATCGAAACTGGCTGGCCAATAGGCTAACAAGAGGGATAAACCCCAGAAGACTGAGGAGGAGGTACCCTGGAGACCTCATTTTTCGGTCGCCTGGGGCCAGAAGCAGACGACCTACAATGTGATGTTTATGCTATTTTGTAATTATGAAAATGCTAACCAATAAGGTTGCCGGCGCGCCCGCTTTAGGGCTGAATTAACAGACACTAAGGACACAAAGGGGTAAACAGTACTCCCCGTATGCCTTAATAAATAATAGGAAAAAAAAAAAAAAAAAAAAACATTAATAAATAAATTTTACCTTTTAAACGCTTTTAGATGTAATTCTTTATAATTTAGTAATAAAGGAAGGGACTCATATTATTTATGTACAATATCTTAATAGGTATTTTAAGGGACTTACCCACAATGTCTTTCTTTTCCAGAATTAAATTATAATTAAAATGCAAGTTATTTCTATTGAAAGTCGGAATTGGTTAAAAAATGTCTAAAACTGATTTATACAAATCGAATAGTTACTTACCATCTTATTTCAAAGGTAGCCGCTTCTTTATAAGTCAATTGCTGTATACTTTTTTGTATTCTCCTGAAACAATCCAAATTGTTAGTGACAAAATGCTTAGGAAACTTTTCAAGTCGATGCGTATCTATACCCGCCTCTGGTTATTCGTGGCGATGCAGCTTTCGGTGATGATGTCGATGATAGATATTCTGATCAAAATTGAGCTGTCACATAAACACCGAAAGGCCGAGCTCATTCTTAATTTTTACCTAAGTGGGCTAGCTTACAGTCCATTATTATCCGCATCCGCCATAAGCAGCTTGTTCTACGGTTACGGATTGGTCTACCTTAACACCGCCGGCTGCCTTGACAATTTCCTGTCCAGGATCCGTAAGGCGAGCCTTTCGGTGTGGGATCGGTTTGGTTACGTGATGTTCCTGCCCTGGCTGCTAGGAGTGGGCCAGGGTCTTTTTCACTTCCCGTATTACGAGGTGGAAGATGCCTACGACACTGGCACCATAAACTTCAAGCTGGACTTCTGGTACTTCAGGCTAGTCTTGACTCTAGGCAGTTTTGTAATGGCCTTTAGACTACTCCTGGCTCTGGGCAGTTTTTTGATAGCCTTTAGAGTCTATCGCCAGATGATACGTTCTCGCTACATCCAAAACATCGAACCGGAAATATTGGATTACGCCCGGAGAATCAATGAACTGGCCGGCTTTGAGATCATTCTCCTGGATACTTGAGCAAATTGAGAAAAAATTGTAATTTTTTAATTTCAAATATAACATAAATAGTGCATAGTCATTTTAGTATCCTTTGCGCATTCTTTTTAAACAGTTGTTTACATTGACATCAACCAATTTAAATTATAATTAAGTGCCTGAGTCTTGGGGAATTTCTGCATTCCCTTTATACAAGAAATTTATGTATGAGAAATCCCCCAGCTTTCCCTTGCCACGTTAATGCGAAAGGAAACCCTAGTTTGTTTTGCTTTGCTTTGCCTTGTTTTGATTTACCTTGAGTCCTTTACCGCTGGCATAACATGCATAAATTGAGGTGGGGTCATCAGAGTCCTTTGCTTGTAACCACACCTCTAATTGTACACAAATTAATGCTGACTTTAAATCTATTTAATGAACCTCAAGGTGACGCTGGGCGGACTGCCGCTGGCCATTGAGGATGTGAACAAAAATCCAAACCTGTTGCCGGGCAAAAAGTTAGCCTTTAAGCCGGTTGACATTGGCCACAAGACGAGTGCCTATCGCGTCAAACCCCTGAGGTAATTCCTTCAATTACTGAGCCAGTTTCGCGTAACCTTTAGCCCTCGAAATCGCTCCGCTCTGATTACTCTTTCGTATCCAGGGCGATGACACAGATGCGGGAGGCAGGAGTGGCCGCCTTTATCGGTCCGGATGAAAGCTGCACCACGGAGGCACTGCTGGCCTCCGCCTGGAACACCCCGATGCTGTCCTTTGTGAGTAATATCATTACGGAAATCTGGGTCACCACGTGGATACTTAAACTCTTCTCATATGACTGAGAACTTGCGGGAATTTGCTTTTTAGCCTCCATTTTATGTAAACCTTTCATTAAAGAAAAGACTAAATTGCGACAGAAATAATTATAAGAAAATTTATTTATATATTTTCTAATTTTACTAAAACATAATATATATGAACTAAATAAATATGTATTTTTTTTTTTCATTTTTAACATATTTTATAGCTCTTTTTCATTAAGAATGTTCTTCTACTTTAACGCCAAATTTTCTTAATTTAAAGGGTTTCCAACAAAAATAAGAAGATGGTTAGATTGTTGTTAGAATTTAAATAAATAAATATATTTTTCTGAGTGTAAACGATTAAGTTCTCTCTATTCCTTTAGAAATGCTCCGATTCAATAGTCTCCAACAAAAGCACTTTTCACACCTTTGCACGAACTCTGGCTCCAGCATCAAAGGTACTTTAAATAAAAAATAAATTCTTATTATAATATTATATAACAATACATTCAAAGGTCTCGAAGAGTGTGATCAGTTTACTAAACGCCTTTCACTGGAAGAAATTCGCCATTGTTGTGAGCTCGAAGCCAGTGTGGGGTTCGGATGTGGCCCGGGCCATTCAGGTGAGTGATGGCATTCCCTAACTTCCACTGAAACTTGTTGTTAATCCTGAACAGGAGCTGGCGGAAGCGAGAAACTTTACCATCAGTCACTTCAAATACATCTCCGATTATATACCGACTACGAAAACACTTTCGCAGATCGATAAAATTATTGAGGAGACCTATTCAACCACGCGCAGTAAGATTTCAATGATATACAGTGCGTTTTATAAAAGAATCAAATTTAAATTAAAATACAAAACTTTTATAAATCGCACTGTAAAATATAAACTAATGTTTATTTAATTAAATACCAAAAAACAGTCTATGTGTTCATTGGTGAGCACATTGCCATGGTGGACTTTGTGCGTGGCCTCCAGAACCGGCGGCTGCTCGAGAGCGGGGACTACGTTGTGGTCTCGGTGGACGACGAGATCTACGACTCCAATCGAAGGGTTAACATTATGGAACGTAGTAAGTGGATCGTGCGGATCGATAGTTGGGGATAGACTTCTAATGCATGCACCATCTATTCCAGATTATTTAGATCCTTATATTAGAAAAGAAAAGAGCAAATCACTGGACAAAATCTCATTTCGTTCAGTTATAAAAATAAGCATGACATATCCACAAAATCCCCATATTCGGTAATTTATCTGACTCTTAGTTATCTCTAACTGTGCGTATTTCCGTTGCGTCTTTCTAACCAATTTTTAATCTTTAATCTAATTATTTCCCAATATCTCTTTTATTTTAGTTGAGTAAACTTAGTGCGTTATGTTGCATGTCTAGGCCATAACACCAATGGCAATCGGAACTTAGTTAGGCTTTGGGATAAGAAAATACTATTCAAAATTAGTTGTTCATGTTCCTGTTATGATAAATTGTAGTTCAAAATAATTAGGAAATCCCAGCAAATACAAATTAAATTTATTTTTTATTTGGTTTGTTGTGTTACAATTTTGCATGAATATTAAATATTTAAAATGGATACCAATGCTAAATAATATTAATATTAATATATTTGCGTTTGCAGCGACATTTGTTCGAAAATTAAGGATTATGCCCGCAAGACTCCGTTTTTGGTGCCATATCATCAGCGGGTCTTTGACAACATATCGGTAGGATAGTTAAAATAAACAAAATTTAATAAAAAAAAAAAGACTATATCAGCTTTTTAAAACTTTACTGATTTTCTGTGCCTTTGCTAGGTACCCATATATGGTCTCCATCTCTATGATAGTGTAATGATCTATGTTCGGGCCATAACAGAAGTCTTGCAGCATGGTGGTGATATTTACGATGGAAATCTGGTAATGAGTCACATTTTCAATAGATCCTATCATTCAATACAAGGTTTTGATGTGAGTATAGCCTGAAATATTTAAATTGATTTAAGATTATTATTATTTACTGAAAATTATAATTCGTTCTTCTCACTCCACACAGGTCTACATAGATTCAAATGGCGATGCCGAGGGAAATTTTACAGTCATAACCCTACAAAACGATGTGGGCAGTGCTTCCTCGACTGGATCTTTGGCCAAGATGTCAATGCAGCCCGTGGGGTTCTTTGCCTACGACAAGCACTCTCTGATTCCTGTAAGCTTAATACAATTTGAATAAATTACAACTAACTAGCTATAAATTATTCTTTAGGAATTTCGCTATATAAGAAACGACAGGCCCATCCAGTGGCTAAATGGTCGTCCTCCTCTGGCAGAGCCCATCTGTGGTTTTCACGGTGAAATCTGTCCGCGTAAGAAGCTGGACTGGCGGTATCTGGTAACTGGACCCCTATGTGCCCTCGTTGTTGTGGTGGCCCTTGCTCTGCTCATCAAGTAGTATTCAAGTGCAGTCTTCAACTTATTTCCTTATAATATTCTCACATTTTTCAGGCATTACCGCTATGAACAAACTTTGGCGGGACTGCTGTGGAAGGTTGACATGAAAGAGGTGACTGTAATCAATCTCGGAGAGTACAATAACCCCAGTAATAAGAATATTGTAGGTATTCAGGGGAAACACTAAATTATTTAACAATTTAAGTTACTTTTTATAACTTACAAATAATATTTCAGTTTCAAATCTGTCGTCAAAGCATCCTTGTGGTTGGTGAACCCAATAAACGATCTTTTACAAATATAGGTAAGTCATATCAATATGTATTAAATAGATAGATATATATTAAAGTATAAATCTCAAATAAACAGCACTCTTTCGTGGCAATATTGTGGCCATGAAGAAGATACACAAGAAGAATGTAGATATAACCAGATCCATTCGTAAGGAACTGAAACTAATGCGAGAGGTAAACCCACAAATGAATAATTAGGAAAGGTTTAAAATCTCCTTATATATGAAAAGGTGCGACATGAGAACATCATCAACTTTATTGGGGCCTCCACCGATCATGGATCTGTAATCATATTCACTACGTACTGTGCTAGGGGTAGTTTGGAGGACGTTCTGGCCAACGAGGATCTGCATTTGGACCATATGTTCATCTCCTCACTGGTATCCGATATCCTGAAGGGCATGATATACCTGCACGACTCGGAGATAATATCCCATGGGAATCTGCGCTCTAGCAACTGTCTCATCGATTCCCGTTGGGTCTGCCAAATCTCCGAATTTGGCCTCCATGAACTAAAAGCGGGCCAAGAGGAACCCAATAAGTTAGTTTAATATTTTTAAATTGTGCAAAAATAACTACTTTAAGCTAAGTTTATACCAGAACACATAGTCCTTTGCGAGCCAGGATGCTTTTCTTCCACTATAACAAAAAAACATATTCTATTATTGTGACATTCACAGGAATGAATTGGAAGTGAAACGTGCCCTCTGCATGGCGCCGGAGCTTTTGAGGGATGCCTACCGGCCAGGACGCGGCTCCCAGAAGGGGGACGTCTACTCTTTTGGCATACTGCTCTATGAAATGATTGGCCACAAGGGGCCGTGGGGGGAAACGGCCTACACGAATGAGGGTCTGACACTTGGAACTTGAATAATATGAAATTACTTTACTTAAATGTCCTGTTTTCCCTGCAGAAATAATCCAGTTTGTCAAGTGTCCGGAATTGCTGCAGCACGGCGTTTTCCGACCGGCCCTCACGCACACCCACTTGGACATACCGGACTATGTACGTAAGTGCTTGTGCCAGTGCTGGGATGAGGATCCGGAGGCAAGACCAGACATCAGACTGGTTCGCATGCATCTGAAGGAGCTGCAGGCTGGCTTGTAAGAACTACTTGTTGGAAACTTAAAAGGAATATTTAAATTAATATAACTCTTTAGGAAGCCAAATATATTTGACAATATGCTTTCTATAATGGAGAAATACGCTTACAATTTGGAGGGTCTTGTCCAGGAACGAACTAATTTACTGTATGAAGAGAAGAAAAAGACCGACATGCTTCTATACCAAATGCTGCCCAGGTAATCCTTTTATGTATATAAAGCAGGGCTGCCTAGTCAAGACTTGCGCAAGGGCCTGTAGTTCCACTGCAGCAACAATTTTACAATTTTACGAGCAGAGCAACATTAAAATTTATATATTTTTTAAAATTCTAAATAAATATTACTTTGAAACCCTATCTCTTCAGGCCTGTTGCCGAGCTCCTTAAGCGCGGAGATCCCGTAGAGGCCGAGTGCTTCGACTGTGTCACAATACTATTCAGTGACATTGTGGGTTTCACCGAACTTTGCACCACCAGCACACCCTTCCAGGTGGTGGAAATGCTCAATGAATGGTACACCTGCTGCGATGCCATCATATCCAACTATGATGTCTATAAGGTAAATAGCATACGGAAATTAATCAGAAATGTTTATATGTGAATTAATATACTTCAGGTGGAGACAATTGGCGATGCTTACATGGTGGTATCCGGATTACCCTTGCCGAATGGCAATCGACATGCAGGAGAGATTGCCTCTTTGGCACTCCACCTCCTGGAGAAGGTGGGGAATCTCAAGATCCGGCACAAGCCCACCGAAACCGTTCAGCTAAGAATTGGAGTTCATTCGGGTCCATGTGCAGCCGGAGTTGTGGGTCAGAAGGTAAGGGAATATATTCAATTTTCAGTTCCATAAGCAATCCCAAATATCATCCCCAAACTCAGATGCCCAGATATTGCCTGTTCGGGGACACTGTGAACACAGCCTCCCGAATGGAGAGCACCGGCGATTCCATGAAGATTCACATCTCGGAGGTTACCTTCCAGCTTTTGCAGTCCATCGGCGGCTATGTCTGCATCGAAAGAGGCATCACTAGCATCAAGGTGAGATAAGGTGCAAATTCTAGCCAGAAAATAAGACAATCTATCCTGTGTTTTAGGGCAAGGGCGACATGCGAACTTATTGGCTAACCAACCGCCAGCAAACCGAGCTTGCACCAGATCTTATCAGTACCGTGGACACGATGGACAGTTACTGCTCGGTGGAAAGAGCTAGTTTGGAGCACTCCCTGCATCAATACTGTAGTCCGGCTCCGAAAAACTACAGATTAGGATCCTGCAACTGTGCCACCAAATGCTTGTACAGCCGCCGGTCCGACGACAATGTGACCAGCACCCACGACACTCCAGAGTTCCCCAAGGTCCAGGTTTCCGAGCCAGCGCAGGTCAATTGCAACCATTTGTGTGTCTGCCGGCTGAATAGCAGCCAAGTGTTCAGTAATCGAAGTCCACGCTCCGCTCCAAGCATTACGTTTAGGCTATAAGGACTCTATTGAGTTAGGAATAAGGAGCTAAATGTGTGTTGTATATTAAGCTGATATTCTGTCCATTGGCGTCTATTCATGTTCATGTGCATTTAAAATAGTGATATATGTACTTGGAAATCTAGTGTCTGATTGATAAATGTTACAAAAAGTGAATCAGAGTCAAAAATATCAATTAGAAAATCTTTTTTTGGATGAAAAGACCAATAAAAGGATTTCATTTTGTTTGAATTATTTTGTTATTACTGAAATTATTAGATTAAGAAGTCTAATTATTATTTTCCCACAGGACTTTATTTTTTCTAAGATTTTCTAAGAGTCCTTTGCGTTGATTATTTATCTGTTTTAATGTTACCAATCATTTTTTTCCAAAAATTATAATGTTTCTTGTATAAAAATAAGAAAATAGTATCGTAATTCTTCAAAAGTCTTAAATAATAATAGATTGAGTGTTTATTAAGTGACTTTCATGACTTATCTTTTTATTACATTATAATTCAGCATTTTGGAAATTATCCTTCAAGGCCTGCCAGCACTCGTAATAAGCTGCGTCCAGTTTTTGACAGGTTTCCTCGCCCCACTTGGTGACGGCCAGACTCAGAGATGATTCAAACATAAAAGCCTTTTTAAAATATTATATATTAATATAAATAAATATAAAATATATTTCAACACATACCTGGGTTCCCTCAGCTACGCGTTCAGGCACCAGTTTGGCACTCGAGGCTCCCTCAAAGCACTTGATATCCGGACCATGCGGAGTCATCATGGAGTGCAGAGTGGCTCCACCGGCGGCAAAGCCGTCCTCCTTGGCCTCGTACTTGCCCAAGATCAGGCCCATGAACTCGCTCATGCAGTTTCCTATAGAAAATAAAGAATCATTAGCTTTTAGGCATAAGTTTTCTCAAGGTATCACAGCTCACTATGGTAATATGGCGGGCGGAAGGTGTGCTCCTGGACGGACCAACGGGGCGGGAATATCACAAAGTCAGCAATGGCTGTTCCAGGTCTCAAGCTCGGGCAGGTGAGTACAGTGAAGATGCTGGGATCGCAGTGATCAAAGCTAACCGAGTTGATCACCATGAACTTGGACAGATCATACTTGTAGGGTACATAGTTGCCGTGCCAGGCCACCACATCGAAGACGCTGTGGTTCTGCTTGGCCACAAATAGGCTGCCCTGGAATTTGGATATTACCTGGAAGTCTAAGCAAGATATTTAAAGTTGATTATTACAAGTTTATTTTATTTTTAAGCAGATATTTACCTTTTACGGGCTGATCGTTGAACCAGGCCACGGGTGTTTCAAAGTCCCTGGGATTGGCCAAGCCATTAGCACCAATGGGTCCTAGATCCGGCAATACAAAGTGACCATCATAGACCTCCAGTATGTAGCCTCTAGAAAAGTTTTATTTTTATAAACTTTAAATCCCAATAAATGTAATATAATTAACCCACCTGGAAGGAGAATCCACAGCCACGGCGAATCGAATGCCCTGAGGAATAACGCAAATCTCATTGGGGGCCACTGTCATCCTTCCCAGCTCCGTAGTTATATTCAAAACTCCTTGCTGCGGCACTAAAAATATTTAACTATATTGATTATTCATCTCACTTGGTTCATATATTCTTACCAATCAGGAAATCGCCGTCACTATTATAGAAAGCCGATGCATCCATAGAGCTATTACAGGAGTAAATGTGCACTGCTAGACCATGACGAGATCTGGGATCACCGGCACCGCAAACCGTGTGCAAGCCTTCCACAAAGTCCACTGATTTTCCATCCCTTGATGGCAGATCAAATGGTTTCCAGCGCAACTAAAGAGAACATTATAAAATAAAATTTTGTGATGGATATAATTCAAAGAAAAGCTACCCACCTGATTCGGATTGGGTGGCTGTTCATCCCAGTTTTGCCTTAAGTAAGTGGCTCCCTTGAACGGCTGGAAAGGCAGGTGCACTGCCGAGGGCAGCTTACGGTAAAGCCAAGTTCGAGCATTCTCGGTTCTGGGCGCTGTGAAAGCGCTTCCCGATAGCTGCTCGGCATAGAGCTTGTAGGGACACACCTGAGGGGAGTTCTGGCCCACTGGCAGGGAGTTGGGATACCGTTCGTCCTCGGAGGAGAAATGAGACCCAAAGCCAGAGAGATACTGAAATCAGAAAATAGATAAGCAATATGTTTTCTCTGATTAGGAGATTCTTCAGAAAAGTTAGAAACCAAGATAAAGTATAAACATGGCCCAAAACATAATAAAAACTTCTAAGAGCATAAGCACTGATAAGATGCATTCCTAAATAGATAATACCAGATGCCGTAAAGATAACTTGTCCAAGAAACATTTTGAATATTTGCATAATTAAGATTTAAAATAGAAATTTGTATCTCTTAACAAAAACAAGCAAAACCCTGATCTAAATAAACCGGCATAAGATTATAAAATTATTCAAGTTGGAAACTTGTTTTTAACACCCAGAACCAAGAGTTGAAATTCCAGCACTAGGCACGCGACAGATTATTTCGATTTCACTGAAAACTATGTACCAATTGTGTATATTTGTATATTTCCTGATTATCCTTAGAACTGTATTCCGAAAAATGATTTTGTCATTTCGTTCACATTTGAAACACTAACTTCCAAATACACACTCTGCACTCTGATAGCACAAACCCGATCTTTGATAAAACGTTTACCTTGTATTGCGACATGTCTGATCCTCCCGCGGTTGAAACTAGCACTGAAGTTCATCGCTTAGGGGCAACCTCTATTTATATCCAGTCCGGATAGCGAGTGTTTTGAATACTGGCCGGAGAAACTAGTAGCCGCTAGAAAGGCCAGTCCCCTAAAAGTGTGGCGAATGATACGACGAGAGGTAAACACCTGCCCTGCCCCCCAGATTTGTTGTTGATGCGTGCGGATTGTTTTGATTTTGTTACCAAGACTAAATCGCACCGCAGAGAACCTCTGGAGAGGAATACGTGATATACTTAGCATAGCGGTTTTACAGGTTTATAACTGAATCAAACGGGGTATACCTATTCCAAACTATAGTATATGGTAAGTCCTCCTTTTCTTCCTCTCAAATGAATCAAAATTCACCCTAAGCCCATAAGAGTAACCCGGAGATGTAAACTAAGTAACTAGTTGTGTAATTTATTGCGGCAAAGATTCAAAGTTACAGTTAATGTGGTGTAGGCAATACAATACAATACAGTTGATGTGTGTGCTCTGTCTGTATATTAAAATACTTAAAGTACTTTTTATGCGGTAATTAAACCTAAATTAGTACGAGTTTACATTAAATTAAACATTTAAGGACATACAGCGCTCGTGAGTAGGGTGAGTAAAAGCGGAGATTCACTCGTAGGAAGGAGAATTCCTTACGGATCATGATGAGTGTGTATATATGCACGGCATATCTAAACTGTCTCTCTGTTTTGTAAAAAATATATGAAAATAAAGTACATGTGTGTTCGATCATAACTCCGATCGTTGATGAACTTTACACTTGGCAAAAAATATGTAAACTTAAAATAGGAAAATGGAAAGATATTATAAAATATTTGTCCCGAAATATATACTGATTGGGCGATTAAAATGACGGACACTGGTACGTTAATGGAGATGCTACACTTTTTTGCATTACGCATGGAAATAGATGCTTCTGGGAAAATACTGCGACTTTAAATGCCCTCTGGCAAATATGTGCGTTTGCCATCTTTCCGTTCCGGAAATTCTAGTCGTGCGACAAGTTCAGGATGTCATCGCCCATGCTGTTCTTGGGCATCTTTGCCGGCGGCGGAGCAGCCAGATCTGCCACCGATGCGAATTCCATGCGCTTCTTGGGCAATCCAAGTGCTCCCGGTGGAGCTAGCTCCCCGTAGAGACGGCTCAGATCCGGCGAGGGCCTTCGATGCGAGGAGCTGCTGCTGCCATCGGATGGCGCCGGCGAGGGCGTATTCGAGGGCACACTGGAAATGGCCAGATCTACGGCACTAAAGTTGTACTTTCCGGCAGAGTTGGAGTTGCTGCCGCTATTGCCGCCGCCGCCTCCACCTCCTCCACTGTTTGCAGACTTTGTGGGCGTCAACCGTTCTAAAGCTGGCGAGGCCGAGGACTCCCGGGTTCGCGCCGAAGAGGGCGTCGTGGATTTAGGGGGCTTCATCATCATGGCTGACAAAGACTCCTGCTGGATCTTGAACAAGGCCGATGGCGTCATGAACATGTTATTGGCCGCCAGTGTGGTCTTCGAGAGCGGATCGGGAATACCGTATTTGCCATGCTGCTGCTGGAAGAAGGCAGCGTAATCCTGCATCTTCTCCTGCGCCAACGCATTGTAGTAGGCGGCTGGATTGGAGAGGGATGACGGCGATGAGAGACCACTGGCTCCTGCTGCGCTTGAAGAGCCGCCTGCCTTTAGGGCATTCCCCGAGGGCCCGGCCCCCACCACAGCCCCAGAGGGAGTGGCAAACAGGGCGTCCAGATCAGCAGCAGCCTTATTCTGGCGATACAGTAGCGCCTTGATCTCCGAGTCCTGCTTCTCCAGCTGCAGCAGCTGGTTCAGCATGTCGCTCTGAATGTCGTTCTGGTTCTGCTTTTGCTTCTGCTTCGAACCGCCACCGCCTCCTCCACCACCTGACATGCCCACTCCCGAGGAGAGCAGTGCGGAGAGTTCATTGTGGGCTCCTGCCATGTGCTTGTTGGACGCCATCGCTGCAGCGAATTGGTTGTTGGGATCAAACAACTTGGTGTAAGTCTGCAACAAGGCCGTGTAGTCCGCCTGAGCAGCGGCCTGCTGCTGCTGTTGCTGCTGCTGCTGATGCTGTTGCTGCAACTGTTGCTGCTGCTGTTTCTTGGATGAACTGCTATTGGAACTGCTACTTGACGTGGCCTGTGGAGGCGGCGGAATCGAGGCAGCTGCCACGGCTGCCATCTGCTGCTGCAGGAACGCGTTAAGGTCGTTACTCTGCTTGCTCTGCTGCATGTAGGAGTCGTAGCCGAGCAGCTTGGAGGCCTGGATCAAGTTGTTGTAGTCCGCACTGAGGGCAGCTGCTGCTGCAGCTGCCGGCGAGGATTTCGATGACTTGCCAGAGGAAGAGTTCGATGGTTGCCCGCCAGTCAGGGTGTTGGCGGTGGGTACTCCCAGTCCAGCTCCTGTCAAATAACTATAGTCGGAGCCAAAGCCCAGGGTGCCCAGGGTGGTGGCGCCCAGTGCTTCCGCTTGCTGGAGGAGCAGAGCTGCATACTCTGGCGATCGGATGAGCTCGCTCATCTTTAGCGGATCGTTCTTCAGCTCGTCCAGCTCCTTCATAAGTTTCGTCTTGTACGAATTGGAGGTGGAGCTTGAGTTCGAAGAGGATGACGACGACGAGGACTTTGATGATCGCTCCGACTTGGACTTGCTGTTGTTGTGTGCATTACTATTGCCACCGCCACCAGCTCCTCCTCCTCCTCCTGTGGGCATCGGCATGTTGAAGCTATTCGAGTAGGCCGCCACGGCGGCTGCCACATTCGGATCACTTAAGCCGGCGGAAGCTGTGGCATTGCCTTGCTTGGAGCCACCCACCTTAGCCGCCGCTGCGGCCAGCTGGTTAAGCGAAGAGCTACCGTAATCCTTGCGCTGCTGCTGGAAGAGCGCCGCCAGATCTGCCTGCAGGAAGTTGGGCGGCAGCTGTCCCGCCAGCTGGGCCAAGCTGGCGGCCATTAGATCATTGGCCGTGGGCAGACAGGCAGCTGCTGGAGGCACCAAGGCAGCCGCAGCCGCTTCGTACTTGTTGGGCGTTATGCTGGGACTGTTTCGGGCAATGTCGCTCACGCTGAACTTGCCGGGACTGGGCGCTGGCGAGTTCCGAGTACGCGAGGTTGAGGCGTGCGACGAGGTGTCCGACTTGGCCGGCGATGGGGACGCCCTCACAGGAACCTCAAACTTGGCCGGGCTGGCGGAGTTCGACTGAATGGTTATCGGACTGTCGCGTGGCGAGGCGCTCAAGGCAGACGACAACGCCGGAGTCGTTGAAACTGGTGGGATGGCTGGTGGTGCGGCAGCCGTTGAGGGCAGTTGTGGGGGGAGCAGCTGTTGCTGGCTGGCGGCAGCCGGTGGCAATGTTGGGGCCACCAGATTGGGCAGCACCGACGGATGACTCGTGGGATTCGGGGTGGCAAGTGGCGAAAGCATTCGCACCGGGTTCATATTTAAGCCGGAGGGCATGCACAGCTGCTCCTGCAGCGACATCACCTTCAGCTCGCTGGCCTTCTGCTCGGCCTGAGCAGTGGACTCTTCCTCCGCTTTGCGTGCACTCTCCTCCATGGCGTTGACAGAGTCGCTGAATAGCTCCTCCTTGGGTGCCGTCACCTTTATGTCACTTCCAATGTCCATGAGAACAACAGCCTTATCCTCCTCCTTCACTTCCAGCTCGTCATTGTCAATGATCTTGATGGTCTTGGGCGGTATGAAGTCATCCTCCTGCTCGCAGTCGAGGACCGCGCAGATCCAGTTCCACAGCGCCTTGTCGCTCTGCTTGGTGGGGAACTTCGGGTACAGCGTGTTCTTCAACTTCTCGTTGTAGGTGACGTCGTTGTTGTAAATGTGCCGGAACTTGACCACCTCGCTTCGGTACTGGGTGTAGTAGTCCACGCACAGCTGGATCTCGGAGCGCACCTCCTCGGGTATCTCCTTGTCGGGCAGTACCGAGTATTGCATCAGCATGGGCCGCCCGTACTCCATGGATTGCCGGTTCTCATTGGGCGGCACGATCCAAATGCACTTGACCACCGATTCGAGAGTGGGATTCTCATCGTAGTAGGGAGCTGGGGAAGATATTGAAGGTCATCAAGGAATTCTATGAATTCTATTCTTGGCAAGTAATACTCACATATAATCAGGGAAACACACGGCGTGTAGGTGAGATCGCTGGCTCCACGCATCCGTATCTGATAGTCCAGCTGGGAGTCGCAGTCGCGCAGTGTCGGTTCCGCCTGGAACTTGGGATGCGAGTGATACCAACCCACCAACAGCAGCTGATCCTGAATCATCATCTTCTGTATGTCCCGTTCCACTTCGCCGGCTCTCTGGCGATCGAAGCGTGTGCTCCGGCAAGGATATGTCTTTGTAATGGATAATGCTAAAGAAACAAAGAATATTAAAGCGATTTACATATGCAGACTACAAATCCAGACTCACTGTGCGTGTTCATGTCCCAGGTTCCGCCCAGATACCCGCACACCTCGCGCACCGTCAAATGACAGTGGAAGTCTGCCAGCAGGAGGGCAGAGGAGTTGATTGTGATGAGGAAGGGCTGCAGTTTGCCCACCGACGAGAAGGGCACGGACTCAATGAGCATGTTGGCGTCGCTAAGGATTCAAAAACAAATGAATTTGTTAATTACAAAGTCAAAAAGAGCTAAAGGAGGAATATCTTCCCAAAAACCACAAATATATATTTTTCCCTGGTTTACTCACTGAACTATATTGCGATTGGCCACGGTATTGTGTGCGAAGACTGTTCTTTTAACCACAATTTCCGGGGACTCTGACTTGCGTTCGGCATCTACAGTTACAAGGGAATGAGCAGCGATCTTAAAGGTAGCAGCAGGTAGCTAATACATACCCAGGTCACAGTCATCGAGCGGCGCCTCCTTTTGGAGGGCACACTTCCGCAGATACGTGTTCTTGTATGCGTCCAGCTTTTTGCCCTTGTACTTGACCGAGGCCCAGCCGCAGCCGCTCTTCTTCTCCGGATTGATGATTCGCTTGCAGTGCATAGCCCAGGCGCTGGGCGTCAGGAAAATAGTCTCAGTCTCATGGGATTTGATCTTGCCGTCGGAAAGCAGGTCTCCGACAAACTTCTGGCCCAGGTATTCGATTGTCATCAAGCCCTGGCCCGGCTGCAGGACATTGGCGGCCATCAGCGTTTGCAAGGTTACCGTGCGTCCCGTGCCATTGAAGCCCTCGTAGTTCTCCTTGGCCTGGAAGGGAGTTTGCATATGTCAGGTATGTATTTCGGAGTGCGTTTCCAAGTGTGCTCACCTCATCGTCGTTGTCGTCGTCGCCAACATCGCTGTCCACATCTTTGTCGCACAGGTTATCCTCCAGCATGGCGGCGACGGGTGCTGTCGTCCTATCCAGGGGCGGTGGTCCGGAGTCCGAGTTGTTGGTATTAGTTGCATCCAACGCGGATAGTTCACGCTCCCCCTCCAACTCCCGCTCGCAATCGTTTGTTATTTGCGGCGGCGGCGGCGACGTCGGCGGCGGCTGCTGCTGCTGCTGCTGTAGCACCTGCCCCTCCTCCTCAACATCGCCATCGACATCGCCATCACCCTCGCCGTCGGAGCTGCTCACCACCTGGTTCTCGCCCACCTCGTCCACCGGCTCGCCCTCGGCCAAGGCACCGTTTTCCACACCGTTCTCCATGCGTCCTGCAATCAGCAATCTGCAATTTTTTTCGCAAATTCAGCCGCAGAATTTGTGTATGTGGTGGCGTAAAATGTTGTTAGTAGTGCTCAGTGTGACCGCGGACTGGTCGCTCTAATATACCAGGCAGCCTAATAAAAATACCAAAAATATTGCGGCTGCTGTAGTGTGACCAAGGCTTTTACTTTCTTTGGTATTTCATGTTGAGTCAGCGGCGGTCACATGTCAGCGTAAATGTAAATAATATTATTTTTGTTTAATAAAGAGTTTGGTAAGGGAAAGGATATGGAGGACATCACGGCAGTTGCTTCGCCCCGAATCCGTTCTCTTCGCAACAGAGCACAAAAGTAAGCAAACTTGAAATCTAAGGACAAGCTCCAGTTTTGACTATATCTTTGCAGGTGTCGAGTTTGCTTGAAAAAATCAAAAGAAATGGTCAATATTTTTGATATTTCTCCAGAGCATTGCGTTCCCATTGCGGACCTGCTATCTCAATACACACGACTTGAGATATTTAAGGGTGATTCGTATCCCGAAACCGTTTGCCCGCCTTGCCTGCAAGCTGCCAAGAACGCATTTGAAATCAAGCAAGATCCCGAAGGAATAATTGACATAACACAGGATGAGAGCGGGGTCCAAGTAAAGAATGAAGGCATCGACAATGTGTTTGAGGAATCTGCACCACAGATGGAATATTTCCTGATAGATGAATTCCTGTCAGACGAAGTGAAACCTGATCAAACGGAAGAATACTATTCAGGCAATGTGATGAACGAGGAGCCACCGGAAGAGTACTTTTCGGGCATGAACGAGGAGCCACCGGAAGAACACTTTTCGGGCCAAGTGATAAACGAGCCAATTGATGATGACTCATTAGGGGAAGATGCCGGGGAGAGCTTAGATTATGAAATCGATCCTTCTTATTTGCGAGAACAAAGTCAAGGCACTGATGAGGATAACAATGATAATAATGGGGAATCTAACAGTGTTGTGTTCCCATGTTCCTGCTGCCCAACGCGTTTTACGAAAAGGTGTCAAAGGATGCCTACCTACAAGTGTCCACATTGCACAAAGTCCTTTAAATACGAGTCATTTCTACAACAGCACATAAGGAAGCATACTGGGGAAAGGCCCTTTAAGTGTTCCCAATGCCAAAAAGATTTTACAACCCAGCAACAATTTTCACTACATTTCAAGAGTCACCCTCAAACTCAAATTTTCAAGTGTTCCCACTGCGGATTGGTCTTTTCAAAACTGGAAGAACACGAAGCACACTTGAAAACACACATAAAAAAGAAGATAAAGTGTTTCAACAGCCAAAAACATTTTTCTAGCGCTCGTAAACTCAATAATCACATAGAGATATCCCATAAGAAAATTTTCTCTGAAAAACGTTATACCTGTTTGTACTGCAAAATGTCCTTTAGACGAAGGGAATCTCTCCTTTTACACTTGAAAGGCGGTGTTTGCATTTCACGCCTAACGAAGCCTAAAATACGTATATCTGAATAAAATAAAAAACCATTCTTTTTATATTTTATATTTGAAACCTTATATTTAATTGCAAGCTGAAAGGGTATTTAAAGTTCGACTTGCTGAAAAATAGTAAATACCGTTTTTTATAATTCGTTCTGCGTCGCTTTAGGACATAAGCAACTTCCAGCCACCTGGTCACACTGGAACGCTTACTGCAAAAAGGCGCGCATGCTAATTTACTGAATTAAAGTTGTGTTTTTGTTTAATAATTGTTAAATTGCTGCATGCCCAGACAACATGGCACTTTGGGTGGACAAATACCGGCCGCGGGAACTGGCCAAATTGGACTTCCACAAGGTAAGGGCAGCAGGATCAGCCATAGTCATACGAAAGCCATCGTGCTAATATGTTACTCCTGAGCACAGGATCAGGCGGATAATTTGCGAAATCTGTGCAAGCAGAGTGACTTTCCGCATCTCATGTTTTACGGACCTTCGGGCGCCGGCAAGAAGACGCGCATCATGTGCCTGCTGAGGGAGATGTATGGAGCCGGCGTGGAGCGGCTGCGGAGTGAAACAATGACATTCACCACTCCATCAAACCGCAAGATCGAGGTGATGACCGTCAGCAGCAACTACCACCTGGAGGTGAATCCCTCTGATGCCGGCATGTACGACCGAACGGTGGTCATCGATCTGATCAAGCAGGTTGCGCAGACGCACCAGATCGAGATCAATGGTCAGCGTGAGTTCAAGGTGATCGTCATCTCCGAGGGCGATGAGCTCACCAAGGACGCGCAGCATGCCCTGCGCCGCACCATGGAGAAGTACGTGGCCACTTGCCGGATCATTATCTCCGTGAACTCCACGTCCCGCATCATTCCGGCCATTCGGTCGCGTTGCCTGGGCATCCGGGTGGCGGCGCCCAACGAAACGGAGATCGTATCCATTCTGCAGAGCACCTGCAAGCGGGAGGGTCTCACCCTGCCGATGGAGCTGGCCAAACGCGTGGTGGACAAGTCGGAGCGCAATCTCAGGCGGGCTCTACTAATGCTTGAGGCCTCCAAGGTGGCCAAGGCGCCGTTCACCGCCAACCAGGAGATACCCGACCTGGACTGGCAGGTATTCCTGCGCGAGACTGCTTCGCAAATCATCAGCGAGCAGACGCCTGGCAAGCTGGAGAAAATCCGCGAGCGACTGTACGAACTGCTCACACAGGGCGTGCCGCCCAATCTCATTTTTCGCGGTCTTGTTGAGCAGCTGGTGAACAACTGTGATATGTCCATCAAAGCCAAGACGCTCGAGTTTGCAGCGGAATACGAGCACCGGATGCAGTCGGGGGCCAAGCACATTTTCCACCTGGAAGCATTCGTCGCCCAGTTCATGAACATCTACAAAAAGTTCCTCTCTGAGCTAGTTATGACGGATGACTTTTAATGTAAATGTATAACTTATTTCGAATATCTTATAAAGAAAAACTGTATGAAACAAGATATTTAATGGAAAAGCGGCTGTTGCTGCTGCTGTCGTTCCTCGCGACTCTGCAGGATGGCCATGCTCATTTTGTCCTCGGTTGTGCGTTTGACCGTGTCAATGTACCTGCGGACTTGCTCCTCCAGCTTGATGTTGGCCTAGAAAGTAATTAAAAGGGTTAAATTTGTGAGTATGTCAACGGAAATTGGTTTGGGATGTGAAATTTTTTGAGCTTACCATTTCATACTCGATGTCCTCCTTGCCATTGACCTTCAGTGCGTGCAGCAGCAGATCGATTGTGTTGATGGGAAAGGCGAGCTGGGGACTCGCTACGTTCACCGAATGCCCAAAGTCAAAGTACTCGCAGCCTGCACCCAGCATGCCGCCGATCATCTCATGGCCCAGATCAGCGGCTTCCAGCAGGCGGTTGTGCTTCACGAAAAGATGCAGGAGCTCCCGGGAGTTGGCCAGCTTGTACGAATCCATCAGCCACTGGGGCACGAAGGCATTCAACACAAGAAGTCTGTTTACGATGCTCTTCTTGATCAGCGTGGAGTTCTTCTCCTCGTTATCCCCCAAGAGCTTCTCGAGCAGGGCCCAGGCCATGTCGGCAGCATTGTTTCGATGGGGAAGATCTGGACAGGGCAAAGCATAATCAATAAAGTTGGAAACTTGAAACCCTTAGCCCTGAACCAACCTGCCATATCGTTGTTTTGCAACCAGCTCCAGGCATTCGCCGACTTATCCTCTGTGGCCGTGACACAAGCCGTCGTTAGGCTCTCGAATATGGGCAGCACGGAGAAGGTGTGTCCCCGGGACAGTTTCAGGGCAGCCGTGTACAGACCACAGCTGGCCAGAAGATAGGACAACTCTTCGGGTGAGGCGCGATCATAGGAAGCGGCGTCTTTGCGGAAATGGGACAGCTCGAGTATGGCCTCGGCGTGGACCAGTTCCCGGCGAATATCGGGCAGCTCCAGGACAATCACCTCTTCCTTGGCCTCGTCCCTAAGTTCATTTAGTTCGTCATCGTTTTTGTCCATTGAACCCACCCTTTCGTCGCCAATGGTGGGCTTGGCAATCCATCTGTAACGGCTGTCCACCAAGTGCAAGCTGTTCAGGCAAACCAAGAGCGAGGAGCAGCGCTTCTCCAGGGCATTGGGGGCATCACTGTCCACTTGCAGGCGCATGGCCTGCTCGTACATAACCGTTGCCGCTTTACGCATATTCCCCTTGTCTGTATGGAAGGCGTACAAAAAGTTGTAGACATCGTTCTGATCGATGCTCAGGGCCCTGGCCCGACTCTCCACAATGTCCTCGAACTCGTTCTGCAGGCCGTGGTACGAGAACCTCATGAGCAGCTGCAGTTTCTTGGTGTTGAACAGCGTTATGACCAGCTGTCGCAGGCAATCCTTTCGCCGCGACGTATCGGCGTTGTTCACCAGGGCGTGGTAGGCCTGATCATAGTGACCCCACTGCAGATGAATGTTGAACACAATGGACTGGAACATGGGCAGCTGCGGATCGTCGTACTTTAGGATTTTCATGGCTTCGTTGGCCAGTTGGTTTATACAGTCCAGCGCCGAGTACTGCTCAAAGAGCTTGATCACCTTCAGGTAATATTGAACAATGGCCGCCTTGGTGTCCTCCTCCGACACTGCCTCCTCACCTTGGACGACATTCTCCTGCAACTTGCTGTACAGAGGCGTGCTCTTTAGTACGTGCTCAACTAGGAAGTCGTCTTCGACCACGGAGGAAGCTGTTTCCTGAAACTGATGGACTGCCTTGTGCGCCTCCCCGCAGTCCAGCAGAGATACGGCCAGCACAAAGCGTCCTTAGATCCTAGTTAGAGAAAAATAACAATATAGAAACTCTACTCTCTGACTTACTTGCATCGGCCTTTGTCGTACACCAGCCGGACAAGAGGCGCACATAGTCCTGCACGATGATGTGCTGGCAGGTGCCCAGTAGCCATTCGGGGAACACGTAGATTGGCGACTCGGGCCACAGCATCTTGTTGATGGAACCCACAAGTTGGAGCAGCACATCGCGCAGGTTAAACGGCTCAGTCTCCAGCTGCAGGCTGTCGGTTTTCTGTATCATGGCAAGGGCGCTGGCGAGGCCCTTGGACTGCAGGAAGAGGCTGAGCAGCGTGGTCTGGTCATTGCCCAGGTTCCGCAACTGGCTGGCATAGGGACGAGTGTAGCCACTAAATAGCTGGGCACGGCTCAGTCGCTGGATGGAAGCCTCACTGAAAAGGGTGACTTATATGGGGTGCAGGGAGAAAAGGCAAAGATACGTACAATCCAGCTGGTGCAGTCAGGGAAATGGGTGTGTCGGCGATCCAGACCAAGGTGCTATAGCAGTGCATATAATTGATGTTTGTGGAAATGTTAGAGGTACTCATTCCAGCTGGCTTGCACACCAGATACTGCAGTATTAACAGGTTCCGACAGACAGCTAAGCTGTAATTTAATGACAAGAAATCTTATGGATTTTAACAATTATTATTTAAATTGATCTCACCGTGTCATGGCCATTTGTTTGACCGTTTCGGCCAAGATGGCAAGTCCATATTCGCTGCCGAAAAAAGCACCCGTTGGCTGCAGGAATCGCGATGAAGCGGAATAATCTAAAGAGGGGAAAAAAATAAATAGTAATATGTATACATATGTATATTACATACATAGATTCCCCCCTTAAGCCAAAGTCAAGTCCTTACCATGCCGCGGAGCATCTGGATCGATGATGCTCAGCACATCGAGTAGCATTTCCACAGCCGGCTTAACATTGGGTATGTCCTGAAACTTCTGTGTTATGGCCTTCAAGTTATCCGCTGACATCGCTGCCAGACGGGATACCACCTTGGATATCACCTCAACTGGGCACTCGCGATCGTACAGCTGCTTGTCCATCTCAACTCTCATGTCGTCCGAGATCAGCCCCTCCAGCAGCGTCACTACCTGCATGACGTTGACAAATCTCGTGGCCATTGCGGGATCGCTACGGAAAATGGGTGCCACAAATGTGGCCACCCTTTTGCTGTCACTGCCGATGAGCAGCAGATGCTCCAGCACTTCGCAGGGACGCAGAAGTGAGAATGACTGGCGCCTGACCAAACACACAGCATCCATGCCGCCGAGGACAGCCAGCCCCATGAGCTCTGAGAATTTGATGTGGTACTGTTCGCAGCATGAGTAGAAGCGGTCCCAGAGACGCGTTGCTATCTCCCAGTAGACGTCGTCGGGGACCTCAAAGTCCTTCAGCTCGTTCTGGATCTCGTCCTCGACGGCCGTGCACACCTGCTCCTTCAGCACGGACATCGAGAGCTGCTTCACATCCAACTGCATGTTGACGCGCCTAAACATCTATGGGAAATGGATTATTAAAGGAGATATTTTCTTCCAACGGCTAAAGTAAGTTAAGTTGATTCTCACTTACATACAGGGCCTTGGTAATCACGTGTCGATCAAAGCGTCCCGGATGGAAGATGTACGAGCAGTACGCCTCTCGGGGATTGACATGGTCCTGATCAATTGTGAGGCTATAGCGATCCGGTGGAGCTTCCAGGGCAGCGGAAACCCATTTAACCACTTTCTTTGAACTCATATGTCCTGCCGAGACATGAAATTCACCCTCAGCATTGCTCCAAAGGGCCCAGATATGCGAGTCGGTGGCATCAAAGTTGATAAGATCCATTTGGGGCGCCGCTTCCGCTGTTTCCTCGTGTGTCACCAACATGATACCTTTGTGATCTTCGGAATTGGGCACGATGCTCAAGCAGATGAACTCGGCCCCGTTGTCGTGGGAGATGAACAAACAATAGTCCCGATCGTTAATTTTGCGCATTTGATTATTTTGAGCTAAGGTAGAAAATACGTAAGACTATGCAATAGTAAGAACTTAGCTGCACTCACGTCCTTGAGCTCCTGAACCTGCGTGACTGGAGCCGGCAGAGAAGTTTGTGCTGGCCACCGTCTGCAGGCCATCCACTGACCACAATCGCAGCTCATTGTTCCGGTAAAGGACTAGGATGTAAAGATACCCCTCAATTTCGCTGAATGCCATGGACATGGCTGCCTCCTGAGTCTCCGAGCGGCCACTGAAAACATCGTTTGATAATTATGTGAAAGTAAGTGCCCGATCATACTCACGTCAGAGCCCCCTTGAGGTTGGACAGAAAGCGTGGCATTAAATATGGCTCCTTGACCTCGTTGGTGGTCGTGTGGCCGGTGCTGCAGTTCATGGTATGGAGCAGCAGCTTATCCTCGTAGGCCACTGCAAAGTAGGCACTGAGGGTGTCCTGCGAGATATAGGATTCCGCCACATTGGGCGGTATCGTTCCAAAGCCATCCGTCACATAGAAGCTGCTCGGCTCGTTGATCTTCTCATTTACTTCGTAGAATATGGATTGGGACAGCAGATCCTCCGGTATGCTGCTAAAACCTTCATCTTGGCCAGCCGACTTCAGGGGGAACACATACCGATGCACACTGCTGACGGTGACCACCAGCAGGGTGATGCTCCTCTGCTGCTCTGCCAGACTAACATTCAACACGGCCGAGTCGGTGAAGCGTAGGCGCAAGTGGTTTCTCTGCAGGGAGATGTCCAGACTGACCTCCGATAGTTCAAGGACATCCTGGTTTGCGCGCCTATAAACGGTAGAGTGGCGAGGGGGGAGGAATACATTACCAGACGAAATAATATCAATGGGACTGGAACTTACCAATAAATAAAGCGGTTCCTGTATTGTTTATTATTACATCGCTTGTAGCAGTAGCCGCCGGAGGTCTCGAATGTCTTGAGATCCTGCAGAGTGCTCTGGGTTCCTGTTTTTGTTAAATGTATTAAAATCATGGCTTTCATGCTACCGACCAAGTACTTTCTTCTCCTCCAACGCAACTTACCCGTGTTTATCTTCACTTCTATCCACTCTGCCGGATTAAGGTTCTTGGGGATGACCTCCCGGTAACTCATGTTGGCAGAATTGGGCATCTTTATGAAATATGCAGGAGGAACCACAGAAAATTTTATTGGCGGCACCGGCAAACACAACACGCTCAACAGGTTCAGTGTTGGACAACGCAGAAATGGGCTTTGTTAGTTTGTGGTCATACATCTCGCAACACCCCTGGTCACACTACACCCGGCCTTCCACATGTGTTTTTGTTGATGCTGCTTGTTATTTACCAAATTTCTTAAATTAAAACTAAATTACACAAAGAAAATGAGTGGACAAGAAGACGAGACTATAGTTTGCCTGCCAGGCGAGCGCCTTTGCCCCACAGAAGACAATATAGTCTTGGGCGTGGGCACATACGAACAGAATGGCTATATCTATGCCTCCAAGTCCGGCATTGTGAACATCGATGAGTCCGGCGAAAACGTGAGTCTTATTAGCCCACCTAAAGCTTCAATTCATTAACTGATCTCTCCCGCAGTGCCAGATTGTGAGTGTGCACAAGCCAGGCTTCCATCTGACCATCCCAGCCACCGGAGACGTGGTCACCGCCCGCGTTTTGGTCACAACTCCGAAATTCGCCAAGTGCGCCATTTTCTGTGTGAGGAATGTCCTGCTAGAGAGCAGCTATCGAGGCCTCCTGCGAAAGGAGGATGTGCGAGAGACGGAAAAGGACCGCGTTGACATCTACAAATCCTTCAAGCCGGGCGACGTGATCCTGGCCCGTGTGATCAATCAAATGGAGCAGTCTTTCCTCCTCACAACTGCTGAAAACGAGCTCGGAGTGGTCATTGCTTATGCCAGCGATGCTCGAAAGAATCGCGTGCCAATGGTACCCGTGGGCTGGAGCGAGATGCAGTGTCCCCAGACCACGATAAAGGAGCCACGTAAAGTTGCCAAAGTCCTGCCGGAAAGCTCAATAAACGATGTGAAATAAGGCCATTCGAATTATGAACTCAATCGTGGGGATTATTAATGGACTGCTATAATTAATTAATGGGTTATTTATTCTGTTTCTAGACAACGGTTATCCCCACAGTTACTTGTAAGTAGAAATATTGGACCCAGTATTATTGCTATTATTTCTTTATTATTGTACCCGCAATTTACCTGATTATTTGATCTCAAAACAGGAACTCTTACTTTAAAAATTGAATTTAGATAATAACTATCATATTTTTTCTTTAATTTCTAGGCTTTCGTTTTTAAAGGAAACAATTTTTAAATTACAAAAAAATTATCTAAGGTTTTTTTTTCAAAATAGCACATCAAAACATCATATAATTTCATTCTCGGAACTTTAAATCGTTAAATTTATATGATAGTATTTTGGGAAAATTAAATGTAAAATAATATATTTTTTAATGAAGGTCTTGTACTTCGAATATATAATCGACAAGTTTCTAACTTTCATTAAAAAAAAAACAAAATTTACTGTTTGGAAAACTATTGGCCTGCAAAATGTTCAAAACTACAACATTGTGGTTTCCATAGTTATGTGTCTACGTCGATGAGTAATCTTCAATTTCTTTTAATGACTATTTTGTTATTATGATTAAACAAAAGATAAGAAAGGAGTTTAAGGCCTAAAAGACTTATACCCGGTAGAATTTAGAGAATTTCACAGAAATAACCTGGAAGCCGAAAAATCTGAAGTAAAATTTACTTAAATGAGCCTTTATTACTATATATTTTAAGCCTAAATCATTCTTTTTTAGTAATTACCTTTACCTATTTCTGCGTGAGAAAGTGTGTCCAAATTAATAAGTTTATTTATTATTTTTTGTTAACTACATAAATCAAAGATCATATGCATATGTATATCCCGATAGCTGGGGAAATGACCCTTTTGATGGCTTCTGGAAATCAATAGGCAAACACATGCTCTTTACGAGTTGCGAACATAAATTGTTTTTGGAAGGGAATGACAGGTACTTATTCCAAACAAACCGAATTACCTTTACATGCTATTGCACGTGTTTCCCAAATAAGGCAAATAATAAAAGGAAATATGGCTGCAGGCGTCAGGGCTGTAAAGAATCCGCCCCGTAACCCGTTGCCAATCAATATCACTGGGAGCTGTTGTTGATGGGATAGCAATAGTTGCGATTCCTATGCAAATAGCAGCTCCCTTCGCGTGCTGGAGTCGAGGCTAATTCAATCAGAGGAGCGGGAGCATGGAACAGCTCCTGGACTAGGCCACCGTGTCTTGTCTTGCCGAAAAGGTAAATGCAAATGCATAAATGTTACAGGTGGGCAGGGAGTCGACTGAGTCCCGGTTCCCGGACCGGGGCGGCATCCAAACAACCAACCAATCGTTGTTTGGTCGATGGGAAACGCAGCCGGCTGGTTTCGGTGGTTCGAAGTTCGAATTCCGGTTAATATTCAAATTAGGGCTAAGGGAAATACAATCAATGTGCGAGTGCAAGTGAGCAGCTCGGCGGGTAGTTGGCCCTGTCGTAGTTGTCGCTGAAACGTCACCAGTTCCGATCAGGCCCGCAGCATAAGTTCCGGTCGCTGTCACTAGTCACTGTCAGTCGCAGGGCAACAGCTACAAAGACCACATCCCAAGCAACAACTTCGGAACGGAAACGGATACGGACAGGGAACGGCTCAGGGACAAGGACTACAGAGACGCAAGCAAGCAACTCATCATGGTTCAGATATCGCAGACGGAGGAGGACATCAAGATCTCCATCGAACTCAATCGCTTGGTAACCCGCAAGCCGGATGTTGTCCTCCTGCCGCAGTATCTTAAGTTCAACAATCCTCCCATTTTCTTTGAGCGTCATCTGGCCCAAGAGATTGACGAAATGGCCAGGTGAGTTTATATTAGGAATATAATAATGTTTCTTTTATTGTTCCCAATCCCTTGCAGCTTTTGTCGCATTTTCAAGAACGAGGCCCGCATCGTGCTGGTGAAGAAGGAGAAGGGCTTTTGGCCCGAGATGTTCCAGAAACTTGACAAAGAGGCCCTTATGCAGAAGCGCCTGGAGATTGCCGACCTGATTGTGGAGCGTAACAAAAAGCGGGACGAGAAGGCGCTGGAGCGGTATGAGAACAAGCGGCGTGCTGAGATTGAAAAGGAGATAAAGCGGGAGACAGCTATGCGGGAACGGGTGAAGCAGTTCCAGGAGGACTCCGTCCGTGAAGCCCTTGTGGTGGACGTTCGCAAGGAAGCCAATAACGCCACTCCCAAGACGGAACAACCGTCTTCGGTGGTGCCCTCCGCTAGTCGCCTGGCCACACCCCTAATGCTTCCACCGATGAGCTCTGTGCGCGGCAGCGGGCGGATTACCGTTAGCTTCTCAAGCCAGCACAAGCGGAACACGCCGATGAGGGAGTCGCAGACCACCAGGGACAATGCCTATGCTGCTGCCGGCGGACCTAATGCGGCTGTTAATCCTCCCATGGAGAGCCTCGACGAGTGAAGTTAAAAGGAGTTTGACACAAATTGTGCGTGCGTGCGTTCTTGAGACTGTTCAAAATGTTTCCTATCTTCATATTCCAACAAATAAATTTACAGGTGTGGGCTTTACTTGCAACAATTTATTTTAACTTAAAATATATCATTAATATAATAATAATGTAGAGCTTATTCATTGATTAAATAGATAATAAAAATAAGGACTCATTTAAATATTGGTTCAAAGTTCGATATCGCCGATAACCAATGACGTGGAATAAACATCGATAGCGGCCTTGTGTCAGCTGTTTACCCATCAGCTGAGAAAAATAATCGGTCGGCACATTCGATATACATTCGACGTTGCTTTTTTCACAATTTTTTTTGCCGCTATGTCCGTATTCTCACAAAGGAACTATTAAATATATTTCTCGGAACGACACGCGACGCAGCTGGTGAAGACTGATGACTGACGCAGCAGGAGCTGTTAACCAGAAAGGCCCTGCCGGGGACAATAACACGGACTGCAAGGGGCAAACGCTGGCCGGCGGAGCTAAGGAGGCCGCCAGGCTGGATGACCTGGTGCAGTATGTGAGCCTGCACGTGCGCATTCCGACGCCGTTGAGCGGTGTGGTGCTGCCCTTTGTGCCGCTCTACCTGGCCGCCTTCTACCTGTGGATCCACGTGTACGGCGGGGAGGTGACCACTCCCAGCGACAACAACAATACCGAAGTGATCTCCGAGGCGAACGGCACCAGTACGGATGCCGCCACTACGGTATGGAATGACGTGGGTTTCATTGGTGTGGTGGCCATCGCCTTTCTGCACATTCTCACGCTGCTCTTCTGCTACTGGAGCGTCCATGTGCTGGCCTTCCTCACGTGCCGTCGTGCTAAGCTGCCGGGTGCCAATGTGCTGGCCAAGGTGGTGCCCACGGCCAACAATGGCAACTCCAAGATCGTTCCCGTGCGTTCCACCAAGCTGGACGACGGCTCCACACAGTATTTTTTGGTGTTTCAAAAGACAAAATACGTATGGAATGAGGATAGGAAGACGTTCCGGGCTGTGGAGTTCCCCGTAAATGGACTGTTGAGCAGTTACTCTGCCTCTAGGGGCTTGGAGACTGAGGAGGCCATCAAGCGGGCCACCAACACTTATGGCAACAACGAGATGGATATGGTGGTGCCCGAGTTTCACGAACTCTTCATCGAACGGGCCACAGCTCCGTTCTTTGTCTTCCAAGTGTTCTCGGTGGGACTGTGGTGCATGGACGACTACTGGTACTATTCCCTGTTCACCCTCTTCATGCTGATCGCCTTTGAGTGCACCATCGTCAAGCAGCAGTTGCGCAACATGTCCGAGATCCGAAAGATGGGCAACAAGCCGTACCTGATCTACGCCTTTCGCCAGAACAAGTGGCGGCAAATTGGATCCGATGAGCTGCTGCCCGGGGACTTGGTCTCGGTGACACGCTCCCAGAACGACAACATTGTGCCTTGCGACCTGGTCATCCTGCGGGGATCCTGCATCGTTGACGAGTCCATGTTGACGGGCGAATCGGTGCCGCAGATGAAGGAGTCTCTGGAGTCGCTTGATAATCTGGATACGGAACTAGATGCCGAGGGCGATGGCAAGCTGTTCGTTCTGTTCGGTGGCACCAAGGTGGTCCAGCACACAGCCCCCACCAAGGAATCGCTGCGTGCTCCGGACGGCGGCTGTATTGGCTATGTCATCCGCACGGGTTTCAACACATCGCAGGGCAAGCTCCTCCGCACCATCTTGTTTGGAGCAAATCGCGCGACAGAGAACAATGTGGAGACCTTTGCCTTCATTGCCTTCCTGATGGTATTTGCCGTGGCCGCCGCCTCTTATGTGTGGGTGAAGGGCAGCGAGGATCCCGAGCGCAATCGCTACAAGCTCTTCCTCGAGTGCACGCTCATCCTGACGGCCATCATCCCGCCTGATCTACCTATTGAGCTGACGCTGGCCGTGAATACATCTCTGATCCAGCTGACCAAGCTGTTTGTCTTCTGCACGGAGCCTTTCCGGATCCCATTCGCCGGGAAAGTCCAGATCTGCTGCTTCGACAAGACGGGCACCTTGACCACGGATAATCTCATGGTCGAGGGCATTGCTGGTCTGGCTCCCAATGGGTCTTGTGTGCCCATCGAGGAGGCAGAAGCGAATACGGTTCAGGTGCTGGCCTGCTGCCACTCCCTAGCCCTGTTGGACGATGGATTAGTGGGAGATCCTCTCGAGAAGGCCACATTGGCCGCGGTGGACTGGAACCTAACCAAGATGGACAGTGTCATACCGAAGCGTCCGCAACTAAAGCCCCTAAAGATCGTTCAGCGCTATCACTTCTCCTCGGCCCTGAAGCGAATGTCGGTCCTGGCCGGCTACCTGATGCCCTACTCAAACGAGGTCAAGCACATCGGAGCTGTGAAGGGAGCCCCGGAGGTGATTCAGAAGATGCTGCGTGAGGTGCCCGCGGATTACGAGAGAGTTTACTTGGAGTATGCCCGTCGCGGTGCTCGCGTCCTGGCCCTTGGAATCAAGGAGTTCGGCACTCTAAGCAATCAGAAAGTTCGGGAATTGAAGCGCGAGGAAGTTGAGTGCGACCTGACTTTCGCCGGCTTTGTGATCATCTCCTGTCCCATGAAGCCTGACTCCAAGGCGGTGATCAAGGAGCTAATTCAATCCTCCCACAAAGTGGTAATGATCACCGGCGACAATCCGCTCACCGCCTGTCATGTGGCCCGCGAACTGCGCTTCACCCGCAAGAAGCTGCTTATCCTGACGCCCTCGCCCGGGGATACCTTTAAATGGGTGTCCGTCGACGGAGACCAAAAGTACGAGCTGGAGCGCAAGAATAGCAAGAGAAGTATATCCATGCTGCTGGCCACGCATGACCTCTGCATCACCGGCGAGGGATTGCAGTATCTGCAACTGAACGACCATCAGTACTTGCGACAGTTGTTGCCACAGGTCACCGTCTGTGCCCGCTTCGCGCCCAAGCAGAAGGAGTTCGTGATCACCCAGCTAAAGCAGCTGGGCTACTGCACTTTAATGTGTGGTGACGGCACCAACGATGTGGGCGCCCTAAAGCACGCCAACGTGGGCGTCTCTCTTCTTACCAGTGCTCCTGTGAAGCGCAAGCGCACCGAGGAGGAGCAACAGCAGGCGGCAGCCAGTGCGGCGGCACAAGCAGCAGCAGCGGCGAACAATGCCAACCAGCAATTGACGCCCAGGGAGAGAGCCCTACGCCGCCGTCAGGAGCATATCAACCAGACACAGGCCCGCCTGCAGAGTGCCCTACGCGATATGGAAGAGCAGACCATGGTCAAGCTGGGCGACGCCTCCATTGCGGCACCCTTCACCAGCAAATCCTCTTCGATTATGTGCGGTTAGTAAACGGTTTTCCTTTGGCTTTAATATATATTAACCCGGTTGATTCTCCTCCCAGTTAACCATATTATTAAGCAGGGACGCTGCACGCTGGTAACCACGCTCCAGATGTTCAAGATCCTCGCCCTGAATGCCCTCATTCAGGCCTACTGCCAGTCCGTGCTGTACATCGATGGCGTCAAGTTCAGTGATACCCAGGCCACCATGCAGGGCATTTTCATTGCCGCCTGCTTCCTCTTTATCACCAGAGCAAAGGTAGCTATTTTAGGATGACACTAAAGGATATTGGTTATTAGGTTATTTTATTTTATTTTCAGCCGCTGAAAACCCTGTCTAAGGTGGCACCACTGCCAAACATATTTAATTTCTACACTATTTCGACCATCCTCAGTCAATTTGCTGTGCACTTTGGAACGCTCTACTACCTGACCAGCAGGGCCACCGAGTTGGCGCCGCCCAGGTAAGCTTGGGTCTGTGACTTGATCGGAAGCTATTTATAATTCCCCTTTCATTTCCCGCAGAGTGGGCAAGGTGAAGCTGTACATAGACATGGATGCCGACGAGAAGACCAAGTACGAGCCAAACATTGTAAGCAGCACGGTCTATATCATTTGCATATCCCTGCAGGTGGCCACCATTGCTGTCAATTATAAGGTGAGGCTGCATTTATTTACATTTACATTTGTATTTGTATATTATAGATATTTATATTTGTATTTTATCGATATTTATATTTCTATGTGATTGATATTTATATTTATACGATTACCAGGGTCATCCTTTTATGGAGAGCTTGCGCTCCAATCGGATGCTTATGTATGCCATTGGAGCTTCAGCTGCACTCGTGCTGCTTTTGTCCACGGGTCTGGCGCCCGAACTGACGGAGTTCTTTGAGATCATTGATTTCCCCACGGATGTAAGTATTTTGGAGTCTCTTCTCGATGATCTTGTGCTTATGTATTTGGTTTTTAGTTCCGAAAAATTTTACTCGGTGTGCTGGTCCTTGATATTCTCGGTGCCTTTGCCTTGGACCGCATTTGCTCATTCCTCTTTGGAGAAACGCGTCGCACCGCAAAGTCCTGAGTGCTGAACCCTTGGGACCCTTAGACCTAAGTACTAGACAAGGAGCAGCTTCTAAAAACCTTACTTTCCACAAGATAGATGAACATCTTATTTTCTTCTTAAAGTAAACGGCGTCGGTTTCTTAAGCGTTTAAAATTCCGCAACAGAGAGTCAACATAATGCATTTAAGGTGTATTATAGGTCGAGTGTATTAGTTCTCGGGCAGACTAAATATCATTTTATTGTAAGAAAGAGCATAACTTTGAATTTCTTTGTGTCCCCCCGTACATTCGATTAGTGAAATTGTCGTAATATTTGTAATTAAAAAAATAGATACAAATGTAAGAATTCAAGTTAATATTTATAAAAAGTTCTTAATGCCTTGTGTTTCAAGTCTGGTCTGGTTCGGGGTCCTCCACCTTTGAGTCCTCCAGCTGCTTGAATTGAATCAAGATGACCAGGTAAGTGGTGACGGCCGAGAAAATCTGCAGAATGTGATGTGATATTTACTTATTTAGAAAAAATTAAATATATTATTGTCAAAAACTCTCGAAATAGTATAGTTCGGTTCTTAGTTCTAAAAAGCGCTCAACCTGCCACTATAGAGTTTCGTTGTCAGCAGAAAATTTGCCTTCATGTTACTCATCTTAAAGCTTGATATTTGGCTTTAATAATATTACTAGAGAATATTCGTAAGTAACCTATATGTAGTATACCTTGAACAAAGTCGAGTTATCTATTGCAAAGAATCCATATGCCGTGAATTGAACCTCTTGCTTAATGCTCTTGGTCAGAAATTTATCAATCTGCAAAGGAAGCGTTTCTTAATGAAATTTATTAAATGTTACAAAATTCTTGCGCACTTACAATATTCTGATACTCCCTGCTGCTGGCATAGACCCTTGATAGTATCTGGGATGTGGCATTCGCCTATGAACAGAAGCACTCAGCATGATTAGTGGTTTAGCCTTATCTGCGATTTAGTTACTCACCTCTCTGGTGGTCAGACCACAGCTCCTGGACAGCAGAGCCAGAAGGGAGACGTGGAGACAGAGCCAAGCAAAGCACCACTGCAGAATGTTGGGCGACACCATGCCTTTGGCGGTGATCTGGACAAACAGATTGTAGCAATTGGTGGTGACCGTGTAAAAGGAGTAACCCAAGAACGAGACCAGTATCAGGTTGCAGCAATCGTTGATACCCTTGTAGATACGCAAAAGTTTATTGTGCATGCGATAGATGAACAGCGAGTCCTCCGGGAAATGTTCCATAATGGCCGGATTGGGAGTGGGATGGTGCTGACCATTGCCCCGATGTCGCCTTCCACCGCCTCCACCACCCTTGCGCTTCTGTTGCTGCCCATAGGTATATCCATTTAGCAATTGGTTAATGAAATGGAAACGTATGTACACAATTCTCAGCAGAGCTGAAGCAAACACGATGTAGGTGGCCGTGAGACCGTTCTGGACGGCATAGAAGGCCAGCAGTATGTAGGAGGGCGGTGTGATTACACCATCCACAGCATAGATCTTCAGCACAATAATGTAGGTCTGACAGGCGGCTATGCCCACCAGGAACTTCACAGAGAACCCAAAGTTCTGGTTCAAATTGGCCCCAAACTGCTTACGCACTTCCTCGTCCAATTGAAGGATCTCGTTCATGATGCGCAACATGCTCTTGGTATTTCGGGCACACACGAAAACCGTAAGGGTGTAGGTCAGGATGCAAAGTAGCAGTTCGATCCACTGGTTAACATTATCGGTCTCCCGATAAGAGTAGAATAACTGGGCCGAGATGGGTGTAAACAAGCTGTAGACATTAAAGATGGTGAGGGCGTGGACCACGCCTCTCACGAAAAAGGAGTAGAACTCGTTGGTCTTGGTCGGAGGACCTACTTCGTAGTTGGAAACCTGCTCATAGATGGGCATCAGGCCACTGGCCTTCAGCACTGACAGTATGGTGCGTATATCCTCGAAAACGGGATGATTGTGTGACCTCGTACTGGGACCAGAAGTCGCCGCTGCGGGGGAATCCCTAGTAAAGGCATCCCGATTCAAGGACGGCGTTCGGTACGGCGAGATCCTTCGCGGGTACGGATGAGAGCACGACTTCTGCGACGGCATTTCGATAACCCAAGTGTTCGGGGACATGGCCAACAAGGCACTGACAGGGCAAATAAACGGAATAACTGGATTGACCAGCTCGTGGGTCAAGGGTAAGTGGGGTCGTTGTTATCTGATGGCAGCCAGGACCCACTTGGCTATTAGAGTAATTGCCTGCATTGTGGATTATTGAATAATGCCAACGGATGGGAACTACTAATATTGACAACAAGTTTGGAAAAACGTTCCTCGGAAATTCTTAACTTAAATGACTTTTGGCAAAAACCCCTTGTTTTTAATTCAACTAAAATATTTATATTTTACTAAAGTATTTGATTTGAATAATATTTATTTGGGATATTGAATTACGGTCGCCACACCGCACATGTTTCCGGCATTTCGAGCCAGCCTCATGTAGCCATTCTCGCCCCAGCTTCTCCCAAACGAGTTCTTGATGATCCAATAGTCTCCGAGCCAGGGATCCCGGCCGAAACCAACCACCAGAACGGATGCTTCCAGGTATTCTATGTCTGAGATGCATAAGGGTTCCTTGTAGATTCCTCCTGTATATTGCATAAAGGATTTGTGGCTGCCATCAATGGAAACAACCACTGGCCCAATGTTGTAGACAATCTCGGCCAGCTTCTTCTCATTAGCACCTTTCAGTGTTACGTAACCCTTGTTCCTGCCGACACTGGTACTAAGATCGTAGCTGCAAGATGACTTTCGACCTCGATACGGGTATGATTTCTTGGAAGCGATTCCATGATGACTGGTATAATTAAAGGCAACAGCCGGCCATCCGGCTCCACATTTACCATGAAAAGACAACAGTGTTACAGGTGAGCAGTCGATCAGTTGCTGGGCAGATAGTTCCACCAAGCGGCGGCTCTTGATAGCCAGATGAGCCTCCAGAGCTCCTACAGCCGACATGGCCCAGCTGGATTGACAACCGTTGTTTTGATTTTGGACAGGTGCAACGTAACCATATTTGCGCCAATCTATTCCTACCAGGATTTGGTTGTAGGACTTGAAAAGTTTCGCAGCAGATCCCAGCAAATCCACAAGAAGCAGCAGGAAAATTAGCCTGAGAGTCCGAAAATAGTTCATCATATTAATATTTGTTGGCAACTGATGAGTAAGCCTAGAAAATGAGCTTATATACATAGCTTCAAGCTGTGATAATAGTCGTTACTGGTTAACTTTATAAGCTGTAGATAATATTCAATACATAGAAGATTTAATTACAAAATCATTTAATAGAATTTCTAGGAATTTTGGATTAAGAATGATTTTTGTCATACATTAGAACTTTTTTTTTTTTTCGATTGTGTATGATATCTGAAAACGTTTTCTAGGAATATTTTAACCAGTTCTCAATTCAGATTACTCAGGCCGACAAAATATAAAAAAAATCACACAATTGAAAGCAGGAATATACATTTTCGATTGTTTTTGATGCGGTGAACTCAAATCCGATCTCAGAGTTTATACAAGTTTTTGATGTAACTTCCATCATTTATTTTCTTTAGTATCTTCGAGATATCGTATTTGAATTTATATCGTTATTTTTCCATATATATAAATAAATCTAAACAAGAAAGAAAGCTAACTTTGGCCAGCCAAAGCTTGTATACCCTTGCAGGTAACAATTAAAATATATCATAACTAAGCCAAAAATGCATTAATTTCGATTCGGAAAGCAGTTTTGTGTTAGTTTTTATTAATTTAAAAAAACTGCATACCAAATTTAAAATTTTAAGAAATCAAAATTTTTTGGCCATTTTTGCAAATTTTAATGATGTAACCCCTTATCAAATTTCGCAAAAATGGCCAAAAAATCGATTTCTTCCGGACATGTCTAGAAAGATTCACATGTTAAAGCTGATCAAGAATATATATGGTTTATGGGGTCGGAAATGATTCCTTGACTTAGAAAAGTATTATTTTGTATTATAAAATCGGATTTTTTATATTAAAAAAACTTCTTGATTTTTTAAATACATTTTTAAAATTAAAAAGAAAGGAAGCTAACTTCGGCACGCCGAAGTTTGTATACCCTTGCAGATTAGTTTCGATGTTTATATTATAGATTTAAATGCTGAAAACACTCACAAAACAGAGTTTCATTAAATTTTACCTATACTTATTATGTTTACAGTTTGACAGTTTCAGTTTTACATTCCCAGCTTTACATATTTTATGGCAGCTATATGATATAGTTGTCAGATTTTTATAAACTTTATTCCAAAATTCTAGAATAATAAAAAAAAGCTTATATCTGAGAGTAGATAAACATACGTTGAAAAACAACGAAGCTATAATTTTTATACCCTGGCAGGGTATTTTATTTCCAGTCCGAAGCTAATTACGCATTGAAGGAGTCATTTCCGACCCCATAAACCATATATATTCTTGATCAGCATTAGCAGGCGCATCTTTCTGGCTAAGTCCGGAGGAAAAAAATTTTTAATCAATTTTTTCAAAATGTTATAAGGGGTTACATCATTAAAATTCTCAAAATTTGATAAAATTTTCAATTTCTAACTAAGTATGCAGATTTGTTAACCTTATAAAAACTAACATAACAACGCTTTCCTAATGCAAATTAAGGCATTTTTGACAGATTTATGCCTATTTTAGTTTTTAATTTGCTATTTTTCTCTGTTCAATTACAGACTTTTCATCGTCATCGCCATCGCTCCTAGTCATCAGTATCAGTAGACCTGACACCCACCCTGGACAAGAACCAAGGGAAAGGACCAACGACACACGCAAAAGAATGGTGGATAAGGGATGGGAATGGAGGAATAGGGATCAGGAATCAGGGATAAGAAGAGAGCACCGCCAGAAGCCAAAAGTCAAAGTATCATGGCAGTTTCGATCCGGAATGTTAATCTGTCATAAATAGGACTTCCAGTCAGGTCTGCCGGCTACTTTTACAACAACAGCAACGAACACAACAAGCAACATTTTAATTTTAAAATACTTTATTTTATTCTATGTTAATAAACCTAAATAAAAACAATAAAATACATTATTTTATATTATTTTGTTTTATTTTATTTTTCCTATTCCTATAAGAACAATGAAATGAGCATCACTGGCAGTAAGTGAGATGGCATTTTAATGCAAAATAGCTAGATGAGCATCACTGGCAGTTAGTGAAATGCCATTTTCTCCCAATAATGCAAAATAGCTAGATGCGCATCACTGCCGTTAAGCCTGATTTTATAGCCTCCCAATATGACAAAATAGCTAGATGAGCATCACTGCCATATAGCCGGATTTTATTGCCCCCCAATATTGCAAAATATAGCCAAATGAGCATCACTGATGCACATGAGCATCACTGATGCAAGTGAGCAAAATTTCTAAAATTTGGCCGCTTTCCAAACTGGGGTAACAGGCGAACAGAAACCAACAGCAAGCAACTGAAAACTGGTATAAACTGTTATAAAAACTTTTGGGCAAAAATAATAATTGGTATAAACTGTTATATTTCATTGTATGCATTTATACCTATTTGTTGCCGACAACAACAGCTTATGGCAACAACAACCTTTTTACAACAACATCCCTACAGCAGCCCATCCAAATTTCCGAACATTTCCATGCAAATTGCCCGTTTCCCAAATTGGGGTAACAGGCGAACAGAAATCAGCAGCAAGCAGCTGAAAACTGGTATAAACTGTTATAAGAAGTCCAAGTTTCGAACCATGGATCTTGGAGTAAGCGAAGACTCAAACCAGATGTGACCATATTGTAAATTTTTTGGCTAAAATGTTGCCTTAATGCACCTGGGCACACTGAAACTGACTTTGCATCAGTGATGCTCATCTCCATCAGTGATGCTCATCTAGCTATATTGCAATAGTGGGAGGCTATAAAATCGGGCTTAATGGCAGTGATGCTCATCTGGCTATATTGCAATATTGGGAGGCTTTAAAATAAGACTTTACATCAGTGATGCTCATCTATCTATTTTGTCCCAATAAAGAAATATAGCTAGATGCGCATCACTGCTATTAAGCCTGATATATTGCCTCCCAATATTGCAAAATAGCTACATGAGCATCAGTGATGCAAAGTCTTATTTTATAGCCTCCCAATATTGCAATATAGCCAGATGAGCATCACTGCCATTAAGCCCGATTTTATAGCCTCATAATATTGCAATATAGCTAGATGAGCATCACTGATGCAGATGAGCATCACTGATGCAGATGAGCATCACTGATGCAAAGTCAGTTTCAGTGTGCCCAGGTGCATTAAGGCAACATTTTAGCCAAAAAATTTACAATATGGTCACATCTGGTTTGAGTCTTCGCTTACTCCAAGATCCATGGTTCGAAACTTGGACTTTTTATAACAGTTTATACCAGTTTTCAGCTGCTTGCTGCTGATTTCTGTTCGCCTGTTACCCCAATTTGGGAAACGGGCAATTTGCATGGAAATGTTCGGAAATTTGAATGGGCTGCTGTAGGGATGTTGTTGTAAAAAGGTTGTTGTTGCCATAAAGCTGTTGTTGTCGGCAACAAATAGGTATAAATGCATACAATGAAATATAACAGTTTATACCAATTATTATTTTTGCCCAAAAGTTTTTATAACAGTTTATACCAGTTTTCAGTTGCTTGCTGCTGATTTGGAAAGCGGCCAATTTGAATGAAAAGTTTTGCTCACTTGCATCAGTGATGCTCATCTGCATCAGTGATGCTCATTTGCATCAGTGATGCTCATCTGCATCATTGATGCTCATCTGCATCAGTGATGCTCATCTGCATCATCAAAACAGCAAAGTTATAATTTTTTTTCTAAAAATATATCGAACATTTGTATGGCAGCTATATGATATAATCGTCCGATCCGGCCCGTTCCGACATACAGTGGATCGCAGCTTATTTCGTGCAGTCAAGAAACGAAAATTTAAAACGTCCCTGTGGCTAAACGATTGAAGATAATCCAAATATTTAAACGCAGTACTTTTAGTACTTGTACTAACATTTATACTGAACAAAGACAATCTTCCTAATTATAAAAACGATTTTGTATTTTAATAAAAACTAATTTGAGGGCTTTTTTCATGCCGCAGCTTATTTCGTGCACTTCGTTTGATTCAACTTATTTTTATTAATTTAATATAAACAATTTTATGTGACCTCTTATTTTATTCTGAATACCTTTCAGATGATGTTTCAATTGAATTAACTAGTTTTTTTAATGTTTCTAGATTAATTTTAATCAATTCCTCTAAGGCACTACTTTTTTGATAATTTTGGTCAAAACTTTTAATTTTTGGGATGGCTAGTCCAATATTTGCTAAAAATTTTAAATAATGATTATGTCTGGGTGACATTGATGTTGTTTTTTTGTCATTAGGACCGTTTTGTGTGAGCTAAAGCTTCCGAAAGTCCGATAAGTAGTAGAGACCGCTGTACTAATAGTTTTGCAAACTATCCCGTGTGACCACGTTTTCTACATTTTGAAAGAAGTTAACATTTTATATTGAAGGGAACATATTGGTTTCTAAGATCCTGCCAAAAAAAATTTGGTTTCCTACTCTACAGGAAGCCATTTAGGCCCAAATAAGACACGATCGCCGCCTTGCTTCAGAGTAGCTTGCAAGTGTTTGGTTTCTAGCTCAATATTGGGTCTCCGCCAATAATTTATACTGTCATCAGGATTAAATTAGTTTAACTTTTACTTATTGGTAAAGATAAAAACATTCCAAAAGAAAATCGGACGAATTATAAGCTCCTATGAAAAGTTTTGATGTTGCTCCTGTGCTGGCTTCCTTATAAATGGCTCTTTTCATACTACTAGAGCCTTATAGATGTATTTTTGCAACAAGAGGCGTATTAAATCGGCACTACACTTGTTTCTTATTTCCTGCTCTATCTATATAACAAATTTGGCAGACGTTTGTTAATGATTTCACTTTTTTTTGGTCCATGTAATGAACTTAATGTTCACTGAAAAATGTATTCGGTGTATTTCGGCCCTTATGTTTGGCCCAATCTTCACGGACAAACGATTAATTTATGTTTTTATATATGTGCGATTTAAGAATAACATTTTCGTAGTACCACGGTGATTTTTTTTCTGTCTTAAATTGAAAGAGAACTAATTATCGTATTTTAATAGAAATTCGCGATCCTATTTTACTTATTTCCCCATAACTTCATATTTTAGTGTGATCAGGCCAAGAAACTTTTAAAATATACATAAGCTACCAATACCAAAGCCAAAATAAAAAAAAAAATTAAAAATTAAGCCAAAAATTCATTGTTTTTTACATTTTAACTAGCTGCACGAAATAAGCTGCGGCGTGAAAAAAGGTCATAAATTTGTTTTTTTAATATTATTGTTTGTTCTTATTAATTGGGAAGATATTTTTTTTTAATTTAAAATGTAGGATATCTGATTCAAAACACTGCATTTAAATTGTTTCGATATCTCTTATGGTAGAGCAGCAGTGATGATTTATACTTTAGTTTCTTGACTGCACGAAATAAGCTGCGATCCACTGTATATAGCAGTGAGAATATATAGAAGACTATATGCAAAGTTTCATTCAGATAACTTTAAAACTGAGGGACTAGTTTGCTTAGAAACGGACAGACGGACAGACGGACAGACGGACGGACAGACGGACATGGCTAGATCGACTCGGCTGTTGATGCTGATCAAGAATATATATACCTTATAGGGTCGGAAACGTCTCCTTCACTGCGTTGCACACTTCTGACTGAAATTATAATACCCTGCAAGGGTATAAAAATATCATAACTCGGCCAAAAGAGCATTAATTTTAAATCGGAAAACTGTTCTGTGCTAGATTTTCTACAGTTAATAAATCTCCATACTTCATTTAAAAATTTTGAAAATTCAATTTTTTATCAAAATCAAAAAATTTAATGATGTAACCCCTTATAAAATTTTGCAAAAATGGTAAAAAAATCGATTTCTTCCTGGCATATCTAGAAAGATTCCCCTGTTGATGCTGATCAAGAATATATATGGTTTATAGGGTCGGAAAGGTCTCCTTCACTGCGTTGCAAACTTCTGACTGAAATTATAATACCCTGCAAGTGTATAAAAATATATATATTAAAGTTACAGATCCTCAAAAGTCCCCAAACCTGTTGTTGCACAATTTGGCAGTTTATACTTGACTTTCTTCCAATCTCTCTTCCCATAATCCTTTCCTAAATGATTTACAATTTCCTCGATTCCAATCCGATATGGAACCATTTATGAGGCTTTTTCCTTAAGTCCGGTGTAATCCCTGCCATCACAAACCCGTAAATCGAAAATCAAATGGGGGTAGCAATTCGATGTAGAACCAATTTCACCCTCGGATGTGACAAAAGCGTGTTATGTCTATATTATCACACGGGATGCGTGAAATATTATTATTGTCACACCTTTTGCGCCCCCAGAAGCACCCAGGCATGCACGTACTCCCACTCACACACTGGCCAACATATTTTTCCACCCCTAATGAGGGATTGCAATTCAATGTGGTCGTGCCCTTTTTTTCTGTTTTGTCAATCTCCTCCGCCTTACCTTTGGGGCGGAAGAGTGAGAGCGAGAGAGTCCTGAACATGGGCACGCTGTTGCTTTTGGCACACGACTCACAATGGCATGAATTCCATATAATATAGCATATTTTATAAAATGTGCGAAAAGTTGAAATTTATGAATGCAAGCATAACAAATTTTTGACTTCAGCCTTTTACAATAACTCATAAAAACTTTATTTATTAAGCTAAAAAATGCATATAGATATAAAAATCAAATAATAGTATGACTTAGGGAGCTCTTCTAATAATAAAAAAAACACTTGAGTTTTATTTCTATAAGTGATGTAGGAATATTTTTTTCCGTATACCTAGAAAGAAAATCTCCACCGTGCTGTGACGTCACGGCTTTAGCTTACGGCTAAGCTCACTCCGACAGATACAGACACGGAGAGAGTCAGTGCGTCACCAAGCACACGAAGAGAATGGGCGGAGTGGGACAGGGAGGTGGGGTAGGAAGAGGGAGTGGGAGAGTGGAGGGCGTGAGAGAGAGACACTCTTATCAGCGGCGGCATCGACAAATCGAAGACAAAACAAAACCGAAATTTATCCCGCAGAGAAAGGCGAGCGCATCGCTCATCGCACGGAATGCTGCCGCTCCTTCTGATTTTGCTGACTCTAGCCAGGATCCACGCCCACTACACCAGCGGGGATGTGGCCTACCATCCAATGCCGCACTTCTGGACGGGTGTGGGCTTCTGTCCCGCCGGTCGGATCGATCACGAGGGGATTGAGGCCGCTCTGGTCTCCCCCGCCCTCCAGATGAATCTCCGCCAGATTGCTGCCCTTCCGGTAGGAGCTGTGACCCACATACGCATTCACTGGCTGCTCGAGCTGGTCCAGTTCCGGCAGTACGATGCCAACGGGATACCTATTTATGACTTCACAAAGTTCGATGACTTCATAGACTTCTTGCACGAGGAGCTGCGCTTGTCCCCTGTGCTCGAGTGGATGGGTAATTTGGGTGGGGTTTTTCTGGAAAATCCCATGCAGATGCCCTTCTACTGGGAGCACTTGGTCAAGACGACGATTAACCACCAGCTGGGTAAGAAATGACTCTAGAAACCAGAAAGGTAATAAGCTATAACGCGATTCTCTCCATCCAACAGCGCGTCACGGTTCCGCCAGAATGTCCAACTGGCGCTACGAAACCTGGAATGAGCCGGATCTTCGTGTGTACAACAAACTCAATCTGACGTCCCAATCCTATCTGGATTACGTTCAGGCCGTACGTCAGGGTCTCAGCAAAGCTGGCAATCTGGATACCTACGAGGGCAAAGTTCAGCTGCCGATGTATCGAGCTCTGCGGGGACCGGCGGGTCTCTTTAAGAGCTCAGACACCCATCCGCTGTGTTGGAAACTCCTGGAACAGTGCAACGAGAAGGTGGTGTACTGCCCCATCGATATACTCACGTTTCATCGCAAAGGAATCGATGGAACTGCCACGGAGATTGTTAACGGCTCATTATCTTTAATGGCCAAGATCTACGAGGACTATCCCAATCTAAAATCCCTGCCGGTGGCCAATGAGTGAGTGTTAGATGAAACTATAATTTCAGGAGTTGGCTGCTTTACGGAGCATTCCTCTTCAGGAATATATAATTTTTTAACGGCATCGAACATCAAAAAATCATTTTTACCACAAAACTTGCCAAAACTTTATTTAACCTTCTTTCGAATATTAAAACAAAAAATATTCTTACCTCTGTCCTTTAGTGAGGCTGATCCCGTGGCCGTTTGGAGCACTCCTAGGGAGTTCCAGGCGGATGTCCGCTATGGGATTACACTGATATCCACTGTGATGGAGCACTGGCATGCCAAGCTTGCAGGCGGGCCATTAGGCCGGCTGGAGTCCATTAGTCATGACAACGCCTTCCTCAGCTACCATCCCCACGAGTTTACGCAACGCACGCTCCTTGCTCATTTCCAGATGAACGAAACAGATCCACCGCACTCACAGTTTATCCAGAAACCTGTCTACGCTGCCCTGGGAATGCTGGCCAAGTTGGGAAACAGAGCTGCCGACATGGAACTGGTCAATATGGACAGCAAGCACAGCGTTGAGGTCCTTCGCACTGTGTCCGGCGGAGTGGGTGGACCTGGGCAGTACATGGCCGCCATATTCCTGAGCCCCGAGGAGGCGGGACCTCAGAGGACAGCTTTCCATCACAAGTACACCCTGAATATGTCCATAGCGAACGAATCGGCTTTCATCACGGAGATCCTGGTGCCCCACACCACGGATCCCTATTTTGTGTGGCAGCAGGCGGGAAGTCCGGCTTATCCCAATGCCACGCTAAGAGAAGCCATGCGGCGGGCGCAAACTCCCAAGCTGTATGAAACCGGACCCATCTGGCAGTACAACAGCGAGCTGGTTATAAACTCCGCCACCCTGCCGCTGCCCTGGGCGGTGCTGCTCCGCGTGTGCTCAACCGCGTGGCCCAAGTTACGACGTCCGCAGCAGCTCTCTATCGTGGAAGTAACGCATCGCGAGGTCTTCATCAGCTGGGCTGAGCACCCGAAATCCACGCAGTGCCTGCGCACTTACGAGGTGTGGTTTAAGGAGCGCGACAGCAAGGGCCCGGCTGCTGACTGGCAGCTGATATCCCAAGACTGGCATCTGCCGTATCCCTCGTTTCAGTACGCGCCTGGTGATCAGGGATCTGTCAATGGTGAGTAGAGGAAAACCAAAGCAGCTATCTTGTCTTATATACTCCCTCATCTGTAATTAGGTTTCTACAAGGTTCGGGGAGTGAATGTCTTTAATGAAACCAGCCCGTACTCGCAAATAGTCGAGTATCTGGAATTGTAGTTTAACAAACAGTTTATAAATCAAAAGCAAACATAATCAGGCTTCGGCCAGGCGCTAATGGACCTCCCACCCTCTACTCTCTACTTGTCTCTCTTGGAATGGACTGACTTCACCGGGCGCAATCTTGTGCCATCGCCTTAACGCCGCCAATATCTCATATACAGTATATATATACATATATAAATATAAATAGATTTATAGTACATAATCTGTGTTGTGTTCGTATTATATAAATGCCTTGATCCTGTGCAGGAATCGGCGTAAAGCGTAAATACATGTTTCGTATTCTCTCTGGGGGTATGTATGTACAGAGGAATAACTTTCAACTAAATCAGTGTATTATTTAGTTTGCTTTAAGCAACTAACTTTAAGTATGTGACTGTCCACATCTGCCTTAGGCGTCCAAGACCAGCCACTTCTCGTTGATGTGCTCCATTTGCTTGGTGAGAATGGGATTGCGAACACGTACTTTAACCTCCAGTTTGCCTCCCACTTGCTTGCGCCCGTCCATTAGCTAAAAACAATATTTAATTTCGATGGAATTTGTCTAGATTTGGAGGCATCAAACTTACATCGTAAGTATCGTGTATATCACACTTGGTCTCCAAGGGCTGCAGCTTGACATTGACGGTTCCAATCAGCGTGTCCGAGCGCAGGAATCCTCTGAAACAACACAGGGGCAGTTTACGACTTAGTCCACAACAATCTACACTGCAGCTATTAATTAAACGCGTGGCATTTTGGATGAGGTTTTTGCGATTTGTTGGGATTCGAGGCGTAAAGATTTTGAAGAATATATATATATTTTATTAACATTTTCCACATGGCAATCAAGTGATGTTCAATGGGTCTACATATATGAGTGAGATATATGCGTGCGAAGGCCATAACTGGTAGGATACGGAACCAAAGAAGGGTCAAGCTGACTACGGGAGCAAATAAAGTTTTTAATATTTGGGGAGGATTGAAACTGAAATAAGCTAAAATTTTAAATTATAAGCCAATCAAATTAAGTACATTAATGTGTTTTTCCAAACAATATTCAAACATAAATATTATTTTTATAGAAAAACTAGGGTAATTCTAGGTTTATAATCGAGTTTTCATCGTTCGTAACAAGAACAAGTCCCGGTAGCTGAATGAGACACAGCGCAGAAACCATGGATTGTAGCAATTAAAATAATACAAATTACATAAATTCATATCACAATCGATTCTACGTTCCGCAAACAAACTAGAATACTGAAATAAATTTCTGAAAACACCTTGGTCAACAGCTAAGACTTTTACCAGTGAATTGCAAGTTTTTACGTTTATCCCAAGCTTTTACAATGCAGAGATTAAATAAGTTTTGTTTTTTCCGTATGCGTAATATAGTTTATTCTATTTGATAATTTTATTTAATTTTAAAAACATTAGTTTTTAATTGACTCTGAGAATAGATTGCATCAGCTCAGCTAAATGTTTTTGGGTATTCATTTTTATTGGACTCCTAACTCTTGTTTACGATCTCAGATCTAAATGTTTACAAGTAACAATTATGTCTACATTAAGGAAATTGCAAATTATAACTAAGGTAAACTACGACTTATTAGCTCTTAAAACCCCAAAAAATGAATGGGCTTGATTAAAACCACATACCACCTCTGTTAGTTTAGATTAATACGCATGAAAAGCGACTTAGTTCGGATTAATTAAGTGTGCTAAGCTTGATTAGTTATTACAGACAAAAACTTACCCTCTTGAATAAATTTCTAGCTTGACGCCGTGCCTTTTGAAGATCCTTTGGAACTGACGATTGGTTCTCTGAATGTCCACCTTAAAGCGCTCGTCATAATCCGGGCTATTGGTGTCCCTAATAACATTGGTTTTAGTCTTGAAAGATTCATCCTGAAAGAAATATTTGTTGTTTCCAGAAAAATTCTTAACGATAAAGCAGAAAACTTACATTAAGCAGTGGAAACTCCACCCGCACATAGGTATCCACTTCCTTGGGATTGGCCACATTGTAGTTAACACCCCGGACAACGACAATCTCCAGCTCGTTGTCTGTTAGATCCGTGTTGCAGTGGACAATGTTGAAGCTGCGCTGCTCGTAGTGAAACTTTGGCAGGGTCTGATTCTTTCGCTTGGAATAGCGCACCAAGTCCAAATCCTTTTGGACAGTAAGGGCCAGATTTTCAAATCGATTCATGCCGGCTACATCGCCCATGGCCTTGTGGTGATCCCTAGTGTTCTTGCACATCATAAGCTGCTTGGCCAGTTGCTCCTCCATGCGGATACCGATCTCACAGATGTCGTCACTGGGATCGCATTCTTCGGCAGACACAATGGCGAACGAGGCCTCTAAGTTATCTCGCTGGGAGGGAGGGACAGGAAGCTAGAAAGGATTGGAATATATTTATTGATTTATTAATATAATTAGTCTTTTTTTACTCACAGTGCTGAGATCAACGGGCAAGCCACTGCTAGCCGCATTCAGCAGCGAATCAAAGCCCTTGTATATCTTTAGGTACTCCTTGGCCTGATCAATTTCTCCTGCTTTGTTGGCTTCGATGGCAGCCACCTTGAACTCCTTTTGACGCTCCAGAAGGAGTTTCATCTGCTGCTCGGCTAGATTATTTTTCTGCTGATTGCCTGAGGTGCGTGTGGTCAACTCCTTGGGCGGCGAAGGAGCTTTCCGAGGAGTCGTGGGCGTTGCTGCACTCGAGCTGGATGGCGTTCCCCCTGCAGAAGTGCTGGCTGTTGCCGGCGGGGATGCAGGTGATGTGGGCAGCGAAGGGGCTGGAGCCGGAGCAGCATCCCCGGTGGGCAGTGGACCAAAACCGGGTGGCACGGGTAATTCGTCGTAAGGCACGGGTTTGCCAGCCTTGTACAGCTTGATCGCATCCTCATATTGTTTCACAATCCTCCCAAAACGTCGTGCTTTGCCGGTATTATTTTCTGCCTTGGCCGCCGCCTCCACAGACTGATACTTCTCCAGGCGTTGCTGCAGAGCCTCCAAAATGTTTGTAGCGGCTGCCGGAGCGGGAGCAGCAGCAGGAACAACTGGAGACGGTGCCGGAGATGGTTCTGCTGCTGCTTTTGACGCGGCGCCCTCGTTCATTTTAGCCAGGAATGCAAGAAACTCGGCCGGTGGTGGAGGCATGTCACTAAGATCGACTTCCTGGCCATCCTCGCACATCTTTACAACCACATCGAACTGCTTTACCACCTTGAGGAACTGGAGGGCAGTGGCTGTGTCCCCGCTACGCTTGGACTGTAGGGCAGCGGCTTTGTACTCGTTCTGGCGGCTGCGCATTTGAGCCACTAGCGGATTTGGAGGCGTGGAGGGAGCCACAGAGGTCGTTGGCGCTATAGGCGATGTTGGAGTGGGAGGAGCTGGAGCCGCTCGACTCGGTATGGGCGGAGGTGAAGCAGGAGTAGAGGGAGCGGGTGACTCCTCTGCAGCTACTGCAGGAGCCGTTCCACCTGCAGGCTTCACACTGACCTCTGGCGGTATATCGTCCACATTGATAGACTTGCCAGCTGCTGCTTGCTTGTGCAGGTCCTGCAGAGTCTTGAGACCTCTGGCAAAGCGTCTCGCCTTGCCAGAGTCCCCTGCAGCCTTAGCATTCGCCTCGGCCACCTTGTACATCTCCAGCCGCTGTTTGATGATGCTCAGCGTGTCCACAGTGGTGGTGGGCAGAAAGGTCTGCACCGGCTCCTCGCTGGCTGCTGCTGGCTCCTCCGCTGGCTGCTCTTCGTCCTCCTCCATATCCACGCCTCCAATGCCGTTCAATTCACCCAGCAGATCCGAGTCATTTTCCAGGTTTTCATCGTCGTCATCGTCGCTGACATCACGCAAGCTGTCGGCAATCATTTTGTCCAAGTCGCTCGCTGGCACGAGCTTTGCCTTGGGCTTCGGCTTGGGCCGGCCGCCCCCGCCGCTGGCAATGGCCGCCAGCTCCGCCTCCAGATCACTGTCGCCGCCATCGTCATCTCCGTAGCCAGCGCTGGGATCGAAGTCGTCTGGGATTTCCGTAAGGCCAAACTGCACGCAAGAGTGAGAGCGGAGGCGATGACTCATAATTAATAAATAGACGGATCTAGTTGTTTGTTTTTCCTCTTACCTGGGACAAATCGTGCTGCCTTCGCTTTGCTGGCTCCGGCTTCTTTTTGGAGAACATCCTTGACTAGTTTGGAACAATATCCTACCTAAAGTGCCGCTCTTAAGCGCTTTAAAACCTTTAATTAATTGCGTCGAAACAGATCAGACGCAGACAACAATAACAGAATGTTTGTGGGGGGGGGGGGCAAGGTGGCAGAAGTAAAGGTGACGCAGGAAAACGATTGCAAAACAGTGAATTTACCGCAGGGCTACGTAAAATATTGCTGAATTTGAATTTATTTGATGGGAGGATATTCATTAGGATGAAGACCACTTTTTCTAAATACTTTTGCTATGACCAATCCCTAGAAAATTCACAGAGACCTAAATTTATTTCGTTATAAATCATCATTCACATAAATGTGTATATAAAATAATAATAAATATAAATATTTATTTCTATTTATATTTCGATCTAAGAAATCAATATAAAGGTATAACTTTAAACAAATAAATTATTTTAATGCCAAGGTAATTAATAAATCCAATACCACCTCACAAAAGTAACAGCATGCAGCAGTAATCTTATTCGAAAACCAGGGCTGCGCGCATCCTAACAGGTACAGGGCTGCTCCGCCAGCTGACTAATCGATGGGCGGACATCGCCACCTATCGATAACGAGAGCCAGCGCACACACAGAGCAGAAGAGTTTGCGAAAAAGAAAACTGGACAAAAAGCGAGTTTCCTTCGAATCGAGTAGCTTTTGGAAGCTGGCGTAGCCCCTTGACCAGTGCCAAGGCATGCTGTAATCCCCGTCGGCGCAAATCCGTCTGTGGCGGCACCGAGAAGCCAGAGAAACCGGAGCGATTGCAGATCCCTTATTATTTGCCTTCTGCCGTTTTCCACCTCCTCCAACTCCGTGCGGGGGACAAGAGCAGCGAGAGAGACTTCGAGACGAGTCGCTCGGGAGCGAGGGGGCAGCGGAAACTGGGACTGGCACTGGCACTGGCTTGTTGTTTGGTTTAGCGTGGAAATCAACAAACGGGTCGGATCCGGGCCGGGTCGCAGGAACGGGGCGTGGCGCGCTTGGGGCATTGGCTGGCGGCTTGGCAACAACGCGACCGGATAGGCTGCAACAAGTAGGCTGTAGGGATGGACGTGTCGCTAACGGAGCCGGAGACGCGGTTCTACAGTGAGCTCTTTCAATGCTGCGACGTGGAGAAGACTGGCAAGGTGCCCATGCTGAAGGCCACAGAGCTTTTTCGCTCGGCGGACATCGCCAACGAGGCGGTGATTGAGGTAGGTCCAATTTGCGCCACCGCCGCCGCCGAGTGATCGTGAATGATTAATTACCTTGGCTTACGCTTACAGATCACTGGCCTGGCAGGGATTCCCTCGACGGCGCTGCACATCTCGCGAACGCAGTTTTACTCATGCCTGAAGCTGATCGCCGCCCACCAGGCAGCCATGCCGCTGCGCCAGGAGCTGATCTCTGCCACAATGCCGCTGCCACTGCCGCACTTCAGCTGGAAGGAGGCAGCCACGGCTCCGGTGGCTGTTGAAAATGGACTGGCTGCCCTACCGCCCCCGCCGCCCACAGATCGGAGGAACTCCCTGCGCCGCAACTCGCAGCAGGAGCAGCTGCAGGACACCTCTGACTTGCCCAGCACCGACTCCGAGGTGGAGCAGAACGAGTCCGTGGACGAAGCGACGGGCCATGGACGTGGGGGCACAGATGGCAGCGGAGTCGTCAGCAGCAGCAGCCGGGAGAATGTCGGGGTTTGTACTCTTTCTGTCTTATCATGTGACACATGCAAATAGGCTTACCATTGACCGTTCCTCATCCGTTTCTTATCTCTCTTCAGCGGCGTCGAGGTGGCGCTGGTGCCGGTGCTGGTGGTTCCCCGGAAGCCTGGAGCACCAACAGTGACAGCCCCACGCCGACCAACAGTGTGGCCGAGCGGCCCTGGGCGCAGGACACCCTATGGCAGGGCTTGCTGGGCGACGAGCACCGCCAGTTGCTGGGCACCGAGGAGGAGTCCTCGGATCGCCACAGCAGCGATGACGAAGACAACGAGAACGAGCTGGTGACTCTCTACCAGATAACGCCGGAACAGCGCGAGTACTACAATAAGCAGTTCAGGACGGTCCAAAGGGATCCGCATGGCCTGCTCTCTGGCCAGGCAGCACGGTGAGTACAGGCAGAGGATGGTGAAAGAGCGCCTAATAATTTATTTATTTTCCCGAAGAATCTTCTTTGAAAAAAGCCGAATTCCCGTGGAGGAGCTGCGCCACATCTGGCAGCTGTGCGACGTGACTCGCGATGGGGCACTAAGCCTTTCCGAGTTCACCGCCGCCATGCATCTTGTGGTTCTGCGGCGCAACAACATTCCGTTGCCGACCAGCCTGCCCCATTGTCTGCATCCCAACGTGCTGCTAGCGGCAATGGGCGGTGGTCAAGGTGTTACATCCTCGTCGTCGTCGGCGGCGGCACTGCCCCAGGAACCTCCCGAGGCTGATCTCCTACACCTAAACGACGATGATGAAGATGACCACACAGACAATACAATCATTGCTGGCAATCTCAGCGGAGGCAGTTCCTCCACCACCAGCAAGCCGCGTCCCAACGTGCCACCCGGCGACAAGAACATCATGAATCTGAGCACCATCTCCACGTCCTCACAGGCAAGCAATAGCTCCCGGCGTGAGGCAACGCCGCCCAAGAACCGCAGTATCTCCAACTCGCCGAGTACCGAGAAACCGGTGACGGGAGCTGTTCCCGCTTCAGGAAACGCCGTAGACACAAGCACGAATGCCGCCAGTCAGTGGACAAAGTTCAGTGAATCTCCGACGACAAGTGCTGGCCCAGTGCAGTCCACCACTGGAGGAGGAGCTGCGGCAACAGTAGTAGGCGCTCCTGCCGTCTCTAGTCCCGGGCTAAAACCAGCCCTGTTCGACATGAAGCGCTCTGCGCAGGACGTGGTCTCCAATCCCCAGATTCTGCACCCAGTGCCGCTACGAGTGACCCCTATCGGTAAGCGGCGCCTGCCTAGATTTCAACACCTCCCTAATAACTCCCGTCACTTCAGGCACAGCCGTTGCTTCCTCTGCTGAAGCATCCAACGATAACGAAAGCGTTGTAGTGCTGCGCGAGGACAGTCCCAAGGCCATCACATCGACCACGTCGGTCATCAGTCAGTCATCTGGATCGGCTGTCTTATCATCGGGCGTCATTTCTGGCTCCCATCGCGAGAGCAGCGATTTGCGTGCCATCCAACGGCCCCAGGCCAAGAAGCTGCCTGCCAAAAACAGTGCTCTGCCGCCGCCGCCGCAGCGTGAGTCGAGCATCGGATCCAGTGGTCCCAGTGAGCCGCCTGAGCAGCAAACCGTTTTCGTGGCATCCAAGAAGGAGCCGCCACCCCTGCCGCCGCCTAGGCCGCATCGTCATGCGCGGAGCAGTAGCCTGGACTTGAACAAGTTCAAAATGGGCGCAACAGGGGGTGCCCAGCAGGCGGAGGTGAGTAAATAATGGTTAATGGTTGCCCCCCACATGGTTTGTGTCTGTGTCGTGATTTAACTTAGTCCTTAGACAGCCTTGCAGAGAGAGACTATGCGGCGAATACCTAATATTCTCTGCAAATCTGTACGAGGCCATCGAACCACCAAACTTCCTGCCTGTGCAAACCTTGTGTCTTTCTTTAAACAATACTATAAAATAGATATCTTTGCAGTTGACTAAAACTAGTTGGGAAGTTCTTTTCCCCTTTTTAAATATTTAAAAGATTTTACTAAGTAGAGCTGGAAATAAATCGATTATTAGTGAATCTGGACAGGAAGTAGAATCGATTAAAATCGAAAATGGATATCTAAATGATAGATAGATTTATAAATTTGTGGTTCTTTACATTTTATCTATAGATTTTGGTATTATTTATCGTTTATATGACATCGATAATATGACATTTAAAAAATGAAATTAAATTCGAAATTGTAATTAAAAATAATAACACAAAAATGTTTACACAATTTTACATACGTATAAAACTTTCTCGATTAAATCGATTCTGAAAATGTATATTGATCATCGCGTAATTAAAAAAATCTATTAATCGGTTATAGAATCGATTTTATTTCCATTTCTATTACAAAGTATATCTGAAGGTCCGATAGTAGTTTGATTTATCGAATTTTAAATTTGTTAAAATATCAATATTATTATTATTATTACTATTGGAAAAAATATGAATATGATTTATCACAGATAATCCATAACCTCGGTGTGCCCGAGGTTCTTACTTCCTGTTTACCGTGTTCTTTGCCCCCATAACTACTACCTACCTATAACCTGTAACCTGTAACCTGTGCGACATGTATATAAATTGCAAACCCACTCTTTGTCAAGATCACTGCGCAGGCCAGCTTTGATATGCAAACCTCAACGGGTTTTGCCGATTTCACGCACTTTGCCGACGAAGGCGCCGCGAACGTCGTAAGTCCAATCCTAAATGTATGCAACTCGTATTCGCATTCCACGAAAATTGGCCGTAGCTCCACTAGTGTCTTGTGTCCAAATTCAGTAGCTTAACATTTGAATACCAACACATTCATCGTTCTGTCTGAAACTAACCCTGCGCTTACGATTCTAGATGGACGAACAGCAGCTGCACTCGCTGCCGCCGGCAGCACCTCCCCCTCAGGCTGCAGTGGTGCCGCCCACCAGGATTACTTTGCAGCAGGCTCAGCAGCGTGTCTCTGCCTTCGAGGTCTATCGAAAGCCACAGACGCCGCGCGGATCTCAATCGCCGCCACAGCAGCCGCCACCTCCGGCTCCGGGCCTGGCAACGACTACCCAAGTAGGTCTGCTGCCCAGTGCCGAGAGCTTTGAGAAGCGGGTGTCCGCCATCAGTGACTCGTTGCGCCATGTATCCTTCAAGCAGGGCCAGGCCAACACCACAGAGGTCTTGCAGCGATTACGGGAGCAAAACAACTCACTGCTGCATCTTTGCAACGATTTGAGCGACGAGCTGCTGAGTGTGCAGACGCGCAAGGAGGAGATGCGTCTCAAGCTAGAGGGACTGACGGCCGGCGAGGCTCCTGGGCGAACCAGCTCCTCGATATCAGCGCCGGTGACGGCTAACGTGACTGGCGGCTCCTCCGGTTCTGCAGGGGCTTCTGTCTATACCAACATTTAAGGAGCAGCGATAAAGGATCATGTCTGTTAAGGGGTGAATTGATTTGTTCGGTCAGGAGTACTACTGAGATTGTTAGCTTTGAACCATTCAAAACTACTTGTTTGCTTATGGAACATTCCTAATTTTTCGACTACATGTTGGATTATTTTCAAATCCATTCAATTTTTCAAAAATAATTTTTAAAAATGTTACAATATTCGTTTTAAAAAGAAGCTTAAAGTGTAATAGTTTTTTTAAGAGCTTTTCGATGAAATTCAAACATTGATATTTTCGATAAAACCCTAACATCGATTTTTTCAATAACATGCAAACTTGGATGTTTTTTGTTAACTGTACTTTCCTCTGAACAAATTAATTCACCGCTAATGTTAGTCACTTATTTTCTGCCGTTTTTGTATGTTGCAAGCACAATATACTCTAAATCCGGGTGTTTGTTTGCACAGCGATAAAGCAGGGTAAACATACAGATTTCTGTTTTCCCTCATTCTGTAAACAAAAATAATCGTATGATTTCACAAAGTCAAGCATTTTCTCGAATGTGTTTGCTCTGTTTTTAAGCCAGGCAAAGTACCCCCGGGTCGGAGTTGATGCATTGAAGTTGCTAATTTAATTTGTAGGCTAGTTAAATCTCAACACAAACAAATCATGCGAGAACTACAACAATAATGCCGCCTCTATATAGATATTTACGCAGATCGATTTATATATATGTATATATATATATGTACCTATGTACGTATATTTAGAGACATGTGTATGTATGTACGAAGCGCTTCTCCTAATTGTTGAACGAGTAAATGACAAGCAGACCCTTCGCTTGGCAGCCAACCGCCACCCGTATCTCACCCTCACGCCCTAGTGTATAATGAAGCTGCCACAAAGTGGTCCAAATCCAAATCCAAATCCAAATCCTCCTCGGCTTTAATATTCCCTGCTGTGCGAATTCGCATTTAACTTTCCAATTTTGCTATTTATTAATTAATGTTTTGTGTATGCCTCGAAATTCACCCTTCTATTCATTCCGGCAATGAAAGCTAACAAAGAAAAACGATCGTAAAAACAAGAAGAAAAAGCCAGGCTTAAATGTTTAAGTATTAGAAAACTAAAAAACGAAAACAACAAAAAATCGACAAGAAATTCATTTCCTTGAAAGCTTAGCTTAGGTTTTTCCAAAACAAAAAAACCCTATATACATATTAATATATTTTCTATCTGTATAGTGTACACAAAAAAAAAAAAGAAAAAAAAAAAACAAACCTTGATATTATGTACATTTACCCAACAATTTCTTTCTACGTCTAAAACGGGAAAGGAAATATGTAAGACCGAAAACAGGAGACAAATTTAATTTAACCGGACCACTAAATATGTACGTATATGCTAACTTCGAATTTATCAGATATACCGGCATACATATATACTTTTTTTTGCATACTTAAACCCCGGAAATGTATGAGTTTCTCTTCAACTTGTTAAACATTTTCAAATATCTACCCACAATCACAGAAATGAAATGAAAAAAAAAATCATACATAAATTTAATGAAAGGAAAGAAAAGTGATATTGAAACACTATGTAAACATATTATTACGTGGCTGCGTAATCAATGTGTATTGTTTTGATGGATATACATCTCTATGAATAAAGATAAATGTATTAAGTTGAATGTTAAAATGCAATAAAGAAAACAAAGAAAAAAAACGGACATTTTTCGATTTCGAAAAAGCGTAGCGATACTGCAGCCCTGGTCGACAAGCCGATAACAGACGCCCGCCGTTATCGATGACACTTGCACACGCCGCTACACATCTCTAGGGCTTTGCGGCATTGGGCAAAAATTTTTGCGAAAATCAGTAAGTTTACGGGAAAAGCTACTCTGATGGTTAATTTTCACAAGATAGTACAGTAATTGCTGCAGGCAGAGCCACGAGACAAGCGCGCAGTATCCAGGACTTCCCGGCTGGGCGATTTTGGCGATCCAGCACTGCTGTTGCAACTGTGCATATTGATACGGCAGGTTAGTGTGAGAGTCGGTCGCAGCTTGACATTAACTGATGAAATTAATGTGTACACCCGTGCCTGCAGTCAGCCGATGTGTCAATGTTAATCGCGCTTTTTGCGCTCGCACACTTGCCAATCTTTCGTAAGACGCCGCCGCCCCCGACTGAGCCCCCGTCGCCAAGGTGTGGCAGAGCAGAGAAACCGAAACCACAGCCAGCAGTTGTCCGTATTCGCGCACCGGCAATCGACGCAGCAGCAGCGGTCAGGATGAGCAGCACCACCGACCAGGACAAGCTACCGATAGCTGCCAATGGCAAATTGACGGAGCCCAAGGAAGTGGAAATAATGTGAGTGTTGGGATACCCCTTTAATTGAAGTATCCATATCTCTAAACCACCCTTCTATACTGTAACAGAAACTTCCTGCCGCACGAGAGGCAGTGCTGTAGGGTCATCAAGACCAACCATACCAGGGTCCTGGCCTCCGGCGGAGTTCACAACCGTGGCTCCTCCAAGGTCAAGCTAAAGAACGTTGTCGACTACAAGTGGGAGCGCAAGTACTACTACCCCGGCCACCTGGTGGCCGTCCATCGCGATGGCAAGCATCTGGCATATGCCATTAATGGTGAGTTTAATCGATTAATATTATTAACATTTTTTGTTGGATGATACTTTGTTTCTACAAGGAACTCCACTTGAGTTTTTAAGTATTTATTGAAGGAAAAGCCACTTTCCTACTTTTTAAATACATCTTCCTTGTTTGCCTTCGCAGTCAACAACAAAGCCACCGGCATGGAGGGAATGGTTCGTGTTTGCAACATCAGCACCAGCATGCGGGCTTTAATTAAGGGTATGAGCGGCGAGGTGTTGGACCTCCAGTTCGCCCACACGGACCGCGAGCGTATTCTGGCCGTGATCGATGTCAGCTCGCTCTTTGTCTACAAAGTCGATCTAATCGAAGGCAATTTAGTGTGCAATCTCGTGCTGAAGGTGGAGGACCCCATCGCCAACTATGTGCCGGAGTACGATATGGTCTCCTGGTGTCCCTTTGTCTGTCCCGGCAGCTCCACTGTCTCGCCGATCAATGAGGAGGATGATGAGAATCAGCTGCTCATTTGGTCGCGCAGCTCGCAGTTTCAGTGCTTCCACGTTAAGATGATTGTCTCTGAACACGGGGTGAGTTTCTGCTTGCCATCACAACAACCATGAAATTTAATGTAATTGTTCTCGCGCAGCGCGGAAAGATTCAGCCGGCTGCTCTGGAAACGGGCTACTTGAAAATAGAAGAGGAGTCACTAATCACCTGCGCTGCTCTATCGCCCGATGGCACCACAGTGGCTGCCGCCTGCGCTGATGGTCTGGTTCGATTCTATCAAATCTATTTGTTCGACGTCCGCAACCATCGCTGCCTGCACGAGTGGAAGCCGCATGATGGCAAGAAGGTCTGCTCTCTGTTTTTCCTGGACAACATCAACAAGCCGGTGGAGGAGTAAGTCTAATCTGATAATAATAGAATTCTCAATAACGTTTCCCCTACTCCTAATGATAGCTCCTACTGGCAGCACGTGATAACCACCAGCGATGCCAATACCGAGATCAAGCTGTGGAACTGCTCCCTGTGGGAGTGCCTGCAGACTATCAACGTTATGGCCACTGTTCCGCCGCAGCCCACCAATTTCATCGCTGGAATCGATCGCAGTGCCAACTACTTGGTGCTGTCCAGCTTGGACTCCCTGGCCGTCTATGTAATGCAAATCGGCAACGTCGGATCTCAAGCTGGAGCTAGCGATAGCGATGGGGAAGAGACTGGCATACGCATTCAGAATATTGCTGAATTCAAGCTCAGCTCCGGCATCCTCTCGTTCTCCATTGTGAACGCCACGGTGCGGCAGCTGAAGAGCTCCATCGAGAGCTACTACCCCTTCGAGGAGTCCGATGACTTTGACGACGACAGCAACCAGACTAGTGCTTTGGTGCTCCATATGTTCGTTGTGCAGGCCAAGAGCCTCCAGGAGTGCCAGATCATTTACCAACCCTGCGTTGCTGTGACCGAGAAGTCTGAGCGCCGTAGCCTGAATACCAGCAAGCGGTCCCAGAGCCCGGAGAATAACTTGCGGATTAAACAAGAGCCGGAATCCCCGGGCAACGCATCGGCGGGCACTGTCCAGCTGGAGGCTTTGTTTGCCAAATCCGCCAAGAGGTCCTCGACGGGGAGCTCTTCCGCCATTGTGGCTGTGGCGGCGGCAGCAGCGGCTGCTCCGTCGGCCATTTTGCAGGACGTCAGCAAGGATGCCATCAAGTCAGAGTCTCCGAAATTCGGTAGCACCTACCCGCAAGTGAATCTTATGACCCCGGATGCCTTTAGTGCTAGCGGGACATCGACATCAACGGCTGTGGTGGTGGCCACCAGCACCACAACCACCACTGGCACAGATAGCTCGGCAGTCGGTGGCGGCGGTGGGGCGTCTGAAGCAATTGATTCCGCTGTTCTCAACACGCTGCGCATGCTGGCCACGGTTACTGCGAAGACCGGATCCGACAATTCGAATGCGAATCTACTCAACCTTATGAACAACACCCTGATTGAGGATCGCGAGCAGCAGAAGCTCAAGGAGAAGCTGGATGCACGGAAGAAGTTCGTGGCAATTGATCGCAATCCGGAACGCAATGTGGCCGAGAACCTGGCCAGCGGCGGTTCGAGTCCCAGCCGCGAAGTTCAGGAGATCATGGCCACCCAGGAGGATGCGGATGCTTACGAAGCGGAGCTGGAGAATCTAGTCGACGACGACGATGATGACGACGAGGAGGAAGAGCTGGCCAATTCATCGCCCCTGCTAGAGGGACCCGATCCTGGTTCCTGGCCCATTGTTAAGCTGCAATCTCTTACCAATTCCGCTGAGCTCCAGAATGCCGCCCAGATCATGTCCCAGGCGGTGCAAAACACCAACAATGGCAATGTGCCGCCAACGCTGGGCGGAGGTGGTAACAATAACAACGCCAGTGTTGCCAGCAACAGCAACAACAATACGGCATCCACTTTGAACACCAGCAGTAGCAGCAGCAACAACAACAACAACACCACAAATGCTGGCGGAGCAGGCGATTGCTCGAATAACAATGGAGAGATGCAAGCCAAGATAGATCTGCTGTTGGGTGAGTTTTCAGATGTTTATACTCGTTAATTTTTTTTATCTCTCATACAATTTGTAGAGTTCGATATTTTTCAAACATAATATCCTATTATCGCGTACATATATCTCCTTAAATATTGATTCAGAATTGATATATCGATTGTGATTCCTCCTCTAAAACCCCATACAGATCTAGTCAAGGCCCAGTCCAAGCAACTGAACAAACTGGAGCACGAAGTAACCAAGCTACAAAAACAGCAGCAGGTGGCGGCGGCGGTGCCAGCCACAGGCAGCAAGCCGGATGCCTCCCTGGACCTCAAGAATGTCAACCAGCTGGCCTACAAAATCGAAATGCAGCTTTCCAAGCTAATGGAGCAGTATCTGAAGCGCTACGAAAACGAACATAAGAAGAAGCTCACCGAATTTCTTGCGGCACGGTGAGTCCAGCTTCAAACTCTTTCGGAAGATAAAAATCAAAACGTAAATCTCTTCCCCAGTGAAAGCCAGAATCGCGAACTTCGCGACTCTGTGCTCCAGGTGCTGAATCAGTATGTGATGAACCATTTCACGGACATCATTGGCAATGTCCTCAACATGGAGCTGCAGCGACAACTGCTGCCGCGTGTCAATGCCAAAATGGATCAGCTGCAGGCCCAGATGCAGGTGGAGATCGTGCAAAAGTTGAATGTGTTTGACAAGACGGTGAAGGAGAATATTGGCCAAGTTTGCAAGAGCAAGGTGAGTGGACAGATTGCAAGAGGAATTTTCCACAGAATTTACAAAATAAGAGTTTGCAGCAATTCCTTGATGCCTTCGGCAAGTCGGTCTTGATTGGTGTCCAGGCCAGCCTCCAGACCGCGTTTATTGAATCCATGAGCAGCACCCTTATTCCAGCCTACGAGAAGTCCTCGCAGAATATGTTCAAGCAGCTGCATGACGCCTTCAGCGTGGGCATTAAAGACTGTGAGTACTTTTTTAAAATTTATTTTTGATAAATATATAATTTATAATTACATTTCCTATTATCTTTTTCCAGTCATGGTTCAGTTCAATACCTACCTGCAGCACATGCCTCAGCCGCAAGCGATGGGTGCCAATTCCGAGGACCTAAACAACAAGCTCACCTTTCTCAAGCAGCTGCTCGAGAGCAGCCTGCACAAGCACCGCACCGAGCTTACCGACGCCATGCTGGAGACGCAGCGGGAGGTAAAGAGCCTGGAAATTCTGCTGGCACGCCAAGTGCAGGAAACGATTCGTGCGGAGCTGCGCAAGCACATGGAGACCCAGAATATGGCCATGCGTTCGCAGGCAGCCACGCCGGCACCCACCTACGACCTCAGGGACAGCATCAAACAGCTACTGCTCTCCGGACAGATAAACAAGGCGTTCCATCAGGCCCTGCTGGCCAACGACCTAAGTCTGGTGGAGTTCACGCTCCGGCACACGGACAGCAACCTGGCCTTTGCCCCGGAAGGCTGCAGGCTGGAGCAAAAGGTTCTGTTGTCCCTCATCCAGCAGATATCCGCCGACATGAGCAACCACAATGAGCTTAAGCAGAGGTAAGTGTATCCAACAGGCGTTTATTTCGAGTCTAAAGAGGCAATTTCTTGCAGATACCTCAATGAGGCGCTGCTGGCCATCAACATGGCGGACCCCATTACCCGCGAGCATGCGCCCAAGGTGCTGTCCGAGCTGTACCGCAATTGCCAGCAGTTCATAAAGAACTGTCCCAAGAGCTCGCAGTTCAGCAACGTCCGGCTGCTGATGAAGGCCATCATAACGTACCGCGACCAGCTGAAATGATATCAAGAGAACTACAATCTGGCCAGCGGCTGGTTCTGATACTTTTCAATCATCTGACGCCACACAAGCCGCCCTCAAAACAGTACAGAAATTCAATCTTTTCTTGCGCCTTTGTTGTTTATTTGTTTTGTGCGTGTTTTTGTAAGGCTTTAATCTATATAACTTATGTTTATGTCGCGATATTTGAAAATGTATTAAACTAAGAAAGATTTTCCTCCTTATCTGCAATATTTTACAATTTAACTTTCATCTCGCCGATCTGCAAGCAGGTCGGGCTAGCTGCCTTTTAATTTGCGTTCCTTTTTTATTTTCATTTTATAACTATGACGCCAACTGGAAAAAAGAAGATACAAAAACTATAGAGACGGAGCTGTAGAAATTAATTTACAAAATTATTTCCAACACACATAACTTTTGATTTAACACAACAGAAATACACAAATTTGATGATTGCAAATGCAGAGAGACTACAAGTAAATCGTAAATGTTAAGCTGTAAACGAATTAAGAGAAATTAAACTAAAACTAAATTTATAAAAGTAAAGAATAAATGTATGTACTTGAAAGTAAACGAGAAACTGAGTGTTTTATTAAGGCTGGAAGAAAATGTCAATATATTTCCGAACCTTAAGCAAGTCGTACAAAAATCGTATCCTTAGAGACTAAGCAACACCTATTCATGTAGTTGGATATCCACCGAGATAAAAGAAGGCAGCATGGGCCCAACAGCAACGAGAAAGCTGGTCAGTTCAGCAAGGCCAGCAGCTCCGACGTGCGCTCCAGGCACTTGCATCCACAGGTGGCACACACGGTGTGTTTCTAAAAGGAAGTGCTTAGATAAACCCTTAAAATTGGGGACATATGTAACTTACCTCGAACCACTGCATCATGTGATCCATATGCCCACCATGGCCACACGCCAGACAGGCGTTAGCCACCCCTCGCACTGGCAGTCGGCAGAGCACACAGAAGAGGACCGGGCGCTTGCAGGGCTCGCACTTTGGCGTCCGCTTTGGCTTGGCGCACGTCCCGCACTCGGTGACAAATTCCACACCCTGGACCGGTGGCGGCGTGTTCTGTGTGTGCTTGAGGATGAGGGCACGTTTCGATAGCAACTGCCAACCGAAGAGAATCTCGGCGTATGCGCGCTTGAATTGATCGAAAAGCGGCACCTTGGCGCGCCTGATCAGGGAGCACGGAGCATAGCCATCGGACTGCAGATGCTTCACCTCCAGATCCAGGGAGTCTGACCAGGAATTGCTACGTAGCTGCTTCAGTTGTTGCCAGGTGTTGGGCGAGGATGAAGATGACTTCACGTCCAGCGGTAGGACAGTGTGATACGGCGAAATCTGGGCGTTGAGCTGCGGCGGCAGGCGGCTGGCAATGTCCATTAGGGCTCCCCCACCCGTGGGACACTTGTCGAACAAGCAGGCTAGCAGCACGGCTGTCTGAATGTCCCCGGAGCCAGCGTAGTGCATAATCAGGGACTCCAGCAGGGATTTCTTGAAGGGATCCTTGTAGAACAGCAGCTCGTTGAGGGTCTCGTGTCGGACTTGGGGTGTGGCTATCAGCTCCGCCAGCAGCCACACGGGCACCAGGTCCAAGCGCCCATGCTGGCGACAGATCTCGCCATTCCTGCGACACGTCTCCGCTATGTTGAGCTTGTCCAATGAGAATTCCCTGGCCATGTTGCGACTGATGTGCAGCAGGCTGCTCGCATCGTAGACATGGACCACTGGACTGCCGTTCATCTGACGGATGGCTCGCTGCTTGCCAGGCTTCCCCGAGATCATTCTCTCCTGCAGGTAAAACGAAGCATTCGCATCCCGCTGCGCGGTGGCCATAACATTGCCGAGGAGTCCACTCCCATTGATGGCCGACAGGGTTCTCGGTGTCAAAGCCGAGTGTTGTCGCAGGGTCAAACGCTTGTTGTTAACCGGCTGGGCGAATGTGGTCAACATGCCAATGGCATTGAAGTGGACCCCCGAGGTCCGCGGGTAGGGAATGCAGGCATCGTGCAGGGCACTGGACAGGGCGCCCTCAAGTCGGGGCGACTGCAGCAGGAGCTGACTGCGATCTGCTCCGCCTCCTCCGCCCACAGCAGCCACCTTCTTCTTCATGGCCGCCACCAGAGCGCGCAGACATTGCTCCAGGCACGTGCGCGATTTCTTCACCCGCTGCAGGGCGTTGCAGCGGAGCACCTTGAGCAGAATGCCGCTCACCTCGCTGGACAGAGTGGTGCCCTGGCACAGCTGGAACTCCGGCGGTGCACTGGGACTCGGGTAGGATGTGGCAAAGTTTACCTGCAGAATCACCGTGTGCCCGCCCGCGCATATCCTGAAGCAGGCATACCGCTTTATGGCGTCCAGCATGTCCACCTCCACATGCGGCATGTTCGTGTTCAGCAGCGAGAACTCGTGGTGCAGCGAACACGTAGGCTGATCTGTCAAGGATCGGGCTATGTGCGACTCCTCCCGGCGACAGTAACCGCCGAAGCTGGGCGATCGGGCCATGGGCAGCGTGTTACATGCTCCGTCACCCGTGGAAATGGGCAGCGAGCCGGCCACCATCAAGGTGCGTGGATGCAGAAATTCCGGAGGGGTGGGAACCCTCAGCTCACTGAGGTCTGGCTCAAAACGGGGCTCCTCTTCCTCCGCCGCGGGCTCACATAGTTTTAGCATATGGTCGTCTATCTTCCAGACTCTCAGGGTGCGATCACGGGACCAGGTGACCAGTTCCTGAGGGAAATTAGGATAAGAGTTAAAGAAAAATGGATATAGAGCTTACAAACTTACAATCTCCGTGGAACTTTCGCGATTGGGGCGCCAGGCAAAGTCCAGAATAACATCAGTGTGACCCACAAAGGAGCAAATGGGATCCGTTTGCTTGCTATTGCTCCAGAGCAGCAGACTGTTCTCGCCGCGACCCAAGTGGGGCACCACAATGCTGACCAGGCCATTGCCAATGGGCTGGAAATATGAAAAGTTAAAGATTTTAGTTATTCCAACTTTAAGATTCTTGGCACTACATTTTTCTGTGATCGAAGTTAAACTTAAGATCCTTTCTTACCGTGTATCGGGCTCTCCACACCGGCGACATGGTAGTGATTATCTTCTCGGCCCTGCGGGGATTGCACACATCAAAGTACTTGACCGTGCCATCCTGACTGGCCGTGGCCAGGCAGGTCTCCCGCTTGTGGCTCCAGTTAATGCCATGCACTCGGTTCAGATGCGCAGTAATATAGTGTGTGGGACAACTACCCTTGCGTATGTCCCAGATCCGTAGGTCTCCGTCGTGCGCTGCTGCAAGCAGGTTACCCGAGACACGATTGAAGCCCACTTGGGTGGCCCCAGCTAAGAAATACACATCAAATGAGACGGATTCATTGATAAACTTCCTTGATAATTACACATGCAAACTGCATTCAGGGACAAGGCCGGCTTCCTGGGCTCCCTCAGGTCCCAGATGTGCGAGAAGGTGTCGATAGAGCAACTGACCAGCAGATTGGGATCCTTGCCGTGCCAGTCGATGTCGGTCACGGTGCGAGTGTGTCCCCGCAGCGAGTTCTCATAGATGGGCTCCGACGTGCCCCACCGAACGATGTCGATATTTTGACTGGTCTGGAATAAACCAGAAAATAAAATCAAATACATTTTAATCCAGCTGCGGCTTTGGATTCTCACCGCTATTGCGCAGTACTCTTTGCGACTGGGACATATGGCAAACTCCGCCACGGAGACCTCGTACTTCGACTGCCTCTCGTGGCGTCTGAGGGAGCCATCGTCCTGGCCCAGGCGCTGCAGGGCCAGATAGCCACGACCCGCGAGCAGCACCCACTGCCCCGAGTAGTCCACGGACATGGCCGTGGCCTGGGAGTCGCGGTGCTCATAGCATTTGTTGCTCTGCCTGATGATATATGTTTGCTCAGGGCCACCGCCACCTGCAATTCCAGCTCCTCCAACCGAGCCCGCTGCTGCTCCGCCGCGCTCTCCCAGACGCAGTGTCTCCGTGGGTGGCATTGTCTACACTACAGATGGGCTTGAATAACATAAAATCAACCAATTTAATCCATTTTTGCCACAACAGAAAGAAAACGAAACGAAACTGATAAGAGAGATGGACAATAACAAAAGTGCAACGAGCTGGAATCCTATCGATGGGACAATCGATATCGCAGTTATCGAAATTCAAAATTATCGATGTGTTTGCCGCTGTTTCAAGGATCAACTTTGAATGGGTTTTATTTTATTAAGGATAAATAAATCCCCCTTTATTACAATTTATTATGGAAACTTTCTAATATGAAAATAAAAATAAAAAAACATTACATTAAGTATTTATTTATTTTAAATTGACAATCACCGTATAATTTACATTTGCATTGCTTCTAAACATTAATTTGAAATTAAAAAATAACTTCTTTAATAAAAAAAATAGTAAAAATAAGTCACATCGTAAAAATGTTTCTGAAACATTTTCTCACAAAAACTTTTTAATAATAATTTAACAAATATACATATTTGTTTTTTACATAACTCATGCGAACATTATAAACTTATGTAGCTTTATTTTAAACTTAGAATTTTTAGGCAATTTCCATTTTTTTTTAATTTATAAAAAAATTATTAATAATAAGTTTCTGTTCCAAATTTTATTCAGGTTATAGTAAAAATCGCAATCCCTTATAGTTGACACATTTATCTCTATTAACGTATACCAATTATTTATTTATAAGTTCGCTAGCTTCACTTGACACTAGTAGTCCTTAATTATTTACTTTACACACTCATTCAAGAACTCCAAGGATTTGGTATGTCGGCTTATTGTCCTCTAATTTAATGGAAAATGAATAAATCGGCTACGCTAATACCGTGACTACATAGGTGTACCCAAGACTGGGAAGTCCTTACGACAAAGGCTAAGATTGAATTAACATTTTTACAAACAGTGGCTATTTCATAGAAATAAGTTTCTTTTTGGTGGCTAAGGCTACGTTCATGGGTATCAAGTATCAAGTCTTTTGCGGAACAGTCCAAATCCCACAACACCCGAGGAGGATGGCCTCCCTTTGCTCCCCCTTTATCTGTGACAATAGCAGAACATCTTCAGGTTGTTGTCGTTGAGGCAGTAGCTTTGGCTTCCATACAGGTTCAGTCGGCTGATGGTTCCCGTGAGCACACTCTTGTAGCCCGACATCCGTATCGTGGACTCAAAGACACCCAGGCCGGGTTTCGTCTGCAGGCGCAGGGTGATGTCCACCGCATAGTCGGTGGAGATTTCTTTCAGGATCTTGGAGTGCGGCGCAGCGATGAAGGCCTGCAGGATGGAGTTCAGGAAGAGGGTACGGCACTGCGGGTTGCCCTTTAGTCGGTGGTTGATCAGGCGCACAAGGTAGCGTGCCGCCCTTTGTACCCTAGCATCGTTCGTCTGCAGCTCCTGGCGCTGATGGCAGGTGCACCAGTGGGAGGCGATCCCCGCCTGCTCGCAGGTCCTCGCCGCTGGCACAGGCAGAAACAAACTAATGCCCCTGGGCATGGTGCTGTCCGGCTCGTCCAGTTCTGCTGCCTGTCGCTGCACTTGATCCGCCTCCAGCTTCCCCAGATTCATCAGACTCAACATGGTCGAGTACACATCGAAGGGAGTGGTCAGCCGGCGAGCGTTTAGCCTTAGATTAGCTATCGCCTGCGGATAACGATCGTTCATCCATGGAGGATATAGCATCATCATCAAGGGCTGGCGCTCCTCCATCATTCCCTGGTAGGTCCGCCGAAAGGATCCCCACCTCAGGCCGTGGTCGGACATCAGCATCACCACCGTGCGATTAAGCAGACCGGACTCCTGCAGCTGCTTCAACTGGTCCAGCAGGGCCTGGTCCAACATAGCCGGGTAATTGAAGTAGTCATGCGTGAGGGCCGACGTCCAGAAGAACGAGAAAGATAGATCCTGGCTGAGTCGCGGCACCAGCTTCCGTATGTACTCGAGCAGGACATCCGCCGTTCGCCGGCAGCCCATGCACAGGAACATGTTAAGCTTCTGCTCGGAGGCCAGCTCCCGCTCCATCTCCAGCATAACGGCTCGCATATAGTACTCTGTGGGTTGCTTGTTGAAGCCACTCCGGTCTAAAGTGAATGTCGATAGAGCTACCACATCTTCGCCGAAGGCGGTGCGATAGCCCAGCTGCTGAAAGCGCTTCCATATGAAGGAGCAGTTGTCAAAGAACTTTGAACTCGTCGGGCAGGCGAGACCTAGTTCCTGGTCGTCCAGGCCGGTCAGCAGGGGCACTACGTTTGGGTAGGTGTTGTCGCCCACCTTGTTGTAGCCCCACATTTCGACGTGGGAGAGGTTCTTTCGAATGTAGTTTGCCGATCGGGTCATCTGGCGCAGGAAGTTAAGGTGGGACATGCTGTCCAGGCCCAGGATCATCACAGATAAGCGTTCCTGGCCAACCTCTTTGCTGGCATTAAAGCTCCCTTGGTTGGCTCCTTTCCTTGACACTGGCTTAATTCGCGGCTTTTCCACCGCAAAGAAGTGGCAGTCCTTAAATATGCACTTTCCATGGGCGTCATAGCACCATAGGCATAGGAACTCCGCATTCGGCGACAGCTGTACCACCTTATCCAGGGAGAAGTTCACTCGCGGACCGTAATTGTTCTTTGAATCCGTCTTCCGTGTCACCTCCTTGTAGTTGCACTTCACGGCGGACAGGTCCGTAATGTTGTAGTGGACAAGCAGTTCCTTGGCGTCCAAATCGAGGTGCAGCCGCCCGGGCACTGTATCGCTGCTTCGAAGCAGCGTCTTCCCGCAACTGAACTGGCGCGGTTTGTATATGAACTGTTCGATGGTGTCGTCGTTGACCTCAAAGTGCGGCATCCGGCAGCCAGGCGTGTCTACGAAATAGGCGGTGGTCACATTTCCGCGGCGGTCCTCGATGCGAGCCATGAAATCAAAGCCGTCGCGAAAGCGCAGCAGCGCCGTCCTGAGATTGTAGTCCACGCACAGGTAGGAGAACACGCAGAGGCAGAAGATGACAATCACCACCTTCTTGAAGTGGCCGCGGCCCTTCTTCATGTTGTAATAGCGATAGTACTGCTGCAGATCCCTCTTGGTCATAAACTTTGGATCCAATAGGTACTTGCTCCTGTTGAATGACAAAAGTAAACGTATAAATTTACAAAAATATTTGACATAATGAAAAAGGAATGGTTAAATTACATATATACTCGACACAGCTAGTGGTATGAAAATCTAGATTTAATTCTGATTTCAGAAATCGAATGTGGTGGCAAAGTCTATGCTCATCCCAAATTTTACATAAAGAATATATATAACAAGAAAGAAAGCTAACTTTGGCCAGCCAAAGTTTGTATACCCTTGCAGGTAACAATTAAAATATATTATAACTAAGCCAAAAATGCATTAATTTCGATTCGGAAAGCAGTTTTGTGTTAGTTTTTATTAATTTAAAAAAACTGCATACCAAATTTAAAATTTTAAGAAATCAAAATTTTTGGCCATTTTTGCTAATTTTAATGATGTAACCCCTTATCAAATTTCGCAAAAATGGCAAAAAAATCGATTTCTTCCGGACATGTCTAGAAAGATTCCCCTGTTGATGCTGATCAAGAATATATACGGTTTATGGGGTCGGAAATGATTCCTTGACTTAGAAAATTATTATTTTGTATTATAAAATCTGATTTTTTATATTAAAAAACTTCTTGCTTTTTTTTAAATTAAAAATATCATAACTCGGCCTAAAGAGCATTAATTTTAAATCGGAAAACTGTTCTGTGCAAGATTTTATACAGTTAATAAATCTGCATACTTCATTTAAAAATTTTGAAAATTCAATTTTTTATCAAAATCAAAAATTTTAATGATGTAACCCCTTATAAAATTTTGCAAAAATGGTCAAAAAATCGATTTCTTCCTGACATATCTAGAAAGATTGCCCTGTTAATGCTGATCAAGAATATATATATACTTTATAGGGTCGGAAACGTCTCCTTCACTGCGTTGCAAACTTCTGACTAAAATTATAATACCCTTCAAGGGTATAAAAATATAAATAAATAAGATTATTTTATGTCGCAACAAAATATGGAATAATATATAAAATAACGTATATGTACCTCAGATTATAATGGGTTTCTTAACATAATTAATTCCGTTTTTAAGTGAGTATATAGATTAGCTCACTGAATTTATTAACGTTACATCCATCACTCCTTCATCCTTTGGTTCATTGCCACCTCCTTTCGCCACCACCCCCTCCTGCTGACCTTTCTTCTCTGGCTAGAACCAGCCTCTCGTAGGTTCATTGTATTCTGTCTGGGAGCTTAACAGTTTTTTATGCTGACAGCTATTAATTAAGGCAACAAACAATATAATGAATGCCCACAACAAGAGAACCGCTCTGAGTGGCCACTCAGCCGAAAGTCCTTAGACCGCTGCCCACCTACACCATACCCTCAACCCACTACCACCCCTACCCTACTACCCCTACCACTTCCCCATAGTAGGATTCCTGTGTCAGAAATTACACGAGAACGTGATGCTGTCAATGTATTCCAAAGTCCTAAATGCATATTCATGAAGAGGAGTGCCCAGAGAAGTAGGCAACGAAGCTTACTAATAAAAAATCAAGTCTTATATTGCAGTGTAAGAAATGGGGATATAATAAATAAGTATATTTAAGTTAAGAAACTTTATTTAACTATTTTCATGAATAATTTAAAACTGGTAATAATAATAATACAAAAAATCCTTGTTAAATACAGTCGAACACATACTTTAAAATGCCCAACGATTTTGGTTGAATCTCAAAAGGCGAATCAAGAGTTTTGTTTATAATGGAATTTGGGATAAAACTCTATTGAAACCTTTGACTTTCACTTAAAATTTCTCCAAGTGCGGCCCATTTTTCTTGGGTCATGTGAAATCCGTTCAAAAGAATTTCTACTCCAATCCAATCCATCCGATTGTGTACAAAAACAAAATTTACAATTGACACTTTCAATTGCATTTTGCTCGAGCAAACAACACATAAGGAAAGGAAGATGGGAGTAGATAGGATTGGATGCAGGGGGGAGACGAAGAAGACCAGGATAAGCATTGAAATGGCATTCGGCTTGGGTGCTGCGAGTAAACAAGTGATGACACACACACACACACACACCTGTGCTCCTCTCGCCTGGCATCCTTTTGATGCTAGTTGAGGTGGGGGTTTACCCCCGCTTTGCTCACTTACTCATAGCTCAAGTCGCCGTATTTTCGCATATCCTTCGTAGTGTAGTAGGCACGCATCTTGGCGACACTTGGCCAAGCGCCCGATGCGCTCTAAGTCCCGTCTAAGTCACAGCACGCTGCCACGCCGCAGCCTCAAGTCCTTGACATCCTGTTTGCCTCCCCGTGCTTTTAGCTTATTCTGCTAATTGTTTTGTGGGCCACATTTTCATGCACATTTCGATACAACAATTTTCACACGACTGCACTCGCGCTTTCACTCGGCTTTCTGCATGTCCTTTCCGCGTCCTGTCCGCTCCCCACTCTCCTGTGTTTGGTTGTTGTTATTTTTTGTTTGAGTTTTCAATTGCTTCGGTTTTTTGTTGTTTGCGAATTACTGCAGAATTGTTTCCGTCTGAGTTGGGTCCTCCTCGCACACTGAATCCTGCTGGGCTCGGAGGCTGTGCAGGCTCCAGGTTGACAGGATTACTTGCTCTCCCTCTTGCCTTTGAACTCGCACTCTCACTCTTTCGCACACTCTCTCTTTTTCTGTGTTTTGACAGTTCCGTTACTCGGAATGACAGCGGCGCGGGGGAGTTGGGCGCATGCGCTTGGCAGTGACAGCGGCGCCAGGGATGCTGTGACGCGTCAGGTACACTTGGAAAAATTTCTAAGTAAGAAGAAGAAAGTAGAATAGCTATGATATTATTAAACTATGATTTGTACAAAAAATATCATATACAAATATTTATCAATATTTTAATTTAAAGAATTTATATATTTCCGGTTTCTTGATGATTTTTTATGATTGTATTTAGTGAAGAAATCATTTCCGACCCCATAAATAATATATATTATTATTAATTAACATCTACAGGCGATCCTTTTTCGCCTTGCTGAAAAGCAAAACATTTTTTCCACTTATTTTCAAAATTTGATAAGGGATTACATCGTTAAAATGGTCAAAATTGTCAAACATTTTGAAATCTTAAAATTTTAAATTAAGTATGCAGTTTTTAAACTAATAAATAACGTACTAATTAGTAAATAAGTAAAGATGATGATAGATTTCAAATTCAATTGTAACCTGCAAAGGTATAAAAAACAATACCAAATTGTTTTTTAATAGTCTTCTTTTTTTAACAAGGTGATAAAAGTATAGGAAACTTTCAGTGATAAATTTGTACGGAAAATAATTTATGTTTCATATTTCCCTTTTATATTAAATGTCTATATTTTATTTGTTCTAATATACAACTTTAGGCCAACTGCTGAGCAGCGGGGTGTCAACAACATATATGCAATAGTAAATGGGTTTTTATGAATATTTTTTTGTTTACTTGTTTTCGTCTAGTTTATAGCTCATTTGCGTGCTTTAATTACGATTTGCATGTTGCAAATGCCGCACACTGCGCAATTAATCGATGGAATCCTTTGGCTTAGAAATGTTTTATGGCCAATGAACTCGCATTCGCATCCCACCCGCTGTTCTTTGGGTGGAAACGAACAATATATGCTTTAGGGCCCTTCACCTTTTTTATGTTAAGTAAATAGCATGTAATGATCAGCTTAGAAGTAAATATTCTAAGAAGAAAAGAAAATTTATAAGCCATTATCTCCTGTTCTTCTTGAGAACAGTTCTTTTTTTTTTAACTTTCTGTAACCAAAAAATTTGTTACAAAAATTAATGAACCTTAATCTGGACTGATTCCGCCTTTGATTCCGGATGCATTGGCACTCAAGTCTTTTTTGTATGAAAAATACTTTATACCCAAAAAGGCCGCATGCAGTAAAAAGGACACCCCAGCTCCTCTTTTTTTGCGGCTTAACGAGCAACAAGTCGCAGGGAAGTTGGGCCAAAAGGTCCTTCGCATTTGGCTCATTAAGAGGACCTACCGAAAAAGCGCAACAGGCTGCAATCACACAGCCACACCCACGCCCACACCCTCGCCCACGAGGAGCATGTGTGTGAGTTAATAACTTGGCTGCAGGCAGGACATGGCTTTCGATGTTCGATAATTACGGCAACGGCATTCGAGTGGCAACAACAAGGACGCCGGGTGGCAAAGCCAGTCGTAAATCACGGGACGAAAAAAGCATTTCACTGTCGGACCAGCTCAGCTCCTTAACTGCGCTCCTTTCCGATTAACAAGCATTTATAATGCTTCATTACTGTAAAAAAGGAGCTGCACAGAAAAAAAAAAGGCCAAAGGGAACGCCAATCTCCAGGATCTGGCAGCTATAAAAGCGTTGGGCGCATAAGGCCAACGCTTCAGTTGAATCTTCAAAAGTGTCGAACGCAGGAAAGCTTGATAGTAATTAGTTTCACAGGAGCCACCCAGAATGCATCATCCACCTGGGCCGAGACCCGTGCACACTGCGACGTCCAGGCGCCCGTGGAAGAGGAGACCCTGGCGGAACGAGAGCTCTTCCTCCGGCAGGACCTATCACCTGCCAGCCCTGTTGATTATCCTGCTTGTCCTCATCCAGAACTTTGAGCTGCACATGTGCCGGCAATTGATGAGGCAGCCGAGCGACAAACGATCCCAGGACCACCGGCTCACTACCATCGGCGGCAGTGCAGCCGGCGAGGTGACAACGCCGGGGGGCAGCAGTTCCACATCTCCGGAGGAGGATAAGCGGGGCAGGTCGGCTCCCAGTCAGCCGGAGGAGATATTCAGCGCCCCGGCCGATGACAGTGGCCTCAGCTACGACGAGTATCCGGTACGGAAAAATTTCCCTTAAATCCTTCTCCTCCCTCTTCTTGTTCCTCTAAAAAGGCCCCCAGAAAATCTGAAAATTACTAAATCTTTGCGTGGGTCGTGTTGGTCAACGGCCACGTCTGTTTTGAATCCCTATCACCTTACGCACAATTTGTAATTGTATATTTTTCATTTGATTGCTTTTCGGCTTTGACTTTGACCCTAAGCTACATTTCGAATCTCCCCCCGAAAACTGAGCTGACGTCACAGCAGCACCTTGATTATGGGAGCTTCAAGGTACATACAGGTGCTGGTGGTGGGCCTAATGAGGGCTGGCATGACCTGGCCTCTCTTAAACATTCGGAGGGGTCAAGTTTAGGCGTGGGAAGTAGGCTTGTGGTAGTTTAATATTCTTTTATGTTTTAGTTTGTAGACACCTTGTATCTTTTAGTTCAGGTATTTTTAAAATAATATGTATGATTCTATCCATAGATGGTGGTTCCAAAGCGAGCTGCCCTGCTCCTGGATCGCTTGATGGTGGCTCTGCATCATGCCCTGGAACACGAGCGCGGTGGTCATCGAATTGGCGAATTCTACTCGGACAAAAGCAGTCTGAATGGAAAACTAAGTGAACTCCACAACGGATTGGAACCCCATCAAGTGCGGGAGGATGGTGAGTTTTTATAAAAAATCCCTTCAAGGTAATGAAGTTATTCTTTTACCTATATAACAGGCATGTATAGCGACGATGATCCTGGCATTATGTTGGATTATGATTTCAAAGATTTGAATCAGATCAATCGCGCCACTGGCGAAACAGTAAGTTGGAACATAAAACCTAAATTGCAATATAAGACATAAAATTAGCAGCGCGATGTGTAAGAAAATTTCAGTTAATGCCAAAGAGCTTTCAGAGAAGAGCCGGTGCGGAATTGGCGGGCGCAGATCGGGCATCAGGCGGAGCCTCCACGATACCCGGCTCTCCGGCTGGGTCCCGGCGTATCCATTCATCCGGATCCGGCGGTGGTCGTGCCTACTGGCGTTGCTATTTCAATGCCGTCAGCTGCTTCTGAGCACAAACAAAATAAAATAGATCCGCCATAGATCCACCTCTGGAGTGGAATGCCAACAGAATATCATCTCTGTGGAGGTGTTTCATAAAGATCTGCGAGTTCCTTTTCGTTGCTGCTGTGAGAGTTGTTCGCGCAATTAACTGAAATCCCCCGAGTTCTCTAATTGTATCTAGTGGTATCTGTATCTAGTAACTGTATCTGTATCTGTAACTGTAACTATAACTGTATCTGTGCATTTGTAACTCACTGTGAATCTGCGTTATAAATAAACCACCATCGATAAGTCCAACGGCATTCATAAATAAATGAATTCATTCACCCATCCATACACACTGCAGGGGAATCGGAATACTATATATTTCGGGGCCAGACAGGAGCTGGCGCTAATCCCCTTCTAGCTTAATGCTGACTGACATCGGTCATAAAACTTAATTCTCTCAACAAATCCATCTATCGCATGCCCTCAGCTCGTGACCCATTGTCGATTTATTTCTTGCTCGTGAATTGTGGGTGTGTGCTAACCGGAAGTTCCATAAATATCGGTTGATATCGGAATATTTATTTATTTCAGGTAGATAAAGCAGATTAAGAAGTTAAGTTAAATTATGAATTCTATTAGAGAATGTATTTAAAAACTCAAATCATATCTTACAATTTATTTTATTTACTCTCTACTAAAAATCATTAGCAATATCTTAAATATCTAAATTCTATGTTAATATTTTGAAAAGTAATGTTTTTTTTTTTAATTACCTATTTCAGAAGTTTTAAAAACAACAACAAACATTATTAAACTGCAAAGATTGTGAGGAAGAGCTTTATTAATAAACTTTTATTATAATAGGTCCTATTTTTTACATATAACCAATCCTTGACTTTACATTACTTTCCCTGTCATATAATTTCACTCTATGCATATAAAGCATTTCTAAACTTCTGGATAACTATTCACAAAATCCAAAGTCCATGCATAATATTAGCTTTCGGTAACTGCCTGTCCATAGTTAACTTTTAAACTAAACTGACGATCGATTTAAGTGTGCGAAGCACGTTTATGATACTGCGAAGTTGAATGGCAAAGTTTTATTGGCCAATAGGAGGCCATTAATAAGATTGCTGAAGCACACATTAATAGACTTTTATGTACATCTAATTGCCTACGTTAATTGATGGTGGAACTGCCTCCGACTAGCTACAAAAATATGCAGTTTCAGTTAAAAGATATATCTATTTTTTGAATGGATAGAAATAAACACATCAATATTTATATTTAATAACTACTAGAGTAGTTGGCTTGAAATAATTATCTCTGATTTATGATGGTAGTAAATTGATAAATTATAATAAATTCATTAGAAGCTTTATCAATTGGTAACCTCTTATTATATTATTAAAGATAATATATGTATATATAATATATACATATTTATTAACTATTTATGAAATAACCCTACCAAATTCTGTATTTAAAACATCCTGGAATTAACTTTGCCTGTTCTGATTTATAATAAACAATAAAATGCTATATTTTCGAGGAATTCTGCTCAACCCTTTCATTTACGATTAACACATATAAATATCTATTTTTATGTACATTTATGTCATAATCCCACTCGGGCACATGGCGCAATTTTCGTTATCAATGGGCCCGTAAATCAATAACGGTGTGATGTAAAGCCATTCGGCTCAGCCTACTGTCCAAGTGCGTTTCGATTCGCTCGCTACGTCATATACGTACGCAGCGCCGCTAAGTATGCAACAGGTTTCGCCTCCCTGGCCGCGAGCTAATCAGCAACAGGTGCCCTTATCCGTGGCTACTCACCACGCCTCCAAATAAGGTGGGCAGATGGGGGCGGCACATGTCCATGTCCGGACCCGTGTCCCTGTCCCTGTCCCTGTCCGTGTGGTGAATTAATAAGTCGCACATTGTTCATACGCCCCATTGTACGAGCAGGAACAACTTAGAGTGCCCTGACAAGGTTTTGGTCAAGACTACGACTAAGGGATGTCCTGTTTTAGTTGATATGTATACTTAAATTCATAATGTTTTAATATAACAGGATAAATAATAAACTATAATTTGTATATTTGTAACTAACCCAAGAAAATAAACAATAAATAACTAAAACTGTTTGGAACTAAGTACTATTAATTATAAATAATTATTTTTCAATAATATTTAGAGTATTTTTTTGATTATATAGTTCTTGTCTTCTCTAAAACCAATTCAAAAATTTAAAAACCTTAAAAAAAATTAACATCTTTCTGTTTGGTATAATTCCTGCCCACCTCGTGTACCCTGTACGTTTGCCAGGTATCAAAAGCAAGTGTTACCCGTGCTTGTTGCAGTGTCGCTTGACATGGGGCATAAAGCTTTGCCTAAGCAGCCGCCCCCTACGAATACCTCCAAACCTTTCCTTTCCTTCTCTGCCTGCTCCTACACCTCCTCCCCCAGCTGCTGCTGCTCCTCCTGATTTTCCGGCAGCTCGTGCTTCCTGCTGCTGCTCTGCCTCGGCCGCTGCCGACGTCGCTGCTGCTGGAGCTGTTTGCTATTTTGTATATAAAGCCCAGTAGCAGGCAACGCCAACATCGAGTTACAAATTTCCCTTCTTGGAGTTCACATCGAAAGCAGCAGAGCAGCAACAGGAGCAACAAGTGACCCCAGAGTCCAAGGATCAGATCACCTCTAACCCCCAAAGAGTCATCACATTTATTTGCTCAGCAAATAGTTGCCAAAAAAAAAAAAAAAGAAACAAAAATTGTTACCCTCAGGTTGACATAATTCCTGGCGCCAGAGATTCACCTGTTTTACCGACGTCAACTCAATTGCCGGCAATTTGCAGTCCCCAAAACTAGACGGAAAGTATCGGTGAGTATCGGAGAATCGGCTTAGCCATAGTCCGTATGTGTCTGCTTTTGGCCATTAATTGAAATGAGCGGCTGTGTGTCTACGAAAATTAATTTGTGGTCGCGGAAATTGTGCCACAGGTGAATTATTGCAGTGAAGGAGAGTTATGGCCAGTGATATCATATCATACGATAGTGTGGCTAGGGGAACTTGGGTGCTTTTGGAATAGTTTATTTAACAGAAGAAGAATATATGGTTATTTTCTCATAGATTTGCAGTTTTAAGATCCCAAAATAATTTTTTGTACAATTATTTAATGATCTCTAGAATGAGTTTATAAAGAAAAATATTTACCATATGACAAAATGGGTATTATTTCGTTTTATGATAAGTTTATTTTATAAATATTAAACTAGACTATTTTTTAATTGATACCTTATGCTGACTCGAAGTTGATTTATTCCTTGATTTTTTCCAAAGACAGACAGCAGAAGTTTTTTGTTTATTTTCTCCTCTAAAGATACCTCATCAGTACTTCTTCCTGACTGATTCAAAGTTAATAATTTGAAGTTTTTTATAAATTCGAACTTCATAATTTTCAAATATAATTTTTTAAGAACATTCGCCTAACTTGTTAATTCATCTTCTGTATTTTGCAATACAAGTACATATATTCATAAAAAAGTACACTTTTTCTCGAGAAAACTTAACTGACATGTTCACACGCATATTAAGGAAATATGTCTGGTCTTATAAATAATTGAGGCCAATTTGGCTTTTGCCATTTAAAGTGACTCAAAGCTGTTTTGTTCCCAAATTGAGTTTGCAAAGAGTTCCCAAAATTGATGGACATTTAACAACATTTTTTGTGTGGCCCAAGAGCAACTCCCACACGTTGACAAATATATGTGCAATTCATAGGCCATATATTACGGGTATCCCACCCGTTTCTGCAATGTATTTTTTGTTGTTATTTTGAATACGCCAGGATACGCTTCCCCTTTTTCCAGAGCCTAATGACAGGGCTGGGCCAGGCTCGGGCTTCCTGTGGCTCATTGAAAATTATGTGAATTATTTATGAAGCGTAGAAAAATCAGGCACAAGCACAGAAAATTCACTTCATTTGTTTTTCCTTAGCCAAAAAAAAAAGAAAGATTTGATTTGGACTTCAATCTCGGATTCGAGTTGCTGATAATAAATAACTTCACTTCACTTGACTTGGCTCGTCTTGTTCGGCTCGATTCTCCCCGAAACCGCAATCAAATTGCATTTAATATTTATTAGAGTTCGCCTTCGCTTTTCTGGTTTGGTTTATTTTTATTTTTTGGTATCTTGTGGTTTAAGGGCATTAATGGGGCAGATAATTTTCGGAGGAATTTCGGGGTGGTTCCTGTGTAGCTTAGCTTTATTCTGTGACTAATTCAATAATGGCGAATAAATTAAATAGGAATGTTTTAAATATTAAACCAGTTTAAACATGCCTCAGGCCAAAGTGGGCCTTCTTTATTTATTATTATTAATTGATTTGCGCCCACTTTGTGTCTGCAAAAGGCTAAGATAAATTGACAAATATTTTCATCGAGTATCAGCCCACCTAGTTGAGCCAAGAATTTTGCGTCTAGAGTCCCTAATTGAGCAAAGAACTCTTCCGTTTCGGTGAAAGCCACTTTGAACCGAAGTTTCCACAAAAATCAAAACGTAACCACAACACAGATCCTGGGGGAAACTCGATACAACTTCAAGTGCTCCTCCCCGACTCCTGTGAGAAAGGGAAGCATTTGAAGATGTCTGAAGTTTCAAGTTTTCGCTGACTGACTGACGTAATTTTAATTTGCTCCCTCAAAAATATCATATGACCAGATAAATCACACGGCCAAGGACACGGCTATCGTCCGGGCCGTCTCCTGTCAGACACACATTAATGACGCCCACGCCAGGTCCTGGTTCTCATCATGGCAAATATTTGCCCAGCGGACAGACATTTGTCCTTAGCTAATTTTAAAGTTCCCTTTGCCGCAAGCCACAATAAATTAAAAAGATACTTTAAATGGGAAAGGAATTAAGCAGCTTTGTGGAGTGAAAATTTGGTCTGTGGATTAGGCGGCAGGAAACCCACGTGAAAATTGCATTTTCCCGCTTTGTTCGCTGGCACTTTTCCAGCTCCAGCCCTGCTGCGAGATTAAATTTCCAATTAACATCGGAGCATTATTTATCGGCGGCAATAAAAGTGTCCTGATTATGTTTGGCTTTGGGTTCTGCCTTAGGGCTGGTTTGGGCCTTTATGATTCCATTTGATCTAGCCTGTATGTGGCCGGTGGAAGTTCGCCGCACAGTCACTAGTTTTTATTATTTATCACCCACTAGCTGTTGTTTAATCTACCAAAAGTATTTTATGGGCGACCGGAGTGTGTGGGCATTATAATTATCTATGTTTGTCTGCATTAACTTGGCCAAGTGTTTTAAGGGTTTTCGCATGCACTTTGGGTCAATCAAAACACGGAAGTTGGCCTCCATTACGATGTAAGTGCTTTGTTTTTTGAGATAAAGTAATGAATGGATACAGATTGGCCATACATTCTGTGAAATATTTGCAGGGGTGTGTAAATAAATGTATAAACAAGATTCAAGATATTTATTTTTAAAGTGCTATTTTGGAATGTTTTTTACATACATTTTACTAAGAATATGCTATCTTTTAACCCAGAAATCCTTAAATTAACACAAAATTACTCCTTATTCACTCAATTAATATAATAATTTTCAACTAAAGCTAGCAAAAGTGTGTCATACAAAAATTAAAAGCCATAAACAAAGATAAATTCCAGCTGCTGCTTGAAATTCAAGAAGGACTAGCTCCTTCCTTTCAGCTACTTTTTTATGAGGTGCAGCAACCAAATGAGACAAGTCATTAACATTTACGGCCCACATCGTTGAGGTCCTCATCTGACATGGCCGAGATTTTTATGCTAGCCCCGACCATGCCATGCCGCTCGTTTACCTGTTGCATGCTGATGGCACTGAAAGTCACACTTGATGACCTCATTTCCCCCGCCAGCTAAACGAATATATCCTGGGGATTTATGCTCCCGTTGGCTGTTTATGTATTCATGTCCTGCGGGGGGCAGGTGGTCCTTTGATTTCACACCCACTTCAATTACCAATGATGTCATAATTTATGTAATATGAGTAATTGACTGACTATAATTGCGTCTGGAAATGTCTTCTCTATTTATTTATCTTTGATGTTAAATATAAACATACGGTTATTTATTTAATTTATGGGAAAGTAATGAATAGCAAAGGAAATAATATATTTTAATATTAATAGAGACTTAATTGAGTTGTCATAATGATAAGATAAAACAGATTCACTGTTTTCTGATTTGATATTAATAAATACATTATTTATTGGGTGCTGAGTTGTGGCTGAAAGAACATTAAGTTGGGAATATATTAATTATTGATGTAATTTTTATTTAATTGGATAAATATTACATTCAGAACGTAAATTTGTCATAATTATAATTCATATGATCTGAAAATAACTAAAATATAGATTCACTAAAAGAACTAAGAGACCAACAAGTAAAGCTTTACGTTTGATCCCCAACAAGTCAGAAGCCATTTGAAATGTATTTTATAAGGATTACACTCAATTAATCTCAAAGTTATAGAATCAACCATAAAAGTTACTCAATAAAAGCCCACATGGGCAAACCGAGTCCATATCAACTCGAAGAATCACGTTTTTGTCAGCTTCAGATGAAATCAATTAAAGTTTGGCCGCCGGAAGGCCATATGTTATGACCAGAGAAGGCTTGTGTGGCTGCCACACGTTGCACCATCGTTGCATTGTATTATGAATGCCATGAAAACCAGACCGTGTGGGATGGAAATCCTGAGGCAGCAGCGGCGGCATCTGCAGTTCCGCATCCGTTTTTAATTGCGGAAATGCACTTTAAGCCGCCCTAAGATTCCAGTTCAACGGAATGCCGGTCACGTTTGTGGCAACAAGTGGTCTGACACACTCCAAGTTGCCTGGTTATGACTCCCAACGCAGTTGTTGTATAAAAAACAAATCCAATGGTAATCTGACCTTTAATTAAAAATATGACCAGTGAACTTTAAGCCTTTTTTTTTTCCTTTTTTGTTAGCCATTGCATTGGCCTCTTGACAGCTCTTTGAGCTTTGGGATTAGCTGGTTTTATTTGTTATTTTTTAGTTGTGCAAACATGCGCATTAAGTGGGGGCTCTGGAAAAGTGCATAACTCTGGATTTTCATTGAATAAATTTAGTTTTATCAGGAAAAAATATAAAAGGGTATATATTATATTTAAATTTTATGCGGTTTGAGTTATTTTCCACTTTCCTAACTAATAAATAAATATTAAATAATGGTATAAAATATTCCCACTTTCAGTCCATCAAAAACACCTAGAAAAATGATGAAGTTCGTGCAGATATTATTGTGCTACGGCCTGTTCCTGGCTCTGCTCTTTGCCCTCACCGAGGCCCGGCCCTCGGCAGGCGAAACAGGACCCGTGAGTAGTAGTAACCAGAAAAACACACATAAAGAACCCCCCTTATTGGCTTATCCGATTAAGGACTCCGATGGTCTCGATGGCCAGGAGGCGGAGGAAGTGCGCGGGGGCGGCTATGGCGGCGGTTATGACATGCCGGCTCAGGCCATCTATCCCAACATACCCATGGACCGACTACAGATGCTCTTCGCTCAGTACAGACCCTCGTAAGTGAATGGGGAAGTTTAATTATAAGTATATCTTTGACTTTGGTTAGTAGTTACAGCGCCTACTTGAGGAGCCCCACCTATGGCAATATGAACCAGCTGTACCGACTGCCAGAGACCAAGCGCCAGGTGAGGTACCGGCAGTGCTACTTCAATCCCATCTCCTGCTTTAGGAAGTAAATCCCAGCGAGCCTGATGATGAGCATCCCTAGCCAACCAACCAACCAACCAACCAACCAGCCCTTGGATAAATTAACCTTTTAAGCATTTCAACCGAAAACCAAAGAATTAAGCAAATCTAAATTGAATTTTAGCTAAATGGATCAGCAAAAGTGTAACGGAAATATGTAGTGCAATTAAACTAAAGCTAAGACTCAACCTATATCCATATGAATTAACGAACAAATATATATATACATATATTACATATTTAAATGTTTCAAAGATGAGAGGGAAAAATGCTCCATTGTAGTTTCGTAAAAGATACACCATTTGACGAAGAGAGGTATTTATTTGAATATTAGCACAAGAACCTAAGGAATATATCCTCTTTATTTGATCTTTGTTTCTTGATTTACGCTTTGCATATGGTGTGGTAAAAGAAAATACTTACAATGCTTTTCAAGCTATTTAAATATATATAAACATCTATATATAGCATTGATATATGCTTTTCCTAGTTTAAGTGTCCCAGCTCTTGTATGATACCACGAAAGTAAAACGGAAAATTCCAAATACGTATAATATAAATCTCTAAAATGAAATTATAAATGTATACGTATGAAATAAATGCGCCCAAATGTTAAATAATAAATGTGTTATTTAAAGCATTAGGCGGGAAAGCAAAGATTCTGAATTTTTATTGTTCTGATAAATGATTGATATACTTTTAAAAACAATATACACTTATTTAATGACTTAAGGAAACTCTCTTGAAATTAAAGGGTTTTTTCCTTTGATTTGGAACCAAATAATATTGGTTTTAGTTTTAGGTTAGTTTAACTTCATCACCGTTTTTTTTGGTAACACCAGGATTATAGAGACCAATGGAACTAAGGCTACCAAATTTAGTGGCTAAATTCTTAAGACTAAATTAGTCTTTGCGTTTACCTCTAACATGCCATAGAAAATATTTTCCATAAGAAAAATTAGGTAAAACTTGTTTTAAAAATTGATTTATTTGAATATAATTTTCTTAAAAATACTTTTACAATTTTATGAATAACTGCTATGGGATTTTTTGTTGTTTTAAGAACAATTTTCTCTATTTGCTTAGCAATAGTTATAATGAATACTTCATGTTTTTGTTTAATTATTATTTTTAATATTTATATTATTTATTATATTTAATATTTAATATATTCTTTTGCCTCTAGGCAGTATCCTTTATTTTCCATAGATCTCTGATTCTATTATCACTATTTGGAAATCTCCCTTTCGAGTATTTCCTGCGTCCTTATCACATGTTCCTGTTAGACTAACTTAGATTTGTAAACGCCGCTTCTCCAGTTGCTTGGACTTGCATTTTCCGCCCCGCTGCTCCATTTTGATGACCAGTCGATCCGGTGTGGATATCTTGTAGCCATGGCAGCGCCGAAGGCGCTCCTCGATCTTCAGCGAGGTGGCCACCATGAAAACGGAGAAGACCAAAGCGATTAGGTAGCGAACAATTAGCATATTGTGACAAATCGCGACTGCGTGAAAGACGGGCTGCTGTGCGTGGTTTTATAGCTCCAGAAGCGGGGCGAAATCCAATCCCTTACCTGAACCCATCGAGAGACTTTTACGACATTCCCTGATGGATTAGTACGCGAATTTTTATGGCCGCGACTCGACAATAAACCATTCAGCGCTAATCCATTCGGCAATTTCCACTTCCTCTGCAGAAAGTACTCGATCCTAGTCGGATCTGCAGATGAACCTCGATCCCGGACCAAATACGCGAAGGGAAAACTAATTGCCGTGGCTGATGAGTGGAAGTTCCGAGAAGAGCAGACAGACACCGAGTCGACCTACCTGATGGGGCAGCAGCGCGCCTTTATGATCCCAGGCCAGCATCTCTGCCATTAGACATTTTAATTGTTAATTTTTGCAAAAACCAAGTCCGCCGCCAGAGGAGGGGAAAATTTAAATAATGGCCGAGCTGCAGGCATCCAGGAATCCAATGGCTACCTGCATTTATTATCTCTGCCCCGGCCTCGGTTCCACCTCTCCACTCCTCCGCCCGTTGATCTACTCGGGCCGAGTGCCATCAACGTGAAAACAAGTGGCAACAATTTTCTATAAATTGCATTTGTGCAAAATTAAGTTCAATCTTGGCCGAGTCGCGAACTAGTAGCTGTATCTCTTTGGCTTGCATCCGCTCGCCGGCAACAAATACTGCGCCCATCCCGATCCCGATCCCGATTCCGCTCCCAATCCCCCGGCCGTCCCAGCTGGTTTTTCGCTGCTGGAGTAGCCAAACTCCATTAACTTTGCAATTGGCCACCATAACTCGTCCGTCGGTCGCCCGCCATCCTCTCGCGTCACCTTGCCGCCCATTTGGCCGCCGCATCCACAGGCACATCCATCGCCACAAGCTCCCCCCCTCGCCTTTGCACTTCCCACTGGCCACATCCCACAGAGCAGCGAGCAGCACCAAGCGAGGTCCATTCCATTCCAGGCCACTCCACTTCACTCCAGTCCAGTGCCGGCCCCATCGCTTGTTAGTTTTTGCGCCAGATCGTTTATAATAATTCGTATGCGAGTCATGTCATGCCCCTAAAGTGTATCTGCAACCGCGTAGTCGCAGCAGCAGCAGCCTCGGTCGCCGCGCATATCTGTATCTAGTTGGTGCCTCCACCTGGAGATGGTGGCGTGACACGATCCTCGGTTAAAAAAATATAATTAATTGGGTATAGAGTATTTTTACTCATTGCTTGGAGTAGTTTTTAAAAGTTTTATAAGAGTTTATTTTTTATCTCTTGATAAGTTATAATAAAAGTCTAATAAAAGGTCGTTTATTTTTTAATATATTTAATTTTATTTTGATGTAAGATAAACAATATACTCCTGTTTCCTATTTCTTTTGTTCAAATACTAAATTTAGTAATTTAAGCATTTCAATTGTGTTGTGTGTTTAGTGGTAAATATATGTATTTATTATTTAAAACCATCTTAAAAGCTTTTGAATTAACTACCCATATTTATTCTATAAGTGTTTTTCGAAAAATGATTTAAATTATGTTTGTGAACTGTTCTATTTTGTAAAGAATTTTTTAAGATTGAAAACCTAATCGAATTTACGCTCATTTCTGTACATATTTAATCTTCCCATCACGAGTCACGCTCATCACTGGCCAATGGATTGGCAAGACTTTGGAATCGCTTGGCTTGGCCTGGGCTGGCTCGGCCTGATCTGGTCAACTATGCAACCGGCAAGCCTGGTGACTCGAACTTGACTTCACCTGGCTTGATCTTGCGCCCGTTTCTTAGCCGCATAGCTCTGGGTCGCCACCGGTTGGCTCTTTCTCCATCTCCATCTCCAGCTCCCATCTCTCCGGCTGCCTGGCAGTCTCCTCCCGGATCTCCTCCTCGTGGTCGTTGTCATACCACTTTATCCGCGGCGCTTTGTGCTGGTCTTGTTGTTCTATTGGCAAAAAGGAAGTTAGAAAAATGCTCTGGATTCATGGATTCAATGCCTCTCTACGGTGGCCTTAAGTGAATTGTGCTCGAGGCCGCCAGCTGGGCCTGGATATCGGGATCCCGACCAGGGAGCATGCATGGATTTGTTCTGGCCCAATGTCAGGGAGCTTTACGACAGTCGATATTGAATTAAGTTGGCAATAGTGAAAGTTTACTAAAGAGAAAAGTTTAAATAAAAGGACAAATTAATATAATAAAAAAACAAAAAAAAATTTTGACAAGAAATAAAGCTAACTTTGGCCAGCCAAAGTTTGTATACCCTTGCAGGTAACAATAAAAATATATCATAATTAAGCCAAAATGCATGTTTTTATGTTAGTTTTTATTAATTTAAAAAAACTGCATACCAAATTTAAAATTTTAAGAAATCAAAATTTTTGGCCATTTTTGCTAATTTTACTGATGTAACCCCTTATCAAATTTTGCAAAAATTGCCAAAAAATCGATTTCTTCCGGACATGTCTAGAAAGTTTCGCATGTTAATGCTGATCAAGAATAAATATGGTTTATGGGGTCGGAAATGATTCCTTGACTTGGAAAAATATTATTTTGTATTATAAAATCGGATTTTTTATATTAAAAAACTTCTTGATTTTTTTTTAATTAAAAATATCATAACTCGGCCAAAAGAGCATTAATTTTAAATCGGAAAACAGTTCTGTGCAAGATTTTCTACAGTTAATAAATCTGCATACTTCATTTAAAACTTTTGAAAATTCAATTTTTTTATCAAAATCAAAAATTTTAATGATGTAACCCCTTATAAAATTTTGCAAAAATGGCCAAAAAATCGATTTCTTCCTTGCATATCTAGAATGCTTCCCCTGTTGATGCTGATCAAGAATATATATACTTTATAGGGTCGGAGAGGTCTCCTTCACTGCGTTGCAAACTTCTGACTGAAATTATAATACCCTGCAAGGGTATAAATATAATACAAAAATACATTGAAATAATGAAAATTGCGGAAATATATTTATTAAAAATCCTTCTGAAGCTCCAAAAATAATCCAAAAATAAAATTATTTTTATTCTCTTTCATCGAATGTAACTTTTTTTTTTATTCAATTCAAGTAAATTGACTTAAATCCAATATAAAATTTAAATTTCTTCGATTCCCCAGACATCTCAATCCTTTTTTGAATGTTCATCAAACATATTTGGCCATCATAAAACACTTTAGAAACCGATTTAATTTTTGAAAGGTTACCAGAGGCTTGAATTTGAAGCAGACGATCGTGGATCTCAGTATTTTCAATGCCCCAAACATTAGTTGCCACAAAAGGGCAGAGGAAACAACAGAATCAAGAGAAATATGAAATTCCTGCTGCACTGCAAGGAAACGAGAAATTTGGGCAATATTAAAAATTATATATACTAAATTGGCACAAATAAATTTTACTACAACTCCAGTAGCCAAAATATTTATTAATACTCTTAGCAATTTCCTTGGATTTTATAAGCCATTTATTATAATTCCTATATTTTCAGGATCGTAATTGTATGCTGGCTTTTGTAAATCATTTATAAATACAGTTTTCTTAGCGTGTGATCCAATTGGCTCTCGAACTCCCAACGTAACCGGTAGTCGGTGTCGTGGCTCTTTGGCTTGCATTCACATTCAGTGGCCACAGGCACTTCTCCACTTGGTCGTGGCCCAAACCGTCGGACTCTTGGACAATGTTGCTATGTTGCTCTTATTCCAGAACATGACCAGTGTCCAATGGGAGGCCACGGAGGAATGCCTTAATTCAGGAATTTAATGAAAAATGCTCTATGAAGCGGTGCAGCAAATTAAAAACAGAAAAAAAGGAAGCAGCAGCAAGCAGAACATTGGGCGCACAGAAGCCATCGTCGAGGAGTGCAGTGGAATGGGAACAAAAAGGTTAAAATTAAAATCTGCGCTCACTTGTTCTTCTCAGCTGAGCACTTCTTCCTCTTCGGCATACCCTGTATTAGTTTGGATTGGTAGTGAACTGGCCTTAGGGGGTTAGTAAAAATAGGTAAATGTATGATTTTTTTTAAATTAATTAACCAAATTAATGGCTCTTAGCTAAGTTAAAACAAAAACGATTAATTTTAAGACACTTCCTTTCGGGAAATCCATCCAAAAAGGGTATTTCATGAGCGATGCCTGGTACAACGCCTCATCTTGGATTTCAATCCCGGCGCGATTCGCTGGCTGTGAGCTTGGAGCTGTGAGAGCGGTGTGAGATCGGTGGCAGGTGATGCCGATGCCAAAGCCGCTGCCACCGCCTTAGCCTCGGCCACTGCCGATGCCGTTCAACTTTGAGGTTGAGTGGCTCTTGATGCGACCGACCAAAGTTGACCACCAGTTCCAGTTGGTTGTGCCAGTGTGTGTGTGTGTGCGAAGTGGTCGCTGCTCTCTGCGTCCAGCGTTGTAAATTACATTTTCCAAATGCTTTTGCCATGTCGGACCAAAAAGCCATGTACATATGTGGCATAAAGGAGCGGCCGTAGCTTCGGCTCCGCTTCCGTTTTGATTTGGAACACTTGTTGCACTCGCCCCGCGCCCTGGCTCTCCGCCTTATGGATTTGTCCTCCGGCCAGAGGAACAAGCTCAAAACATTCGTTCCTTGGGGATATGTGCACTCACAGATACTCGCACAGCACCGATGTTCCTACATGGATTCCAACATGGCATTTGGGATGCTCCTCTTCTCAATTCGATTCGTTTTTGTTTTTTTTTTTTTTTTTTTGTTGCGTATTTAAGCATTTTGTTGTTGTTCTCGGATTGGGAGAAGGCTCAGGCGGATAGCCTGCGTTGATTATGTTGTTGTAGTTTGTCCAGATTGTTGTTGATTCGAGTGTTGATTGTTGTTAGCGGAATGGGTGAAAATGTGGCGGTGGCTCGATTAGCCGAATGGCAGATCCACTGGGAGATATGGCAGCGAATGGCGGTGGATATAAAGTAATAAATATATGGGTTCTTAAATTTATATTTTACTTTTTGGTTTCCCCCTCCATCTGATGATAATTTAATATTGCTATCCTTAAAAAATATGTTTAAAACACCAACAAGTATTTTAGAGGCATTACTTTTATTTCCAATCATAGAATTCGTTAGCTTACTAGTTTATAATTAAATTATATTTAATTTACTCACAAAAGGAATATTTAAAAAACTTGTCTGAAGCTTAAATTGATTAAATTGAATCCTTTAATAAAAGGACTCTGGTTCAAGGATCTCATAGGTGGACAGCGGCAACACATCGTTACCAAAATAATTGGCTCCACCTGGAGCAATCTCGGGCTGTGGCATATTGTAGAACCGATCGAGGAAGGGACTCCGCTGCATCGTCATCTTCCGCTTCAAAAAGAAGTGCCTCTTGGATGGCTTCCTCATGGGCGAGATCTGGTCCAGGATTTCGTTGCTCAACTGCCGCTCCGCCGGCAGGGATGTGACCTCATTGTACATCGAGGATCGGGATCGGGGCCGGGCCCAAGCGATGAGGATCAAACAGGCCACGACCAGAATGAGGAGAGCGAGTTTCGAGCTGGACATCTTGACTGCTTGGCAGTTGGGATCTAAGTATGCCGAAGGAGTGAAGGACGAGTCAATTTATAGGGCCATGAAAAGGCCTCAGGTAGACCACAAGGAGTGAACCCTAACTACTTTCTAATGACGCCATAACGCCATATGTTACTAGGTGTGATCTACCTGGATATGCCTTATTTTTATTGTCCGTTATGCCTTATTTTTATTGTCCGTTAATGGCGGCAGCAGCTTGAAAGTAAACATAATTTAAGTAGAATTTGTCGTTAATAGCAAAATAACAGGCGATTATTGTATCTTTCAGGCTCTAAATATTATCTTAAAAATTACAATTACATTTTTATTTCGGAAAATATTAGTAATAATGCTTTAATGCCAAAATTAGTTCGCAAATGATTCTTCTCCCTGGAATTCGTTAACTGTGAAGAATGTGGGCTTTTAGAAGGAACTCGAGTAAGTACTTTAAAATCCATCAAAAGCCAAGGCTTTGCTCTGACCATTCCACTCGGGGCCATCACTTAACCCATCCACCTCATCAATCTCGGACATTTGGCTAACTATCCGCCAAGCAAAGCAATCCAGCCGGGACGGAGTCACTTAGGCCCCTCGGTCGGCGGCTCCACTCCACTCGAGGCATCAAGATCGGCTGGGATTGCACTGCCATTGCGATGCCATTTCATGTTAATCAAACAACGAAATCCATCAACAGGTGACACACACCGCCGTTGGAGCGGGCCAGGTGGTGGCAGAGGAGGAGTAGCAGCAGCACTGAAGCAGGAGCAGGCGGTGGGCAGCCGCGACATCCAGCCGACATGTCCGTGCGATAATGGTGCTACTTCTCCCCTTGATCCCCGTCTGTGTGTGTGTGTGTGTGTGTTCGAGTATCTAAAACAACTTCATTCACAAAAATCAGAACAGCAAAAAATAAAAATAAGAAATAAGACAGAAGCAAAGTAGCAGAGCATCTGCGAAAAGGAAGCTGGGCCATTAAAAATATCTTGTGGATGCCAAAGCGAGGCAGATAGCAGCCGCCAAGAGATGCATCCACTTGGTAGCATCATCATCATCATCAGCATCTACTTTGGCCTTACCTTTAGCTGCGGCTTTAACTCCAGCCTTAGCTTCAGCCTCAGCTTCAGCTCCGAGCTGCAGCTGCGGGGGCGGAGCCGTGAGGGAAAGGGGCGGGACAGGTCGCCGGACGGTGGCTGATTTGGTCGTTGGAGGCTGCCAGGAGGCACCAAAGAGGCAGGGGCAGCCGCCAGGGAATAGCCAAGAAACATACGCCTAATGCCACAGTCATCGACATCCGCCATTTAGTTAATTAACCCCTTGGCAGCCCAACGGGTTTCAATTATTTAGAAGCAAAAGCAAGTCGATGAAACAGAAGAGCTTGCACAAGAAAGGGGTACATTTAGGTTAAAAATTAATTGTTTTAATAATAAAATATAATTACACAACTTAAAAATAAATTATAAACGAAAAATGTCTTAGTCATAGTATATAGACTTTTAAAACACGTAAGGTTCTTGTAATATGGAAAATATGTTAGATTTAAGTATATTTATTATTAAGAAGAGCTGGAATAATTTAAAATAGAAGGATTATTTCCAAAATATTTAAATTTGTATTATCGTAATAGATACCTCAGATCAACGATTTATATTATTTAATCATCTCACATTTATAGATTATACCCAAACATAAGGTACGAAGCAGAAACCAATTACCCACCTCAGTCATCAATGGGTTAATCCATCTCCCGGCACATTTGCCTCTTTTTCGCTCACTTATTTCTCCGGCTTCTGACGCAGTTGCGCAGTCTCAACTGTCTACATTTGTCGGCCTGCCTCTTCTCTTTCCCACCTCCTATCCTCCGGCCAGCAATCTTCTCCAGCTGCTGCTGCTTCTTCGCCTTGTTCTTCTCCAGTCGATTGGATGTCCAGCTTTCAATTTGCAACATAAAGCATCTTCATCGTGGGCCGCATGAATGGGCAGAGCTGCCAGGCCGTGGATGAAGAGGTGCAGAGACGGAGGGGCCACCATCCATGGGTGTGGGCTGGGAGCTGGTTCTGCGCCGCCTCCTTCTCCTCTTGCTGCTGCTGCACCTCCTCCTCGGCTGCCACCAGATCCGGCATTGACGGTAGGCACTCAGGCGTGCCCTGGCGGTAGTCGCTGACCTTTATTGATTGCTGTTTGACCTCGCCAGCTTTTGCTGTTGCTGTTTGCGCTGTTACTGTTGCATCTCCTAACCATTTGTACTTGGCCGATCGCCGGCACAGATTGCACTTGGCCAGCACTCGGGAAAGAGACGGACGGGGAAGCTATCTGAGCTCAGTAGGGGGGAAAGTGGATGGGGAGCGGTACACACGCCCACTGGCAGCTATGCTTTGTCGTTTTGCTTTCTGGCCTTTTGTGCAGCCTTCATTGTTACCAATTCGCTGTTCGATGCACTCTAAGAACTTTTAAATGGGGAATACTATTCAATACAATTTATATTTTTTATAAACATAGTTTGATAACCAAGGTACATAGTTTAAAAGCATTAAATAAGATATCTTTTACAAATAATAGTTTAATAAATAAAATGATTTAGTTTAAGGCTCCAAATACTCTTTTTTTAAGTAGAACTTCCGTTTCATAATCGTTTTAGGATATTATTTTAGGGTGTTTCCCATTTTTTCTCACTGCCGGCAGAGTTCTTCTTGTTATTGTTGCTCCATTACCTCGTTCATGGCAGTTAATTTATATTCGATGCATCTCTCTATCCTTTTCGTTGAGCTGAACTTTTTTCACTAGTATTTTTTCCCACTTCCTTTTTGACGTGGCTTGTGAGTTGTTGTTGCTGCTACTGCTGGTGGCGTTGCCGAAGGTCGACGTCAGTCCTCGTCTTTTTCCACCTCTTCGTCTGTCGCCCCGTCACCATCGCAGTCTTCGTCGGTCGGTCGTCATTGACGCCTTTCTTTGTACTTAGTCTTCCATTTGCCATTTTGCCATGCAAAAACCGAAAGACAAAGGCAGGGCAAAAATAAACAAGTCAGCCAGTCAAGGGGTACAGTGTTTCGACTATTAAATACCTGGTAATCAAAATGGTTAAAGTATTCGTACATATATCAATAAGGACCTTATATTGCAAAGAAACTGCTTTATATGACTTCTATTTTATTATATAAAAAATAAGTATTTCGCCCCATCTTATTGGGTTTTTGGTTTTTATCATTTTAGATTTTACTATACATAGTTTTGATAGAACATAATCTAAATATTTTAAATAAAAGTAGATATTTTTTTAGCAATATTATAGATTAAGAAAAGAGAGAGTTCTGAAAACAGTTTAAAATATCAAAATAATATACAACACTTGAAGATTATACCCTGGTACCCTTTCAAGTGCCAGGTATTAAAACGCAGCACACTTTGGAAGCCCCGCATTGTTTGGCTTCTATCGTGTAGTTTGTTTTGTTTGACAGTTTCTATCTGGAGGGGCTATCAAGAGTCAGAGTTGGAGCTTCAGCTGGAGTTGGAGTTGCACCCCGGGTTGGAGCTAGTAGATCTGGAGTCGGAGTAGAAGTCAGACTAGCTGGAGTGGATGCAGCAGCCGCATACTGTCGTTTTGTTTGCTTAATTGTTTGGTTTCCCCGTTTCGAACGGAGGTGGAGCCCCTTTGGGCAGGGAAAATCGTTCGGCTCATTTTAGGTGGGGGCGATATTTTCCAGGGAAATAAATTAGCTGATTGAGGATAAGCGTAGTTAGTGGAATGGGATGGCCATGGGATGGAGATCGGGATCAAATGGCAAATGGAATGGCGAATGCAAATGCAATGTACAAGTGAATTATCACCTCATGCAGTGAGTCTCTTCGGGGATATGAGATATATCTTCATCTTGTCGGCTTAATGGGGGAACTGGACAGAGCTGCATGGATCCCATCGGGAACACGATTCGCTCTTGTTCTAATCATATACCATATCATTATTTAAAGCGCATTTTAATCTTCTTCCGCTGGAATGAATCTTCTAAAAACTATAATTACACTGGGTAACAAAAACTGAGAACATACATTATAGTAGAAGTTGTTCATATAAAATGTAGTTTTATATATAGTTTAAGATTTTACAGCACTTAAGCCATTCACATACAATTGATTCGAAAATAAAGGTTTTTGTATGACTTCAAAGTTTATTACTCATACGTACCGTTGCCAAGTCAAATACTTTATTTTTTATAAAAGCGGCGTAGATTTTATTTAAACATTTTACCTTTTTTAGAAAAATACATCTCGTGAAAATGAAATGAACGGGAAAAATAAATTTCAACTGGCATACATGACGTATGAGTATTATTTTTAATATTTTATTTTAATTGATGAATTAATACACATCTATTTTTTAATGTTACTTATTTATGTATCTTATTTTTATAAAATATAAGTAATGTTTAAAAAAAGTGCCCCAATTTTTTATTACGTATTTTCATTATAGCCAAACTTTTCACTCATCAGATTTTTGTTGCTTTAAGAATTACACAGTTACTCTTTTTATTAATTATTAGAAGTTGTCCATTATAAAATGTATTATGATTTAAAAAGTCAAAAGACTTATTTTCTTAGTTTATTTGCTGTCCAGTGTAATTATTAACCGGCCTGACTTTAATATCACCAGCAAATCAGATCACTTCATAATGATAATAATCACTCACCAGAAATAACCTGCTATACGATAAAAAGGGGCCCGTAAGAGAAAACGATGGAGCTCTTCGCTCTGGTGGAGCTCTTTTTCATCCTAGCTCTCGTGTCTTTCTGTCTCTCTTAAAGCAGAGCGTGCCAAACGGAATTCATTCATACGCCCAGTCGTCCAACCAGTTGTTGGTGTTGTTGCTGTAATCGCCACTTGTCGTGCTCCCCTCCACATGCACTCTGCGCGAGAGCCTGGGAGAGTGGAGTCCACAAAAGAGAGCGCCGGAGAACGAAGGCCCCCAAAAGACGACCGATCGGTGGCTGCTGCTGCACAGTTATTTCTGCGACGCT